AACATTTCAGTATACTGAAATTAGACGTTTATTTGCAGTGAGTCACGTGATTCAAACTTTACCATAAAAATATTTTAATTCAGCTGTACAGTATTTTGGTTTTTTTTTTTTATCTTTATAGACAGGCGGTTTTGTTTTGATAGTAAATTTATTTTATACTTTGAATAATTGGAATTGCTATCTTGACATTTTAGAATGTAATTTTATTTTTATTGTCAAGATTATCATTTGATTTTTTGTGTTTTTAATAGTTTTATTGTTTTGAGTACAAAAGATAAGGAAAGAGAAAACATAAAAGACAAGTCTGTGAAAACTCGGTATAGTTTATTAAAGAAAAATAATACAGAAATTGTACAAGAAGAAAATAATATGGAAAAATGACAAGAGCTATTTATATGTTTTGCAAGGTAAATGATATTAATAGAAGTATGTGTTATAGAACAAGCTCTGGATATAATCATGAGTAATATTATAATAGATGAATTACATAATACAGGATAAAATATAAGCCTGAATATGAAATAAAACTCTGTATATAACATCTTGTAAATAATATAAAACTTATTGACATCCAATTGTCTAGATGTATCAATTATAAGACATCGTATCATTTCTAAATATTTATTTTTATAACCTTGATAAAGGATTCAGGTCGTCTTTGATCCAATAAAATAAAACATAAAAGATATCAGGAACATATACTCAGATTAAACAATAAATTTTTTATTTAAAACTTGATCAGATCATTATAACACCCAATAGATAATCCATAGATCAGTCTCTTGAATCAACAAGACGTATATACGAATACTAACACTGTTTCATGACTCATGTTCTTTGACGGTTATTTCTATTTCTTTGATTCAGGATTCATTAATATAAATACAAGCAGTTGTTTAGACACAAAATAATCTTTAACTTCTTCTTTAACTTTCTTTTAACATTCTTTATTTTTATTGAATAAAAACAGTCTCAAACTATACTTCCTTTTGTTCTCTTTTCTCTTTTTATTTTCTCTTTTATTTTTATTTACATTCCATCACAGTATGATTTGGATAAGTGAATACTGGTATAATAAAGCATTATGTGTAAATGCTGTCAGTGTAAATGTCTCTGAACAATTCTGCTTGTAATAAGATATATTTTTATCTTTATTCTCTCTGAGCTGTCGCTGTTACTAACGATATATCCAATTATTATTAATGGGGTAAGTAACGCGTTAATATTAATTTACAGTGAATATTCCAGCTATAACAATAATACCAATTATTTATATGCTACTATTATTATCATCCTCCAAGATGTTATTACATAACAATATTCAACATTATAGATGTATATAAAATATGCATGACTTATATAAATAATTATGTAATTGAATATAACAGTCATAAACATATTGAATTCTTATTATTACATAATACAATGTATATAATTATTTTTAATGTTTGAATACTCTAGCAATGACTGTTGTTAAAACTGAATGTAGAATGAATATTATGCTGTGAAGTACAATACTCTAGTTTTATTTGAATAACCTCTTTATTATGTAAATAAATGATGGTTTATTTCTATTAACTTAGTTTGTAAGGACGACTACAATCATAACAATACCACTATAATAATAATTTTACTATTTTCTTACTATCAGATGATACTATATACATTAATAAATGTATAAGTGAGGAAGAAAAAAGTTTCCATTCACATATTTATACAGTGCGGCTGGTAAATTTTGTCCGTTTTGAAGAAATAAATGGCGGTGATATTTCTCATAAAATATCAAATAAAATATATTATAAAATAAAAAAATAAAAAAAAAACGTCAACGAGAGCAAACAATAGTTCAAAAGTCAATCACTTTATTTATGAATTTAAATCGATGGGTATTTATAAGAATTGTTAAAGAAGTCTGAGATAAGATGTGAGTCAGAAAAGTGTTATAGATAAAGAAGTGTTAGTCACTTCAATATTATTTGATAAAGTGGATCAAGAGAGTTTCAAGAGAATCTAGATAGAATTCCTTGAATAAATTTATGATCCACATGTTTAATCAAGAAACATGACGTTATAAATCAACTCATGACATTGCTCCCTTCCAGGTTGGAATTACACTTTTCTAAAGGGTTATTAAACTTATGTTGAAATTTGGAATTATATTTGTGAATGAATATGTGTTAGGATAGTGTAAAGTCAGATTCGTGATTCATGCTATAGCATTATGGTTTGTTAATATATAATGTGGAGAGAAATAAAGTAAGCGATACAGGTAAAATACAGGTAGAAAAATAAATTATAATGTAACTTGTTTGTAACGTGACTGCGTTCACCAAAATTGAAGTTGTCAAGTTATTTAGGAAGAGAGATATAAACGTATATTTTTTTTTCTTATTTAAATACACATATTCATATAATTATTTGTTTGTATACTTGCATAATAAATACTCTTGTCCAGGTTCTGAATAACATTTAACTTGTTGATGGCTACGATAATATTATATGTGGGTAGGATGGAGTAGTATATATGTGTATTTATATATTTTACTGATAATTTTAGTTCTTCGCATTAGAGATAGTATATTTCTTATTGTAAGTGCTATTATTAAGGATGATTTATCAAGGATTGCTCCAAATACGCAAAATCCAGTAAATACATCAACAACTAAAAGGATGTAGTTATTCTCTTGTAAAGATGTTGACATAGGTTTAGCGGTGTCAATACAAATGTGGTCCCACGGAGCATCAGTATAAATTGATTTTAATGGATGGTGTTCATGTTTTGCTAGGTTAAATTGTTGACAATCGGTACAGTTTTTTACTGTGTCAAGAGCATCTTATTTAAGCTTTATCCAATGAATTCATTCACTATGTAAAGCTGTTACCATAACTTGAGCATCACGATGTCCTTCTAAATGAATTCTTACAAGTAGCTTTGGTCTTTCTTCTGATGCTAATGTCATTAAATCAGCAAGCATTATCATACGAGATGTGAGGATAGATCTATCGCCGTTGACAATTTGTAAAGTAATAATGGTTTTAGGAGTTTTATTCCTCACCAGCATTTTTTTTCAGATTCGAAAAGACATGATAAAGAATCTAGAAGTATATTGTGAATACCAAGTCTGTGAATAATTTTGAAGTCATAGTCCAAGATAGTATCAAGTCAATTGATCATAAAAGAATTGGTAACGGGTTGAGTATGGAGGAAAAAGCACGTTTGAATATAGTAGCAATTCTAATATCATCTTCCAATTTAGCTGCACGATGGATTCGTTGGAAACGGTCTGTAAAGGCTTCGATAGATTCGTTTGGCTGCATTTTAAGTGACAAGAGTTTATTCATGTTGTCGATTTCTTGTGTTACGTCTTGAGAGGCACAAGTATTAATTACAATTGATTGTACTTCTTTCCAAGTTAAAGAGCATCCCTTCAAAGTTTCATTGAACCATGATCATTGATCACGATTTATCCTAATTGGCATTAGGCGATCCCAGATATGATCAAGGTTTAATCCATTAGAGCCAACTACCAGAGCAAATATATCACGCAATTCTTCAACAAATTCTTGAACATCTGAATTCTTTATTTTCTTTCTTGTCATCAAAGGCGGTACCAGTAGAGTCTTGAATTGTTAAAGAGGTCTGAGATAAGATGTGAATCAGAAAAGTGCTAGCTACGACTGAATAAGATGTGTTATAGATAATGATATCTTAGAAGCTTTAATATTATTTGATAAAGTGGATCAAGAGAGTTTCAGGAGAATATAGATAGAATTCCTTGAATAAATTTATGATCCACATGTTTAATCAAGAAACGTGGCATTATAAATCAGCTCATGACACTGATATTTTCTGGTTAAAACAGAGTGCACATAATGATTGTGCAAATAAATACTTCTGGGACCACGAAGTTAGCAAAATAGCTATGGCTGCTTCAGACGAATCATTTGCAGAAGTAGTATATCCGTTGATATATGATAAGATCGCTTTTGCATTTTTTGTTTTATTTATATTTCTTTTTGTTGTTAACAGAAAAAACTTGAAATAATGAAGAAAATAACGGCTGTAACTGCGTTACATTCATATAATCAAGATTCATTATCAACAAGTAACCATAGTCTTCAACAAGATGTAAGTAGCAGTTCTAGCATGGATGATTTAAGCAACGACAATACGGACAGAAATGTAAGTATAACGGATGTATGTCTCAATGTTTGAGGCATCGGTTGGAAAATTCACGATGAAGCTTTTTGTTCTAACTTTTAAATAGCATTCAATAAAGCGAAAGCATCAAAAAGATGATGCATCTACAACAGTAAGTTCTACTCGAACTATATATTAATATTTATATTTTGCTCAAGGTTTTACTGATATGTTATACTAACACTCATCATTATTCAGATGCAAGCTAAACGACCGAATAAACAGGAAACCCTGGCTGAAAAATTCAAGACATACAAACAAAAGATTATACATGATGCAGCCACAGAATTAGAATTTAGTCTTGAAACAAATTTACCTGAGCTTATGTAAGTTTACTGATAATCTATTTACTTATTACTAGCAGATGTATTAATAATGGGTTATATGTCATTTGCTCTCTTTATAGAGCATTAAACAATGTCATGCTTCTTAAACCTTCACAATTTAGCAGATATATGCGTGATCATTTTACTGACAAAGCTCTGAATGAGTGGCATAAGGGCATCTTGAGTACTTTAATTGTTGATGTAGAAAAAGAAGCTCAAGATATTGCCAAATCTCTTGATGATATAATTTATGTATGTATATAAACGACATAGAGTTCTTGTTATAGTCACTAATAAACTTATTAACCTACAGTAGAATCTGCAAAAAAAGAAAATCAAGACACGCGAGGCTGTCCAAAAGTTGGTTGCCATGAGCATTGGAAAAGAAGACCATGAAGCTCAAATTTTAATTGGCTTGTCAAACTTGTAAATTTATATTGTATTACTGTTATATATTAATTGTATGATGCTGATATTTGTAATCATTTAGGATACAAAAACTTCCATCTCAAAATCTTTTGTCCACTACAGCTGTTAGTAAAACAGAATTGTGGAGCAGTGTGTTTGATCCCATTCTTACAGCATTGTTCTCTAACCCTGATCGCAATACATTGCTTAGATGGTTAGTTTTTTTTTTTTTTTTTTTTTGCATGATTTTATTAAACAGGCACTAATATGTATTATAGGTAGGACCAATGTTGTGCCTGAGGAAGGTAGTGTTAGTGAAATAAAGCGCATACAACTTGATACAATGATCTGTGAAATTGATCAGCTTAGTTGGGGCTGTACACTGGATTATGGCGAAGCCAAAATAGCAGAGCCAGATCCGAATATTGGAGGTTTAGCCAACGATCTCTTGAGATTAGCAGGCTATGACCCCCAAAGTTATTGGGCAATCCGAAATTCGTTCTATCCTTGCTTTCCAAATTCATGGTAAAATAACATAATTCCTGGTTTTTGTGCTGTAGCACACTATATTTTTATACTTGGGTTCTAATCTATTTCTTTATTAAGGATACAATCTTAAAGTTTATATCACCCAAAAAATGACAAATAAATCATTTTACACCATGACAGAGGTATTTGACATTACGTTTCCAAGGTCAATACAAGAAGTCAATTCGTTCACAAACAGAAAAAATATTGAATCATTGATTTCCTTGTATAAAGTATTTTGGAGTAACTGTTGTGTGGCAAAACAAGATAAAGCTGAACCGGAAAAACTTGAATCCTCTGGCTTTGATATATCGACAATTCAAACTATCAAAGATGGATCTATGGATTGTTCGCGAAAATGTTCGCTTAAATACTAATATGAAATATATCATATTGACATATTAAATTGTAAATTATTGTAACGACGTTAACATAAATACCGTTCAAAAGCCAAACTTTAATTTTTCATGTCGACAAGTGTCAATGTGCCATAATTTTACATATTAAGAAATTTTATCTAAAAATTTAAAAGTCTTTTTTTATTTTTTGTCTAATGATGAGATAATCTGTATATTCCAACGTATTTTCTATGCAAATGATGAGAATCTATATAGGTTCATAATCTTTCAGATATTACCACCAATCTATAACATCAAAACAACTATTTCAACCACCCACAAAAAAAAAAAATATCTATATTTTTTTAAAAATTTCATATTTGATACTCCCCCTTTAGTAACGCTGATTTGAGTTGGCTCAAAACGATAAAGTAAAATTTCGAAAACGACAACCATTTGCTAATAGGTTTCCTATTGGGGTTATTTAACTGACATGCAATAAACTGATTACTGCGTCATATTATTTTATGCTAGAGTTGTCAATAGTTATTACCTTTTGTATTACTTGTGTCAAAAAGTCTTCTATTGTAGTAGTAATATTGCTATAAAAGCGTCTTACTTATTTATGTTAGTTGTTTGAATAAATTTACTTTTATAGTATAGTTTTTTTCATTAATAAGTAGAATAAAAAAAAATATACTTATTATCGACAATAAACTTAGGTTTATTTATAAGTTCTATGTGACAGCTGTATCAAAATAAGACAGTACTTTAATTTATATATTATAAAAGATTTAAACAGGTACTTTACGTTGATCTATTATAAAAAGTACCACAGCCATATTTTATTTTATATGTCTATTTAATTAATAGGCATTATAATAAAAAATATAGTATAAAATAAGTTTTATGTATATATGTATATACATATATAATGGGGGGGGGTTCTTCCTATCAAGCATAATATAATCATTCGTTGTTATTAGTTATACCAATACTATGTAACAAATAAAATCGATGTTTTCAGGTACGCCAAAATATGAAACCAAGTAGATTATCTTTTTATATTAATATTTGACAGCTAATATCTGTTTTTATATATGTATATATTTCTTAAATATCACTAATACTATATCCTTTATTTTGATATGGTCACAAATTCTACTTGTATTATACTGTAATTTGCCTTTGAGAAAATTGTTTTATGATTGCTAGAAGTTTTTTTTTTTTTTTTTTTTTTTTTTTTTTTTTTTTTCTTTTTAAAAAAGTTTCAATTGACTGCTTTAATCAAGAAAACAAAACTTTGTGCTTCACTAAGAAATTCGACATTCATTAAGATTATAACAAAACACCAAGCTCCTTCTCTAATTAAGCTTTACCTTACCTTGATAGTATATAGTATGAATAGCATACTGATATGCCTAATATTTGTTAAATTGTTAAGTCGGATTTACAGATATCCTGACAAAACTGTTGCTTCATTAACAACCTCCTCCATAATATAGCTTCTATTGTTTTTGCGAAAAAAAAAGAAAAGCAATATGGTCAAAGATTAATAATTTCAGGTAAACTTATCTCAGTATAATGATTGAGTTAACCTATTTTTATTTTTATTTTTTTTTGGGGGGAAGGAATGAAATTAATCCGGAAGAAAACAACCATTTCTTTTCCCGACCAATATTTTGATTGAAAGTGGAAGCATAGTATAAATATATTTCTTGCAACAAAAAATGATTCAATTAAATGAAAAGCCTGTACAATACTTGTTCTGTGCAATGAAATCATCGTTAATATATATAAATGTATAAAATATTATAGCTGTAAGGTTTTAGTATTTTTTTTTTTTTTTTTTTTTTTTTTTTTTTTTTTTTTTTTATAATATGCAACCAACTTCTTGAACTATACATGTTATAAAAGGCGAAGATTTGCCCCTTGTTTTATTTTATTTAATTTATTTCTATTATCATTATTGTGATTATGCTTAACTTTTCTTTTTTTTTCTTTTCTTTTTTATATGTATATATAAAAAACGATATGACATACAACTTGTTTATTTACAAAAGCATTTCATTTACTAATTATACAATAGTTAAATTTTTACATAAATTCATATTCTTAAAGTCTTAGTGATAAAAATGTATTATTATGTAAGGCATAGGCCAGCAGTGAAGAATTCTGTTTTCTAGAAGCAGGCATATTATCTGATAAATTAGCTGGTGGATTGGTGACTAACGTTTGAGTATTATTGATATTTAAGGAAGAAGATACGAAATTAGAGAATGTGTTATATGATTTAATTGGAGTTGTAGACGACATCATATCAAAATGTAATGGTAAAAGATCTTCACTACTAATACTACTATTACTAGCGCGACGAGAAGAAGAAGGGGTATATTCTTGTTGTATATGAGATAGCACAAGATTGGATGGTAGCTGTTGTTGTGGTTCCTTAAATATAGTAAATAAAGGATGATTTGTTAACGCATCACGTTTGAAGCAATCTTCAGAGCAATAAATAGAATTCTATTATATATACAAATATATGTCATTCATCTCTATATAAAAAATGAAATAATTATGTCAATACATACTGAATAAGGGCTCACTGCACAATCGCAATATGTACACCAGTTTGTATCACACATTCTATATAAACTTTGCTATAGAATAGAATAAATATGTATAAGAAGAAAAAAAAAAGAAAGAAGAAAGAAAGTTTAAAATTACTAGTAATAGCTTTTTTTTTTCTTCAGTTATAGTAATGACAATAATACAATTGAATTAATTGAAACGCAGTTAATACATTCGGAAACATTGACAAGTAGCCTTTACTCCAATGAGATTTCCGACCAATTTTATTTTTCTTATTATTATGAATCAAAATATTCTTGTACTACTATTAATAATTTAAAGCAGCATTTGCCATAAATATACAAAAATATTTTTTCTAAAATCCTTCCTGCTTGCTTTTTTTTTTAATAACAAGCTTACAACTATAATTGGCGATTTATTTCCGCTTTACGAATGTATATTCTTTCTTTCTTTAGATAATCTGCATAATAAAAAAAAATGGGTATTTTCTTCTTGTGTCTTTTGCAAGGTCCAGAAATCAAGCTTCTAAAAAATAATTAGCTTAATAAACTTTCGATTTATTTATCTTTTTATATTTATAAAAAGTCAAAATAGTAAATAGTACTTTTATAATTACCTTCACGGGAAGAAGGAATGATGCCCACCTTTTTCCCATTTTTTTTTTTTCGTAGTTTTAACCAATTTTATGTGAAACCTGTCATTTTTTCTTTTTTACATTAATATGCAACAAAGGATATGCATTTATTTATATACACATTTATGCAAATATATAAATGCATATTTATATTTATTTTAGCCAATAGAATGTCGTAGGTAGAAAATGCAATGATAACATTGTAAATTTTTGTAGTTTAGTATACACATGGGAAAGGCTTTTATAATAAAAATCAAGGTTTATAATAAAAGAAAGGTCAGGCACATATGTAAGGCTTAAAGTTTAAACACGTGTAAAGGATATTATGAAAAAAATAAATAGCATACAAAATTGTATATATGTAAAGAGTGTTCACTAAATACTTGCTTTTGAGCACCAATAGACTGATTTAAACTTTGCAAACCAACAGTAAGAAAGTGACAGCGTTTGTTCTATTCATTTAATAAGTGACCCCATTCTAAAAAAAAAGATATTGATATTGAATGGATATAAAGGTTTTTGCTTTCATATATTATTGATTTAGATTATTTATACTTCTAGTAGACATGTTTATTCTACAACAACTGATGATATTATTACTAATATCTATTATCCATACTTCATTTAATATATTTCATCATCTTTTTTTCTTCAGAGGCAAATTAAGGAAGCAAGCTTCTCTAAGAATCCATCAAACATAAATGGTAGGTAGAAGACAATGGAATTAACTTTATTATATGTATTCAATAGCTCCTGTAACCCATTTAACAAGTATTATTGAATATAAAGTTGAGCAAGAAGTGTGCCCTTGAGATAATATTAGAACATTCTTTAAGTAAACTATCAATATATAGTAGTAATAGTAGTAGTAGTAGTAGTATAAAGCTTATCATTAAGGCTTTAATTGATAATAATATATACATGTCCAATATTTTCTTTAGAAAAAAATGGAATAAAGTCTTATTCGTAGTCATTAACAATAAACACATACTTATCACGCTGGAAACTAATGATTATTATCTTTTATAAATAAATATTATATTACAAGTATCTTAAGCAGAAACAAAGTTCTTCATGTTTTGAAGCCATTGAACATATTCCTTTTGTTCTTTATATTCAACATAGCCAGGCAAGAAATTGGCCAAAGCAGCATTGACACCACGTTCTTCAAGATAACGTTCAAATTGGTTCTGAAGACCTTCATCTAATTCAGCAAATTGAGGACCAATGTAAAGCCCACGACGTTGCCAATCAGCTTCCGCAGATTGTTCATTGGCCATTTTTGAATCCTTATAATACATAACACTTTCTACTGAAATTTGACCTTCTTGAGCGATAGTATCAATTGTAACAGCTCCATGACCATCCTAAATTAATATATAATTATATGATTTATAAAAATTAAAGATAGTCTTTTTTTTTTTTTTTTTTTTTTTTTTTTTTTTTTTTTTTACCTTTTCAATGGTTACAGAGGCACGAACAGGGAAAGAAATAGCTTCTTCCTCATCGTCTTCTGCAACAGCCATATCATCCTCAGGAAGGAATTCGTCAGGTGTAGTATTGTTAATATCAGAAATTGAGAACAAAACACGGATCCTTATTTTAATAACAACAAATTAGTTTTAAATAATCCATACATATTATCTATTCTTACTTTTCGTTTCCAAAAGTACGAGTAAGTGTAACTTCATCGACACCAGGCTTATCATCAATCTTTTATATATTTGATTAGAGTTGCAAACAAACAAGGTCTCTTTTTTTTTTAAACTTTTATTTACCTGGAAAGAGTTGGCTTCTAAAAACTCTTTAATAAATTCAGGTTGATTCACATTCTCATCAGATTTTTCATATTTAATTTCTTCTTCCAATTTGTGAGCAAGATCAGCATCAACTATTATTTAAGAGATAAAGAGTTAGATGCGGGGATTTTTTATTTTTTATTTTTTGTTCAAGAATTTTTTTTTTTTACCTGCACCATTAGCCATACGAGGAATAGCTGCAGAAAAAGAGCGAGTAGCATTAAAAGCTATGGTAGGCATACGAGCATTGACGGTAGGTGCAACAAAGCTTCTCAATAATGTGGGCTTAGCAGCAATAGCACGGATTGAAGAACGGAATAATTGAGAAGCCATTTTAAAAATATAAAAGAATTGTTGAATAAAGGAAACAAAAAAAAAAAAAAAAAAAAAAAAAAAAGATTACTTGACAGGGATGGTTGATTAATTACAGCATTTGAACTTCAAATTCAGAAGATTACAAATATTTTTTCGAATGAAAACAATTTCCAATTTGAAATATATTATAACTTCAATTTAGAAAAAGTAAACGTAAATTTTAGGCAAATATAAAATACTATAGTCGGACCGTTCCCACTATTTTATGATGTCTGTGGTGAATATTGTATTCTAAATAGCTAATTCTCTTCCTCGCAGTGACTCATTTCCACCTCTTAACGCTGTTCCTTGTCTTCATCTTCCTCTTCCTCTCTCAACTTTTTTTTTTATTACAATCCGCCAACTATAAGTTTCCCAAAAAAAAAAAAAAAAAAAACCAACAAAAAACAGACTTTCTCTGCAAGGGTCTTTTTTTTTATATATATATCTCAACCCCGTTTTTTAGTGGGATTGAATGGATTCCGTATGAAATAATATCTCGATCTAACAACTCTTCTCCTCCTCATTGCTGGTCTACCAAACACTTTCAAAAGCGCTTTATCGAGATGCATCAAACATCCAGGTCTGGCTACCAATAGTGCATTACCGCCACAAATTGGGCTCTCTTCTGGACTCTTCCTTTTGTCTATGCTCTCAGAAACGTAATATACCGATTTGTTCATCGAAAATTACCATGTCTTTCGCTTCTGGGATATATTTACAAGCTGACCCCATCCGTCACGGTGGCGTACTAAAGTTATATATATAAAGATATATATAATCAAAACTCGGTTGAAACTTCTACTCATTTGTTGTGTACATACCCGCGGAAGCAATTTGTGTGGAATAAAATTAATTTTTGACTTTCTTCGGATAACGGTTGATATTATAAAGAGCTGCATTAACTTGGATTTTAATTCGTTGCAAATCCTTTAGGGGGAGGGGTCTATTGCCCTCTATTATCGTTTTAACTAGTATCGCGAAGATCTGGAAGGCCTACTTTCAGTTTGTCTTCCATTCTAATTCCCTTCACCTCCTTCCCTCCCCTCCTCCACAAACTGTCCTTCGACGTATTCAACAACAACTTTCTATGTACATTGCTAAACAATTACAAAACTTTGACTAGTCATCTCCTTCCCCTTCTTCTCTCCCGTACTATTGCTACTTTATTCACTCTCTATATACGATTTTATTTACATTTAATTTCTATTTCTATGCCCTCCCCAACTTTTAATACAGTGTGTTTCCAAGTATGTATAAATTGCAGCCGTCCCTTAAAGAGACTAACTGCTCTACTTCAACGTGAAGTAAGGAATAAATATATATACATATTATTATTAATAATAATGACTTTTAACCAATAAAAAATTGATGGATCATATACTGTCAATCTAAAAAAAAAAAAAAAAAAAAAAAAAAAAAAAAAAAAAAAAAAAAAAAAAAAAACTAATAGAATTCTGCCTGCAGAGGAAATTGAAAATTATCACATATTTATTCATTTACAGCCAATGCTTCCTCTTTCATACGATACGAAAGGGGTATATCTCCACTTGTTTTTAAGATATGTTGTTTAATGGTTGCCAACGTCATCAATGAAGATAGAACAGTATCTCCACATAATAATTCTATTGAAGATTCATCCTCTATCTTTAATTTCTCAGCTATGTATTGAATCAATTTTCTCACTCTTAAGACACGATTTGCAAGCAAACGATTATTAGGCCTATTATATGAATGCATTATACATATAAATAAGTAAATATACAATATACGTATTAACTATATATTCTTTTTTTTTCTTTTCTTTTTACCCTCCTGGAAGTTCATCTAATTTAGAACCTTCTGCAGGCTTCAATATAAAAGTTAATTTTACTGTCTCTTTTGGAGGAGTTTTATTCTAAAAAAAAAAGTTTAGAGTTAGTAAGATAAAACCAAATATATATGACTCATAAACTTACATAGAGAAGATAAGATAACAGCCATGAAGGAGCAACATCAATAAGTTTATTTGTATCGTCACCAGTAGAGCTAACTGCACCTCGATACAAATCAATACTAGTTGATGCCTCCGCACTTTCTTCTGCTACAATAATCATAGTTGATAACGGAATCTCTAATGGTGGAAAGTCTTCTAAATGTGGTGGAGTATATTTTACAGGTTTATTATTCTCTTCAATTTCATCATTAGATTTGCGCTCTTCGATGGTAGTGTTTGTTTCTTGTACACTATTTTTTTGTGGTACTGCTGCTGCTGCTGATGATGATTGTACTGATTTCTCTTCATTATTATTATGAGCTCCATCCATAGTAGTTGTAAAGATAGTCGGAGCCATTACATCATTTATAGATGATTTATCTTCATTTGTTGGAACCCGTGATAATTTAGTTTTGACAGATAAATTTTTAAGACGATTCATAAAATTATTACTTGTAGCTAAAGTAGGTGAGGTAGGTGAAATGGGTGAAGTAGGCAATGTAGCAGGAGGAGGAACTTGAATAGAGGATTCTCTATGAGTGGGTATGTGATGTGAATTTGAAAAATAATCAGACTGAGCATTGGAGGAAGGCGGAGCGGTAAATGGACCATTGGGTTGAGTAGCTTGTTGGGAGGGTAGATAAGGTGACTGATTTATATTAGTCGTCAATGCACTATCGGGCAATTTTGGTTTGTTTGTATCAAGCTGAAGTGTCGGTATACGAATAGAAGGCACAGAGGGAGCTTGTTCAAGTGTAGCACGCTCTTCATTTGACATTTGTACTACTTGATTCTTAAGAGAGTCTGGTTTATCTGTTTGTTGATTATTTCTATATCGAATATTACCTTCCTCTTGGCTTTCTAGTTCCTTATTAATAAAGTTTTTAAATAAATGAACCAGCACCCATTTTCCTAAATTTACTAGATAATCATTTTTAATTAAATTTAGTTTTGTAAATATGTATACTTGAACAAAAAAAAAAGTTAATGCTTACATCTTTGGTCTTCTCCAATCACATACTCTTCAGGTAAATCCGCTTCATCCGCATACATTTCACAATCGAAACAATTATTTTCATGTAATTGAACAGTAATAGCCTAGTATAATTTGATATTACATACACACACACATATATATATATATATATATATATATGCATATTTGAAATGAAAAAAATAAAAAACAAAGCTTACACCAATTTTAGTATCAACAGAGCACCATGCAGGAAAACACTCTAGACTGTTTACTTCCTGTGCAACATCCTCTATGTCTCTTCTTCCAAATTGTTTAATTTGAATACACTATTAACATAGTGTTAATAAAGCTTACTTAAATATAGTTTAATTTATCTTGTTACCTTTGTTAAATCCCACATTGCAATCTCTCCGTTTGTATCTTTTGTTAAAACATGTCGTCTATTATGAAGAATTAAATGTGATATTATACCAGGTTTACCTCGAATAACATAGTCTGGTTTAGTTCTTAACGGAATCAGTGATTCCTCATTATCTAACTCTTCATCTTGGCAACTAATTGGAATTGATAAAACGGAACCAGCATACATAGTAAGTTGATCACTTGGAACAAAAGAATCAGGAAGTGGAGATAAATAGGATGATTTAGAAGGAGGTAACTTGGCAAGTGCAGTACTAGGGATCTCTGGATTAAATTCTGATCGAGGTAACACTTGACGAGACTCAATTGAAGGCACAGATAACTAATAAGAGATGTATTTATAAGAGGATATTTAGGTTAAATTGAAAAGTAATACATTATTATATATAGATATATATATTCATATTTTACCCATCTATTTATGCTAGAGCTTGATGTAGCTGTCCATATATAAGTGTCTGCAAGTGCAACAATCTAATATATACATATATATACAATATAATATAAAAGAATCAATATCCAATATAATAATATAATACTGTATAAATCTTACTTTCACAACACCTGCATCCTCCCTGAACAGTCCAATACATTCGCTATCACTTTCAGACACTGCCTGACCCGTAATTTCTGTCTTGGTCACTAAACCATCTCTTGATCCTGAATAGAAAGTCTTTAAATCGGGATGATCTGAATAAAGCGACCAAACAGAATCTGGGTGTGTTTCATAAGTAGTTAAGCAGCGTTGTGCTTTTACAGACCATAATTTAATAGTTGAATCAGAAGAGCCAGATAAAATCTAATTTATATCGACTTAGAAAAAAGTCTTCAAGTAATAAGCATCCTTAGTACTTACAAATTGTCCATCATCACTAATTAATAACGCACGAATATTATCTGTATGACCTGTCAATTTACTAATTCGTTTGCCTGACTTAGGATCCCATAATCTTACTACTTTCTCAGGTGATCCTGATGCTAAAAGAGACCCAGTCGGATTTACTGCTAAAGCATATATCGAACATTTGCTGGAAATATTATGTAACGTAGCTATTATTTTTTTTTAAAGAAAAAATATAGTGTTATGTACATACATACATATTCATATATGTATATATTTGTCTATTTTCTGCATAATTTTTGTTATTTACTCTTACTTTCAGTTGAACTATCTGTACTATGATTGAGAGGGCTTGTATTAATCGTTAATGCTGCTTCTGATTTTTCAAGATCCCATATATTAATATGTCTATCTAAACCACCACTTGCTACCCATCCAGCTTTCGAAGCATAAGTTAAACACTTTGCATAATCTGTATGCCAACCAATTGTATATGACGAATTAGGCGTATCGCTGTATGGTTTCCATAATTTAATTGTTCTATCAGATGACGCAGAAACAACTATGATAAACAAATTTAATATAAAAAGCTAAACTGACACTTTCATTTTGTAATATTATTACCACATGTCCCATTTTCACATAATACAATATCATTCACCCAATCTGTATGCATTTGTGAAAAAATTTTACAAGTTGGTTTTGGTGTGATGGTCTATTCAAAAATATAAAAAAAAAATACACGTTAGTGTTTCCATTACTATTGCTATTTTGAAGAAAAAAAAACAGCTTTTTAATTATAGACATTTACCTGTGATTGAAGATCCAATTTCCATTTTTCTCCACTATTTATAATTTCTCTTTTAAACTTCATATTCAGATCCCAACCTGCCACAATACCATCCCTTCCTGCTGAAAATAATACACCTCCTTCGGCATTATCACCCGTCTTGTTATGAAATGATGTATCGATTGCTAAAGAATTGATTCCAAGACAGTGCATTTGTTCTTCATTACAAGATTTAACTACATAGGATACTTTGCGACGAGTTGCTGCTTTCATTTAAGTTTTATAAATTGAACTCTTTCTCTTTCTGTGTACGAGAAAATAATAAGTGGAGAGTACGAAGTTTAATGACCACGCAAATAAAAAAAAAAAAAGGTAGTAAAATACAATTGCGTCTCGGTTATTTTTGCATTGAATCTCAGATATTTAAACTTAAAGTTCTAGACATCGGCTACATTATTAATAGCATTGTTGCTATATTATGAAACCATCTATCTCTCTTTCTTGCAATTATAAATGAATTAATTAAATATTTACCTTCTATTTTTTTGTTTATTTAAATAGTCTTTTCTTTTTAATAGTCTTAGTTATCAATTGTTTGTTGGGTATTATCTATAATGCCGATAACTTTTCGGTGTTCCTATAGCAATATTAATGACTTGAAAAAAAAAAAAGAACTACTCGTCGTATGTATTCACTTCTACATCGCATATCACTTCTTCAAAATTTTCTCAGTAGAATTATAGTCTGATGAAGTATCTTTCACGAAAAGCCCCATTAAATATTATGATATTTTCAACCGAGAAAGCTATTATTTATTTTTGATCTGCCAAAATTACAATTCACACACATGATAGCGAATATTGCTTTATCTATAAGATCACAGTTGTAATTTCGATCTATGTTTATATCATTCATCTATTTCAATCCTATAACCTCACTGTTGTGTTTATTAGTTTTACAACTGGTCATACAACCTTTTTTTTTTTTTTTTTTTTTTTTGAGAATATGAAGTAAAAAATGGCAATTCAGGTTAGAAAAAGAAGTTACTGTATCTATTTTAGAATAAGGATAGGTGGAACCAATTTTGTATCCCAAAGTATTACTACTAAAATCATTACAAAGCATTCATGATAAAAGTCTTTGCTTATATTTCTAGATTTTACATTATATTGGTTAGCGTGTCCCCGGATAGTTTTAATAATAATGGCTTTCTGACAAAAGTCTACCTTATTTAAGTACTCTATTGATTATTATGAGTTACATAGTTAATAGATATCTCTAATCTTGACGATTATTTTCTTTATATATAAATATATTGTTTATTTTGAATGACTGCATTAAAATAAGTATCTATGTTTAAGAGCAAACCTTGTAGAACTTTTCTGAATATGGAAGTTTGTGTAATCATCTTTTTTTTTAAGCTGACCTCACTAAATCTATTCCAAATTTATAATTTGATACAAGTCAACTACTTCTTATCCCACTACTTTTGTGGGGTTATTTATATTAAGCTTGTTTATAAATTCTATTGATATGCATATCTGAAATAATATAAAAGAGAAAGTAAAAACAATGGGATTAAGTGCTTACATATTATCTTTGCACTAATCTCAAACTCACAACAGCTGGATAAATAAGTATAATAATAATAATAATAATAATAATAATGAAAAACTTGCTTGTTTCTAAATAGAAATCAGTTAACGCATTTTTAATCTCCTTTTTATATATTCTATTTTGACAATATAGGAACCGAACATCTATTTGTACATCTAACGGTTAAAAGGATATTATTAAAAATGGCTTGTATGTATGTATGTATTATTATTAGGCTTTTAAAGAATATATAAAGTTGTACAAAGGCAGGTCACAACTAACTTCGGATGTTTCATTTTTATAGTAGTATATATTATCAGGATATGAAGATACATTTACAAGTTAAAGCCAAGTAAAATTATTATAATGCATAAGATACTCTTGGCTGCTATTTTAAACTTGAATAATACATAATGGTAGCATGATCTTTTGTATGTTTTTTTTTCTTTTATTTCCTCCCTTCAAAAAAAAAAAAAAAAATGCATACTACAAAACCCTGTTTTATGTTTTTTCTTTTTTTTATTTTTAGAGATATATAAAAATAAAGACAAGAAAAAAAATTTCTTTTCTATTTTTCTTTTCTCTTTCAATATATCAAATAATGTTCTCTAAATACCCTTCTGGCACTCTTAATGTTACTATCAGTTAGTATTTAATAATCTTATACAGAAAGCACATTGAACTTATATATTCTTATTCATTTATTTTTCTTTAGTCGAAGCACGCAAGCTTCATGGTGAAGACCTCATCGGTAAAAATGATCCTTACGTGTAAGTATCATGCAATAAAATGGAGACGGACAGAGAGAGAGAGAAAGAGAGTTAAAACAAGGTCATTAAAAACTATTTATAGAGAATTATGGGTTGATGATGACTACAAACAAAGAACTACCACTATTAGTAATACCAACGATCCTGTTTGGAATCAAACTTTTACATTCCCTTTAAATGAAGGACGTAAACATAAACTCTATCTCAAAGTTTTTGATAAGGATACTATTGGTTCTGATACTATTGGTGAGGCAAAGTTCGATTTTGAAAGTGCTTTCAATGGCGTTCCTATTGATACCTGGGTTAAATTGCCTGCTAAGTTAGGCTTAACTAGTCATGGCGAAGTTCATATTTATCTTCAATTCTTCCCTTCTAACTAAAAATAAAAAATAAAAAATAAAAAAAAATGATATGAACAAATACATTTTATGAAAGTATATCATATCATTGCCGCCTCCTAAAGAAATTGTACTGAAAGTGAAAGAATTTATGTATATTTGCATTTATTATATAAGAATGACTTGTATGCTCCACTTTTGACGTGAAGAGCATACAACACTATTTACTTTGAGTAAGAAGTAGTAATAATAGTAATAGTAATAGTAGTAGTAGTAGTAGTTAATAAGCGATTTTATTAATACTAAACTTCTTTCAAGCAGAATAACTCTCTGATCCTGTCATTATAATGATATAGTCTTTAGGAAAAAAAATGGTAGAAATGATATATGTATCTTTCTATTTTTATTATTGCTATTTAGACCTGAAGAACAAAATAGGAAATGTTATTATGCTAGAATCTTCTTAAGTCTTTATTTAATAGCGAATTCAAAGATATATAAAGGAATAAAATTCTAATATTATACTATCAATCAAATTTGAGCTCGGTCAAATAATAAGAAAGAAGGGAGGGAAAGATTAAATATAATAAAGTAAATAAATAAAAAAAAAAAAATTGAAGGGTGGGCATAATAACATTTCCTATTTTGTTCTTCAGGTCTAAATAGCAATTCTCAGTGTTTTTGCTGCAGTATACGGACTTTCAGGGCTCCCATCTACAATTCTGTAGCCAGACTTCTTTATGAAGTTGGGATACTTTGACGTTGACACTTTGAAGTCATTTGACCTTGCTCCGCCCCTATAAGTATACCTCTGGGTATATTATGGACCAGCATAATATTAGTCTTCTTTAACTTGTCTACGCTTTTTTTCATCCTTTTCCCTCTTGCCTCTGAAGAGGGTTCTTCTTACTCTTTTCGACCTGGCTAGGGCAAAACAGTAGCAACATAGTCACTACATGTCCATTGGCTTTTTTATTTTATTTTAATAAATCTTTAATTATATCTGTATTGGCGTCTCATTTTCGTATGCGTGTCCCATTTTCATATTGGTGTCCCAATTTTGTAACCTTGTCCCAATTTAATTTGGAAATGACCAAATTTTTTTCACTGGCCCAACCTAGTTTCGTCGACTGTAATGGCCGGACATCGAGTACATAGTAAAAAAACGACAAGTCAAGATAAAATACAATGATTAAAATAGTAAAGCTCTTATTTTATTTTTAACTATAACTTTTAGATTATATTAATTACATAAAGTACTTTATTATGATGAATTTATAATGTTATTTATATAATACTTTTAATAACATTAAATAACGGACCAGCCGTAAAAAAGTAGTCAAGTTGTTTAAAGACCTCCACCGCTTCGACCAACATCAATAAGACCAAGACCATTATTTAGTTTTATCCATTTGATATAATCAGTTTGGCTAACACCAGTATTTTTCATGTATTCAATATGCGCTTGAGTAGGTTTGGCATTTGAACGAACATAAGTGGCATAAACAGCTAATGACGTGACAGGAACAAGAATAACAGAGGCAGCACGAAAAGAAGCGGTAAGCATTTGGTATATGTAAGTTTGATAGTGATATCTTGTTGGATCTGAAGTTACCTTTATCCTTTTATATTAAATGCATCCTTCTATTCCCCCCCTTTTTTTTTCCCTTTATATGACGTTTTTTTAAGCCAATCAGACAATGCTTACATCGAGGATGAAGCTCGGAAGAACTTTTAAAAGTCAACAAGAAATAACTCACTTATCTGTACCTAATCAAGTAAGTGCCAAATATTTATTGCACTAAAATAAGGGACATTCATGTTAAGGATTATTGTTAATATCATATCAACTCCGAGAATTACTTGTAAAATGGTACCTTCAACTATTATGTATCTCTTCTATTATACTACTGGAATGATTTTTTTTTTAAACATAAAAGATAATGAATTGATCATTTCTATTAATGAAATTCTTAGTAGTTATATTTCTTCATTGTTACTACTATGTGCCATTATCATGCAATATTTTTTCCCTTATAACAAAATATCGTTGTGCTACATCTAGTATGATAAATTATACAAGCACGCAAGATAAAGGTATCCGACTCGAAGCAAAGATGTTTTTTTTTTTTTTTTTTTTTTTTTTTTTTTTTTTTTAAAAAAAAAAAATGACTTTAATTAATGTGTGCAAATTAACTAAGTTAGACCATTATATAAACTTACGATGTTGATGAGTACTACTCAATGGCTGGTACATCTAGTATAATAAATATTTAAGGCAACTGACTTCATTGGCGATATATATTAGGATAGAGCAGTATGAGTATAATGTAATTTGGAAGTACTAAAGGTACTACTTCTCGATCGATATGTCTCAATACGAATAATACTTTGTTAAATGTCAATTATTCTATGGTATCGTAAATATCATTCACCAAGATAGAACATGTATTAATAGCCAATGACGAAAGGAGAACAGAAAAAAGTCAAGCTGATATGCTTTGATGGTTAATAGATAAAGACGAACACCGCATATAAAACTGTAGTAATCAACCTTCAAGTTGAAAATGTGTTGTGTTTCCTATAAGATAGAAAAAGATAATAGATAAGGTCGAGTATTCTATCTTTGTAAATATAACAATTACTTTAGCATACTTCTTCTATATTATTCAGCCGTAAAATTACCTTCTCTGAATCCTTATTTTTGCTTTATTTTCTTAATGCAATAAATAGTATTTGCAGCAGTTTAAATACATCATTCTCGTGTAACAAAATTCTTTGAAACAATATACACTATTTTATGGATGGGTTAATAGGATAAGGCTAATATCTTTTATGAATTTAATCAAAGACAGCATAAATTATGCCACAACAGAGTTGGGAATTTATTTTGTCAATATAGCAATGAGCTATGCTATGATGATTGAGGGGGAGGAGGAGGAGTAAATAAGTGATAAAGTCATCATTTTATTGACAACAGCGTCCTTATACTTGGCAATGAGGCTGATGCTTATAACCTTTTCCTTAAACTTACAAGATACTTGGAAATTTAGGTATCGAAATAGATAAACTAGCATGAAAACATTTGATTCTCCGAGAAAAAAGATCTTTTTTTTTTCTAAAAAAAAATACACATGTTTACAAGCGTATAAATGTTTTTTTTAAAATGGTAAGTGAATTACCACTCGATTTACAACAAGTAATCTGCCATTATGCTATTAGCAGCTCTGGCGATAATAAGTTTGCCCTAGTTGCTCTTACTGTGAATAAGTCTTGGGCTTATTTTGTTTGTCGAGTATTATACAGGTATATTCTGCTATTCGGAAAAAAAAAAAAAAACTTCATCAATTTCTAATTCTTTCTTTGTATTACCAGACACTATTGTATTAAGAACTATCTTACATTCGTTGGCTTTGTAAAAACGATTACTTCGATAAATACTATTTTACCATATGGCTTATTTGTTCGATCTATTGACCTAACACCAGTAAATAAATATGGTATTGATATGAGAGCTCATCGTCTTATTCGTTGTTGTCCAAACATCGTCAAAATGACTTTAGGACATCCAACAACATTGAAAACAGAAACAATACAAGATATAGCAAAATACAATACTAAATTACATACATTATCTATGGGTGGACTTGAATCATTCCCATTTATGTTGGATTGTGATTTTTCTAGACTTCGAGAATTACAACATGTAGTACTTAAAACTACACCTCTTTTGTCATCAGCATTTATGACTTTACCAAAAGATAAACTAAAATCGATACGATTGATTCAGATGGATGCCATTAAACCAGACGAGTTGTTATTATTTTGTCAGCTTCATCCTAATTTACAGTTACTTGCGATTGAAAACTGTAAAGCACTCTTTACAGAAGAATTAGGTGAAGTGTTAGCAAAATTATTGATACCACACAAATATACTGCTTGCTCAAAATTAAGGCAGATTGAATTAGTAGGACGTCAAGTTACAGATGAGAGTTTAACTGCATTCTTTAAAAATATTCCCCAAAGAACTCAATTATATAAACTTAAGCTCTTTAATACATCAGTTACATCAAAATTTCTCAATTCCGTCTTATATCCTAATTCTTCTATTCAAGTCGAAAATTTAGAGCTTACTAAATAATCGCCATGTATAGAAAAAAAAAAAAAAGAAAAAATTTTAAAATTGACTGAATTATTATCTTATTTTGCAGGCAGAAAAAGAATGTGTATGTGTATTATGTATAATAAATATTTATAATTATTACGTTTATGTATCTATTCTCTTTCTACTTGATCATATTTAAAAATGTTTTTAAACCAAATAACTTTACTAGTACTATTTTTTTGTTCCTATGTCTTTGCAAATATGGCCCCAAGTTATCCAGAGCCAGGAACAGTTTGGAAATCAGGCAATTCATATGAGATTACTTGGGGTAAAAATGAATAATAATACAATAGTAAAAAAAAAAAAAAATACTTAATATTTATTTCATAAACCTAGTAAATGACAAGCATTCTCCTTCTATTGCAAAAGCCTGGAAAGATTTTAGAATTGGTAAAAGAAAAAAAAAAAAAGTAGAAATGTTGATATATCAAATATACAGTCTATTTAATATACAAGTTTAGACTTTATGACAGGTGATAATATGAATCAAAAATTTTTGATAAACGTCGCAAAGGTAATGAATAGACCGTTAGTCCTAAAAAAAAAAAAAAAAAAAAAAAAAAAAAAAAAAAAAAAAAAAAAAAAAAAAAAAAAACTTATCTATTATGTAGAATTTGGATGGTACAAAAATTAAATCTTTTAATTGGACGGTGCCTGAAGTTGAACCTCATGCTGCTATCTATTTCTTTAAGTTTTCAAATGGTAGTATACAATACTTACATATATATAACAGTATAGAGGAAGCTACTTATTATTATTGTTTTTATTAGGAAAAGGACAAGATGCGTGGACTACGCGTTTTGCTATTACTGGACAAGATGGAAAGTTATTTAGACCTCAAAAATCAACTCAACCCGACGGTATAGTATAGAAAGACAGAAAAAGACGTATGTATATTTATTGCAGTTTCTTATAAATATTTATATATAGGCGCGAAAATTCCTTGGGGAATTGGTAAATTAGTAAATAATGATATAGATAGCAAGAATAGTAACCAAAAGGAAATCAGTACAATAACTGATACTAATTCTGTGGACTCTGCTATCCCACCAATAACAGAAAATAATATCGTAGATTCTGTTATAGTTTCAAATAATACTAAAAAAAATAACCTTTCTTTTTCAGTTTTACTTATTTCTATCTTAGCAACTAATAGCTTTTTATATTTACTACAATAAAAGACAGTCATATACATACATACATACATACATACATACATACATACATACATACATACATACATACATACATACATCTATCTACTTCGGCTCTATTTATATAATATCACACTTTTATTTAACATTCATTTTATTATTATTCTTTTTTTACATTTCCATGCTTGTATCAACTGCCATGGCATCTTTATGTTCATTAAACATATATTGATCTTGATAGTCCTTTAAATATTGAACAGATCGTTTTTCGTCTAAAAAGAGAGAATAAACTCTCTTAATATCTTGTACGTCGACTGCAGGTGCTTTTCTTTTCCTTGCAACTAAATTAGCAGCTGTGATAAGATGAATGGCATAACGAAGTGAGGTTTCGGTTCCAATACGTGTTAAAACGTCCTTGGCATCATCTGTCATTTCAACATCTTCTTCTTGACATCGGATTTTTAAAATTTCTTTGACTTCCTTTTCTTCATAAGGATAAGTAGAAATAATAAGCATACGATCAAGTAAGTCAACAGGAATACCGTGAGGTGACTTATATTTAGTACCACGAATATGAGTGATACCACGATTAGAAGCCATAATCACAACGGGTGCCATATCATCTTCTAATGCTCTGTTCAAGAACGAAAAGCATTCTATATCAAGCATGTGCACTTCATCAATAAATAAAACACCAGGAACAATTTCAGCTTTGCCCTCCTCTCTCCATTCTGCAACCTTTGTATTGATTTGATCTCTAACTTCTGTTTTAATTTCACCAGTATCACCAGAGAAAAGAGCTAAAAATCCTTGTGTTCTGCTGTTAATAACATCAATTTCGTGAAGGGATACTGTATGAACAACTTCTTTTCTTTTCTGTAACTCTCCTTCAGGACATTGAACGAATTTAGTCTGTTAAAATTGATTAATATCATTTTCCTCTATTTATAAAACATTATTTCTAGCTTACATCTGAGCCCATAGCATCGTAATCTCTAGCTCTAGCATATGAACGACCCAATTTTGAAATACGACCAGAGGCTTTATCAATAGCAATAACATCTCCTGCCATAATTTTTTCTTTGTTAAGTGAGTCGATCATCTTATTACCAAGATCATATATAGTTTCCATATCAGTCGTCTTTAATGTTAATTTGCCGGTTTTTGAACCCTACAGAAAATATACATATAGCATTTAATATTTTGTTTTTGTGCAATTTTATGTCACATATTTACTCCAGTCAAAGATCTATCAATTTGAATTTCAACAACTTCACCTTCAATGAGTTCGGTTTCCTCTTTGATTCTAACACCAATGGAACGACGGAAAGCTTGTGTTAAAGCTTCAGTTTTACTCATTTCAAGAGAAAAAATTTCAGAAGCAGCCAACATGGTGAAAGGTACATCAGTACCAAGAGCTATTTTATATTGCATTACACATTGCCAGTTAGAATGTATACATTCGTGTATATAAATACTAATTCAATTTTAATATTACCTTGTGCCATACCCATAGCAATAGCAGTCTTACCAGTAGAAGGAGGACCAGCAATTAAAACAGCACGACCAGCGATCTTACCAGCTTTAATCATCTTTAAAATGACACCAGCTGCTTTACGTGCTTTAAGCTGACCAACCATGCCTTGTGAAGTAGCACGAGGTTCAAGAGTATCATCAAGACCTAAGCCTCTAATATGTGAATGGGCACCTATCAATTTCTCATAATATTTAATAATCTATATTGTTGATGTAGCAAAAAAAAAAAAAAAAGACTATTTACCAACGCGCTCCATTTTTAAAAGATCTTTTGTTTCTGTAGAAGAAGTTGTAATAGGCAAAGACTAAATATTTATTATAAAAGAGCAATGTTATTTAATGAAGCCATTTAATTTATCATATCAGACTAATGTGGTTACCATTTTATTTTAAAATTGTGAAAAAAGAATAGTGAAATTGGTTTCTTACATGACACACATAAAAAGGATTTTTTTTTCTATTTCAAAACACAGCAACATTCAAAAAACAAGTCACATTTTCTTTTTCTTTTTTTTTTGGGCAAAAAAATATGAATATACTCTGTTACTTTTTATTGTTATAAACAATTAATCTTTGTGGTTTAAAAGGGGCTGATTTTCATTATTATTAAAAAGTGTATTAGGTGCGTGGTGTTCAGGTGAGGTTGATAAAGTAGTAGATTCTTGAATTGAACCATAAACGGGTTTTACAGAAGGTTCAATGATCTTTTTGTTCAAAGAGCCAGTAGAATTTTCACGACTAGGAGGTTTCTTTTGATTTTGACGCTTATGAGCCGTTAATAAACGAGCTAATCTACTATTCCTTCTATTAGGTACTTGACGACGAACAACTCTAATCTTATTATGCACTATATATATATATATGTATATATGTATATGAAGGATTAACCTTCTGTATTTAAAAATATGTATTTTAATAATTTACCATCTACATAAACATCAGTTTCATCAATGATTTCTTCACCAATTAGTTCCTCAATAACATCTTCAAGTGTAATTACACCTAAAGCGCCAGCATGAGATCCAGGATCGTCCGAAATCAAAGCCATATGGCCTAAAAAATTATAGCTGTTATTATATAAATATATAAATATAGACATATTAAGACTTACTTTTGCCTTCTTGGAAAAAGTTTAAAATATCGAGACAACTAGTGTCAGGTCCAGTTTCGGGTAAAGTACTGATATGAAGATTTTTAACAGGAAGAGCATCTTCAGGATCATAAGTAATTAATCTTTTTGTAAGAAGCATACCAACAAAATTTAAGTTATCTCCGGGTAAATGAACAGGAATACGTGAATAGCCGGCTATAAGGATCTATAACATCATATATGAATATATGAGTAACATACACGCAAGTTTTATTATACACTAATTTACCTTATCTACCAGTTCTTCATTTAAAATATCTTCTGTTGAAAGAGTAAATACATCAGCAATAGGTGTCATAATTTGTGATACTGGCTTTGATCTTAAATCAAGAACAGCACCAATAATAGTAACTTCATCTTCTGTAAGTGCATCCACGTCTGAAGGGTTAACAGATTGATGAAGTGAAACAAGTGATTTAAGACCTATTTTATTTTCTTTAGTTTTTCCCGGGCTTTTCTTTTTTTTAAGTATTTTTTTTTACCTGCTTTTTTATAAATGGTGCCATGTGATTCGCCCAAGAAATAGTCTAAAAGTAAAGCAGTAGGATAAGCAATAGGATACATAATATACATCAATCCAAGAACCATTCTAATAAATAGAGAATATTAAGTAAAATCTATCAAGTTTTCCAAGTAATGTTGCTTTTACTTAGAAGTTCTAGCACCAATGGCTAAACCATAACGTACGCAAATAGCTATTTTTTTAAAAAAATAAAAAATAAAATTAAAGTTTTGTTTTTCTATTTCTTTTCTTATTGTATTTTATGTACATTGTGGAATAACTCTAATTTTTATAAAATTGATAAGAACATAAAGCTAAAAAAAAAAATAACCATTTTTTATGTAACTTACTCTCCAAAAATAACAATTAATGCAGTAGCAATAACAATTGCTTTCCAGCCACCACCTAATACTTCATCCAAAATAATAGGCAGCGTTTCATTGACAATAACATTGGATAATAATAAAGTAACCAAGACCCAATGCTTGCCACGATTGAGTAATTTCATCACCTTTTTGGCATATTTCTTTTCTGTATCAGTACCAGATTGAATAAGTACTTGCAAATTGGTTTCATCTAAACCCATTAAACCCAAAGTAAGACCTTATAGATATATATAAAAAAAAGAAGAAAAAAATTGAGCTTGTTTGTATACATATTTATACACTATTATCTATCATTTTACCTGCAAATACACCACCTAAAAGGACAAGGGCCATAATAACAACTAATTTTTCATAAAACTTTGCTGAACCATAATCAATACTTGGTTCTACTTCCACTTTTTCAGCTTCGTTTTGGGTATATACACCTAAAGGATGTCCATAAATACTAGAGGTTAAAGAAACTGTAGATAAAACAATAGCTCGTATAGAGCCTAAATTAGATATTTTTTTGAGTTTAGACATAAATAAAACAGCAAAAAGAAGAGAAAAAATAAAAAAATAAAAAAATGTAAAATCAAATATTTTCTCGTCCTGTAACCCGATAAAATGAGAAAATTCCGCCACAAAAAAAAAAAAAAAAAAAAAAAAAAAAAAAAAAACCCTTGAGCTTGACCTCAGCTTTATTATTATTATTATTATTATTAATTATTGTTATTATTATTGTTATTATTTTTATTTTTTTAATAAACTGGCTAAACCGTTGCAAAAGGCGTCTAATTCTTCTATATTTTTATCTTGAATCATTTGTAAAAAGTTACTTATTTGACTTGATTCTGTCATGTATTGAATGATTGCTTTTAAACTTTCTCTTAGTACGGTAGCAAATGGCCACGTATCTGAAGTAATACCACCATCTTTTTCAATTGGATCCCGACATAAGCGATATAAGTCTATCATACCTTCAAGACAAACAACTCGTTCTTCTTGCTTATTATCGTTTAAATGTTTTACCTTTTCTAATATCCAATACTCGCACAACTGTTTGACATCTGCTGCTCCAAATTGATCTGATATGTGCAATAAATCAATAATATCCTTCCAAGTCATAGAAGGATCCAAGACTTGAACTATCTCATCCTTCATGTTTACCTCATTTAATTGGTGAATAATTCTAATAAAGTGTTTTAGACCACAAAAGGTTACATCGTGTAACGGAATCGCTGCCATTGTTGACTCCGCATAATCTGTGCTTAAAAGTGCCTCAAAGATCACAGATCTCGCTCGTAATAATTGTCGATTACCAGAGATATATGTATTAGGCGGCGCATCATCTGTAATGAATGAAACTATTTCCTTGGGTTCAGCAAGCCCAAGTATATCGGGTTGAATCTGAGCATTCTTTTGAATCGTCTCTGTTTCTATACGCCAAATATCTTCAAATTCGAATGCTAACGTCTCAATCATTTGTGCAGCTGCGTGTCGCCGAAATGGTGTGACTAAAGTCAGTAAAGAATTATCATCACTCATCATCGTACTATCTTCCTTATATTCAAGTTCATACAATAACATTTGACAAAAGATGGCAAAGACGTGGTTGGTACTAACGATACTGTTTTCTAAAACGGTTAGTCCCAACGTCTGATTCCATTCTTCGTCACTTAAGACACCTACAGTTGCATATCCTACAGCAACTGCACTAAATTCGTGAAGTTTAATTGTATTCTCTTCTTCTGCTGCTGTAAATTTATAAAGTTTCTTAAAATCTTGCATCCTTTTGTCATGTAGCTCAGTACAAAGGATATGACGCCAGTATTCATGGCTTGTACCTCGACTAGGATGCTTCAGCATGGGCTCAAAGAAGGACGTAAAGGCATCACTCAAGATAATGAATTGCGTATTGTCATTTGAACTTAACAGACGGATTGCACTTCGTCTCAGACAATCTGTAAATTGAAACTGAAGTTCTTCTCTATTTGTCCTCTTTAGAAGAAATGGCTCATTCGTGGTAGAAGAAAGGAGTTGTGGAGGTTTATTTGCATCATCTTCAATACTTAGAATCGCTGATAAGACTTGTTGTATGGATTCATCCATCATTTCATTATTAGAAGACAACAAAGGAGTCGTTGTGGATGGAGGATGATGGAAATGAACAGGATTCAAGGCAACCATTATTTTACTTAGATTCGGTAATGATGATTTATCCATAATCATTTGTCGACCACAAAGTGGAATAGACGATAGTTGATCTAATACCTGTGCTGCTAGTAGCATCACTTGATAGTCGGATTTCAAATACGTATGCGTTTCCAACTCACTTGCTATCTTTTCAGGTGCTTTATATCTCCATGGAAACAAAACTGCTAGAACATAAGGAAGGATAGAAAGTTTCTTTTGTGAGGGGGGAGTATCATCGTTATTTCCCCATGAGAGCCATAGACGCATAGATGCTTCATCATATTGAAACGAACTTACTACCATCAAACAACTCGATATAATATGATTCCAACCCATCATAATCCGGTCGTTTTCTTTTTCTGAATGTAATGATGCTCTACGACGATTTTCTTTACACTCGATTGCTTCATGAAGCAATTTCATCACTACAGGAAATAAGCTACATTCATCTCGCAACTTGTTACGTACAAAGGCTGTACGTCGAGATAAGGCAGCGATAAACTTCCCAAAGAGAGCATAGACAACAAGCAACGAACGCGATTTTTCCAATAGTTGACCTTGAGGAATAAAAGAAATATTTACAAGTTGGAGGACATCACAATCGACGAGACGCTCACAGGCACGAGGATGCCTCAAGATCATTTCAAGGGCTATAAATGCTCGTTTTGCCTTATAGACAGTGACTGATTGTGCAGCTGTTAATTCCGCTGCTGGCGATAGACAGGAAGAGATAGTCATGAGCCCTTGTTTAGCCATGTCAATGGTGGGGCCCCAAACAAGATGAGTAATATTTGTAGTTGAGGTTGCAAGGACACTAATAGCTTCATCATAATGTAAAAAGAAAACAATAAGTCGAAGTACACGTGAACGTAATACAGACATCTCAAGTTGATTTACATTAAGCAGAATGGTAAGGATAGACTTTAAACACCAAGCAACACGACTTGATACTCTTTTTATCACATCAGATGAGGCAATTTGGACATGCTGAATAAAGGACTCTAATATGAGTACGAAAAGGTCTTGATGCATCTCAAGATGTGTACCATCAAGCTGATAACCTCTTTCTTCTACATCAATACAAAGATCTGTATGGATTAGAGTAGAGGTAGTACCCACCATACTGGCTTGTTCAGGTAAGATAGGCTGCGAGACATAGGACATAACAAAATTTGTCAAATCCAAAATCATTTGATCAACGTACGCCAACCAATGCATATGACATTGAAGTACAGATACAATATCTAATGAGATTTGTATCAATTTTTTCATTATACTTTTTTCTTTATCCAGCATAGCAGGTGTAAATGAATTCCTTGTTGTTGTTGTTGTTGTTATGCAGCAGGTACCACAGATCCAGGTTTGCATACAAAGTGCAAGTAAAGGTTGCCATTTTGCTCTTATTTGCGCCTCGGCAACGCAGCTTGCAGCTTTCTTTGAAACATGAGTACATCTTTGTATAATGATTGTGAGTGAATAAACGAGTGCACTTAAATTTTTTATGCTTGTTTTATTAGTCTGTTTTAATCCTTCATCGTCTAATGCTATGACAAGTCCTGATTGATAGTCGTAATGACAGGCTGCTTGCCAAACGTTTACAAGTTGTTGAAACATATCTGATTCTGCAAAGGCTAATCTACTTTCTGAGGGCTGCGATAGAGGCTCATATTTAAATATAGATTCTAATAAACGACATGCCATTATACTATGATCTAATTCAACACGCCTCTGGGCAATATCAGTAACAGGTGGTCGTATTGATATTGTATTTAATAAACTGGGTATCTCTAGAAGTAACCGAGATAAAATCTCAAAGGTATTCAAGTTGGTCATTTCTTTAGTAAAGTACTTTAATTGAGCCATCAAGGCACGTATACAGTAAATACGAATCGATTGTATGGATGACTGGGACAATATCAATAAGGATTGAATGCCTTCTCGATGCTTTATATCTGCCTTAAAACTTATTAATGCTGAAGAGTCTGGAGAGAGTTGAGAAGAGACTGATTCGGACAAGCCGCAAAAAAATTTTATAGCAGACTGTAGTTGTAATGTCATCACAGTCTCAACATCTTGCTGTTGATCGCTTGTTGTATTTTGCAACATGTCAAGAATCCATCGCACATTGGCTTTAAATGAAGGCAGTTGCATTCGTTCTTCCAACTGTGGTTTTACACTATAAATAAAGATATAATCAAGACATCGTACCAATCTTCGTTCTGGCCACTGTTCTTTTTTATGCTTAACGTAACTGTGAATTTTTCGTAGGGTATAATCGATTTCCTTTATTGAAGCATTTTGAAGATTGGTCATCGAACGAGTTGCAATTGTCGATTTTGGGTTTTGAAGAGCTTGGTATATAGATGTTAAGCTGAATGCATCTCGTTGCTTTTGTTGATTTGACATTTTTTATTTAACTACAATACAATAATAATAAAAAAGATAAAAAGCCATTAAAAAAAAAAAAATCAAAATCCTTAAAAAGGAAACACCCTTATGCTTTTATTACGTTGTTAATACATAAATTTTTTTTTAGAACTTATTTGATGAGCACCACATAATAATAACTTAGTATTGCATTGTTCGGGCCAGGTTAAAAAAAGGGGAATAAGGAACCCATAAAAAAAAAGAAAACTTTTGATAGTTGAAGGAGAAAAAGATAAAGAAAAGAAAAAAGACAAGAGAACCGTATTATCTGTCACAGTAACTACTTGATCAGATAAATACCAAATAGAAGGATTTCTTCAAGAAAGATTTCTTCAGGAGGAATCTTACCATGGGGAAGAGGATTAAGCTTAAATAACCTGTTACATATTAAATGTCAGTGGATAATCCATGTATAAATGGTGGAGCTGTTTCGTGCAATGGATGGCTTTCTACCGTTTACTAGGAAAAAAAGGTAAATGATCAATTACGGGCGCAGATACAAAGTTTTGGGTCACCACCAGGTAATCAACAACCAAGACACCAACATAGAGGTCGACTCCATTCAGCCCAAGTTGGTAGTTCATTGAATTAATAGGTTGTTTAAAAGAAAAAAAAAGGGGGGGAGGGAGGGGAGACAAACTATTGCCTCTTATAACTCATATTATTATCAATAAAACAATTCTTCCTTTCTAAAGGTATATTTTTTCGAAATTGAATACTAGCTTAACCAAGGGAAAACGAGTACAAACTAATTTCGTACAAACCTTTATGTATTTTAAGCTTATAAATGTCTTTTATCTAATCTTTTTTTTTTGGATTTTATTCTGTTGATCTACTATGTTTATATGCATATATATCTGTATATGTAAATATTAGGTATCTCTTAATTTGCGTACAATTTGAAGATATTCATGAATATAATCTGATTTTCGTATCAACTCAAAAGTCTTTAAAGCATTATAATACCATTCCTTTTCAGATAATTGACCCTTTTTACCAGGTCTTCTCGGACCAGCTAGTATTTGATCCCTTAAAGCAGCGACAAGTACATCAAAGGATTCAATTTGCTCATCTCCTTTTAGAGGTAATAGAAATAAATTTGATTCATTGCTACTGTATTTAAAGGAAGCTAAAACATTACCTAAACTTAACAGACCTATATGTTTTTAAATGTTAATGCTATAAAGACTGAACTCGGTTTCTTTTTTTTTACCTTGAGTCTTTAACTGTGAATCTTCAAAGAAGGATTTCAAGATAGTTTGAGTGTCAACATATTTCTTCCAATTAAATTCGCTTGATAAACATTTGTTACATACAATTGCAATATCAGGATAATAACTCATATCATATTGACTAGGTGTTAGGAGAGGGAAATCGGGTATATTGAATTTGAGTGCCTCAGCTCTTTGAATAAAGCGTAGTAAATCCATATCAATTTCAGTGCCTTCTGTGATGACAAGGATAGTATTGCATACAGACATTAAAAAGATAATATTATAAATTGTTTCCATTTCTAACCATAAATCTGGATGTAAACCTCCTAAGGATCCATTTCTTAAGACATTATCCAATACTGTCCAACTTAGTATGGGCTCAGTATCTAATAAAATAGCCCTTTCAGATGTTATATACATATCAATTCCATCTGTTTTGTGTCCCTCATAAAGAAAATAATTACTATCTTGTGTAGGAAATGCCTAACATTATATAATAAAAAGGTTAATATTAACTTATTACTTTCTTTACATTTATACAAATTACCTGCTCAGAGTTTTGAGTAAAATAAGATAATATGGTTGATTTACCAACACCTTGTTTTCCTATAACACCAATGACAAAATGACCTGGATGGTCCGATAAGTTCTAAAAGTCTTGTTAATATCTTTCTTTCTTTCTTTTTTTTTTTCTTTTGTATAAATGTTTACTTTAAGAATGGCATCTGTATTGAATTTATTAGGTCTTCTCATAAAAGGTATTGATGATAATGATGCTGTCATGTTATGATCCTTAGTTTGGTAAATTGCTTGCTTAGTTATTACAGGTTGTTCTGATTCAACATTAACAGTTGTTGCTGATGTTTGGTGTTGACCATTATTTTGTTCTAATGGACGTTCACGTCTATCCAGTATGATGGGCGCTTGAGGGAATAATCGACCAGAAAATTCATTCTATTGTAAAATTAAATGTTAATAAAAACAAAAAGTTTTGAATAACTGGATATAACCTTTCGACGATCTCTTCTTCTATTATTATCTTTGGATCGTCTATCAGACATGTCAATAGATGGTATTGCTTAGAAGAAATATATACATATAAAAAAAAAAAAAAAAGTTTAACTTTTGCGGGATAAAAATTTTTTTTTTGCATAATTGATAGTAATATTAGACTTTTTTTTATCGTTTTTTTAAGTTTAATAAAGTATAAATGTTATTTTTTAAAATAATATATACAATAAGCTTTTTTTTTTATATATAATGTTATACAGTTTAATGTACACTATTTTTCAAGATGATATCGCACTGAAAATATTTATATTGGTTTGTTTTTTCAAAAAAAAAAATGTTAAAAATGAAAAAAATGTAAGAATACTGGTCAAAAACGAAAAATAAACCTACATATTTAAAGAGTTTTTTTTTTTTTTTTTTTTTTTTTTTTTTTTTTTTAGATTTTCTAATATTCGACGATACCTGACTCTTTTCGGTGACTTGATTAGGAATGGCTTGGAGTACCCTATACTTGATGAGCTCTTCTAAAGTAGGATTTGCATATACAAAATACAATAAGTCACGACGTCCAGGGTCTACAGTAATGTATATGCCAACAAGATCTGTATAGTGCTGTATATTTATTTCATCGATGTACTGAGCCTACTCCACTTGAATACTATATCGTGTTGTGTATCTATCAGCCTTGTTTGTCTGTTCTTTTTTTTCTTTTTATTATTTTGGTAACTTCCGCACCATCTGTCTAAATCGTTCCTCTAAAACGTAATCCTCCTTCCTCTTGTGGTCTAATCTCAGGAGAATTCATGATAATGATGGTTGCTCATAAAGCGAGTTTATCTCCGGAATAGGTAGTGGTCCAGAAATGATCAAGAATGTTTTGACATAAAGTTTTTGTTAAATAATTGAGCAAGCTTAAAAAAAAAAAGGTCTTAAAATGTTCAATTGGATTTGCTTTCACATCATAATAAATATTGTTTCTCCAGGATTGATATGATCTTGGATATGACAATAATATAGGTATAAGAGCATCTATGGCACAAATAAAAATAGGGTAAAAAAAAATTGGACCCTAATCCTGCTGGTTACCGTTATTCTTTTGAATAAAGCTTGTTTAAAGTTAGAAGCAAGGGGAGTAATGATTCCATGAATTTCATTTAATGTCATTTCTGCAAATACACTTTCTGCTTCTCTTCTTGATTTCAATTCAGATATTCAAGTTAGAATAGCTGAAAGAACATTGATTACACATCGAAAATGATTATCAAATAAGATTACATGTGTATTCCATATATATATCTTTAATTCCTTTGATTAACGAAGTTTGTTGTCCGTACAACAAGCTCATAGTTTGACAAGTCACAGCAATCTTGAAGGTATTGATTGATGAACTCACGTCTTTCTGCAGTCAGAATACTAGATCCTCTTCTTTGGTAAGCAGTTAACGAAAGCCAAACTTCCGCAAAAAAAAAATCTTTGTTAAGACATCTTGTGATATAAAAATTTTCATCATTCTGCAAACACACGAACAAACATATATTTGCTGAAAAGAATAGGTATGCATAGTTACAGTATGTACAATCTTTACAAAGCCTTCTCATATTTAAATATGCTTTTCTCTACAACCAATGCTAAAAATAGATGACTTCACAGACAGAATACGGGCACCTGGTGCCAAAGGACTATCGATATTTATAAAACTGGCTGGCGTACCAGGAAGAGAAATAATATTCATTTTAGTGAGAGGATAGCAGCGCTTTCTTTGTTTACAAATAGTACACCTCCAGTTAAAATGTGGATTAGCTATCCAAACCTTGAATGGTAAACTTTTCAAACAGCTTGACACTTGTCGAAGTACATGTTTCTGTCATATCTTTGGTGGCTCTCCTAAGTTCGCCGTTAAACTTATACTCCGTTTAAATAATCAAACTACAATGCAAGAACATACTCAACTTCTATAAACCCAATATAATATCTTTCACTCTTCTGGTTTACCCAGCGATACGCTTTTAGATAAAAAAAAATATTACTATCGCTTCTCCAAATTTCTTCCAACTTCTCACAATGGTATTGTCTTACTAAATCTCCACTATAGACAAGATGTGTGTCCTATAAAAAAAAATATGAATTATTCTATATTCAAGTTATACCGTCACCAGTTCCTGGGAGGACAGTCTTAATAATTATCGTATTGCTTCTAATACCAAGTTATTGAATGTGTGGCGTATCAACCTAGGTACAGATCCTATCCTTTTGCTATCTATATCAATCATTGAACGAAGCCATGTTCTCTGTTGGCGTCTTGGATGGCTACCAGTATGCGATGGGTCCCGATCATGTATTTATTATCCTACAGATTTGTTTACCAAATCTCATTTAATTCTTTGTCCACACATGCATCGTTGCTTATATATCTTCCTGTCTTAATTGCTGATCTAATGTCCTTTCTATTGAACTAGTTGCTTGTTAAACTGCCCCGTTCATCACATTATGATTCCGCACAGACTTTTCTTTGGCATAAAAATATGCATCAATCTCCATGATTTATATTGTATATTCTATGATAAGCTTTCCTCCTTCCTATTGAAGACTCTGGTTCTATATTGCTGCGATGGCTGTTTAATAACCGAAGCTAGTGCGTTATCCTTCTTTTTTTTTTTTTTTTTTTTTTTTTTTTTTTTTTTTTTTTATAACGTTATTATATCTTTCATTCATCTCCTCTCCCTCTTCATTTCCTCCCCCTCCCCCTCCTCCTCCTCCTCTTTCTTTTTTTACTTTGTGACTCTTATAAGGGTTTTGGCTTCTTTTTTTTCTATTAATTTATCGAGCTAATTTGGGCCATCCAGTATCATTTAGATACTATGTATTCATAAAGATCAAAAAGTTTAATTATGTAATATATTTATTTATTTAATATCTTAGTAGTATCTTTTTTTTTTCTTTTTTGTTACGTAATAATTTCCTACGTGACTGAATATTATATAATACACGGCTTTTCCAAAAATGGGTAGTAACAAAATGTATTTTTTATCTTTTTTCTATTTCTATTTTCAACCCCTCTTTTTTTTTTAATTATTTCGTGTTAAATATAAAAATGAAGAAAGTTGTCCATATTGGTAAGTGAAAAGAAGAAGAAGAAGAAAAAAAAAGAAACCGAGAAATAAAATAAAAAGAATATTAATTATAATGTACTAGTACTTGTCAAGTTTAAACCTGAAATTACAAAAGAGGCTAAAGAGAAAACAATTGAAGACGTTTTAGCTTTAAAGGAAACTATTCCTCAAATTACTATTGCTAGTGCAGGAAAAAACTTTACAGATAGAGGAAAGGGATATGAATATGGTAAGAAACGAGAGAAAGAGAGAGGGAGAAAGGGAGAAAGGGAGAGAGAGATAAATTACGTAATGACACTTTTATTGATGTATATTATGTATATGATGATGATAATTAGGCTGGGTAGTTGAATTGGAGAAAAAGGAGGTAAATAAATAAAAGTACATTGTAAGCATATAAATGTCCTCAATTTTTTTTTAAAAAAAAATATGTATATACATGTATGTATTTATAGGATCTTCCTGTTTATGCCAATCATCAATCTCATTTGGACTTTTTATCAAAATATAAGTCTACTTTTGAAGATGTTCTCGCTTTTGATTATGAATTTTAATAAATCATTATATATTTAGTAGTAGTATATAAAGGAAAGGAAAAAAGATATGAGAGAGAATGAAAGAGAGAGAGAGAGAGAGGGAGGGAGGTAGTAAAAGGGGAAACACAGGGCTTATGTTGTAGATGCAGGTGAAGACCCAAACATTTTTCTATCATTAAATATAGTTCCAAAGGATGTAGCGGGAGTAATTGTATTTTTGCCATCAAATGCAGAAGGAGAAGAAGATGAAGAATCACTTAGAGGAGTCTTCAAAGTCATCTTTTTATTGAAACGTTGACCAGTTCTTTCTGTTTCCCAATCTTCCCATTTCTTCATAACAAGACGAGTAGGATCAAATTTACCTTCTGCATCTCCATGTCCTTTATCATTCTTTTCTCCTACTACTACACGAGTGGCTCCCCAAGAAAAGTCATCAAAATGCCAGAAAGAGTATAAAGGCAAAACAAAGTTCCAAATAGGTAGAGCGATTAAATACACTATGCATATTTTTGTTTTTTTTTTTTAAAAAAAAAAAGAAAAGTGAAACATTAGATTACACAAATGTATATATATGCTTATGCTTATGCTTACCAATCATCCATAAGATATAAATAAATTTAAATGTTGTAATTGCAATCAAAACTGCAGGTAGACCAAGAATAGCAATCAGTAATGCAAGTGACTGCCATTGAGGATCAGTTGAAATTGCAGTATTTACAATTAAATAGATAGTCATTACAATAGCTGCAGGTAAAACAAGGGTACCTATTAAATCTACAAATACAGAGAATTGCATGGATAAACATGCAATACCACAAAGGTCGGAGACAAGTACGAGTTCCATCAAATTATGTACAGTTGAATTAATCCATCTACGACGTTGAGACAATAGCACTTTGAATTCATCGGGTACTACTGTTTTACACCGTGCTTGAGGTACAAACATCATCTGACGTTTAGGAAAGGTACGTAGCATTAAAGTAGACAAGAAACGATCTTCACCTAATAATAGTAAGTTTTTCTCATGTAACGTATTTACTACGTTTTGATTATATTCGAGAATAATATCTGGATTGGCCAAGATAGGCACCCAAGCGCCATTCTTTGGAGATTTAATACGATACATTGAAAAGCAACCAGGTAAACAAGTAACAATACCAAATAAAGATTCAAATGATTTTGCGTAATGATGTGAAATATAATATTCAAATACTTGAATTGCTGTAACCCCTATATAATGTATATATAATATAAGAAATCCATTATAAATAGTGATATATATATATGTATATAAATGTATGTCTTTACAAGAGGATCGTTTATTAGCAATTCTAGTTTCACCACATAAACCCATAATAGTAATATCATTTGCCATTGCTGCAACCATGTAAGTAAGCGCGTCCGATAAAACTTTTGTATCTGCATCCACCTTTTAATAAAATAAAATAAATGTCAATACTCTTTTTTTTTTTTTTTTTTTTTTTTTTTTTTTTTTTTTTTAAAGAATAATATGATTGATTCTACCATTAATACTAATTCAAATTTATCAGGTGTAACGCCTTTCATTAACCAAGTCATTTTCCAAAAAATCTCATAATCCAATTCTGATAAGCGATCATTAAATAAAACACGTTGAAAGAAGCTCATTAAAATTAACTTAAAGAAAAAAAAAATGAGTTCCATAATTATAATATATATATCTTTATAGAGATATATTTTTACCTGTGAGTCACGTTTACCACGATTACCTGCTTTAGGTGCATTTGCTTCCTCTTCTGTACCTGATTTAATAATCGTAATACAAGGAACACCCTTATAATGACCAGCATATACTTTAGCCATGTTTAATTGTTTTTCACCATCTGCAATAGCTAAATAAGAGGCAGGCTTTGGATTTGTCATGGTGGGATCCAGATCCATCATACCAACCACGATATCGGGTGTTGACCTTGTTTCACCTGCACCTGTAATCATACCATCTGCAATGACAAAGAAAATTTTATGTTTCTTAGAGTATGTAGTCTCTGCTAAACTATCCATCGTGATTCGAAGACCTTCTTCACCTTCTGAATAACAAGTGACGAGCATGACAGTATAAAGTTCTGTAGTAACGATATCTGAACGATTTCCCCCTAAACCGACAGAGGAACTTTGTTCACTAAAGACAGGTGTATTGCGAGAAGAGGAAGTAGCAGAACCCAAGGAGGCGGATGAACTAGTGACATTGTTCATGGGACCATAATTGTTATAAGGTCCTGGGATATGATTTGCGGGATCATCATTACCACCTTTAATAGAACGCCAAGCTAACCAATTTGACCTCCCACCTGGTTTAATCAATCGACTTGATATAAACCATTGAAAGAGAAGAGCCATGGAATAACGAATCACAATCATCACTATAATCACAACTAACATAAGAGTCATGATAATAGATGCTGCAATACATCCCCCAGTTTCTGTCTCCATAATGCCTACATTGTATCGAGCTATTAAACATTTATATGCATTTTTGCCACCTTTTGCATACATAAGTGCATATGATAAATCACTTGCCAAGTTATTTCGAATAGCCCGATCGACTTCCGAATCAAAAGGTGATGTATTTAAATTAAGGTATTTTGTTAAATTCAAGACTATAAGTGTGTATCATGAATATAAATTTTTAGTCCATTATGTCATAACTTTTTTTATTATTATTTTTTTTTTTTATTTATTTTACCTGAATCTCCTACTAAACTTAATCCTTGACCGTAAATCAAATCTTTATTTAAATCTTGCCAATCAAAACCTAAGATAGCGGTAGACTTTATCGATCTTTGTAATTCAGCCAGTGATAGACAAGCATTATTAGGTGCGGCTAAACCACCGCCATAAGGGTTAACAAGTACACAGGTATGGGGAAGGTCATGACCGTTACAGTCCCCATTTATATCACCATCAAAGATACCACTAATATCTGTATTTTCATAATCATTTGTTAAATTCAAGCCATGATTAGCGAAAAAGATTTTCATTTCATCCATTGGATAAATATGACCAAATACGCGAACATCGCTATAATAAACTGGGGTACGAATACCATCTATCTCTCTTGAAAAAGGTGAATTTGCACCTGGAGAAGGGCAGAGAGTACGATTCAAACCATAAGTGACAAATGCAAGTGCACCACAAAGAAATAAAATGATATAACATAATGAAAGCTAAAAATAATATTATATATACATGAGTTAGCCAAAAAAAAAAAAAAACAATCAATGTATGTATGTATGTATGTATGTATGTGTTGTTATTATCATTACCTTTTCTCTCCAAGCCTGTTGCACCATTGAATCCTTTTTCCTAAGACAAACACGGATAAACCAACTTGGTATGCAGCAGGTCATAAGAAAGGCAATCCAAGACCACCAATTAGTCAATACTTTTACTTTTTCTTCAGGTATAGTCATGTTTGTAGCATTATTATCATTTGGTCTATTATTTTGTTGTTGTTGTTGTTGCTGTTGTAGTAAAGCTTCTTGTTGTTGCTGATATATTTTTTGTTCTAATTGATGTTGTAAACGATTCGGCATAGGATAATTATTCGGTCTTTGTTGACCATAATAACGAGCATAGTAGTGTTGCTGTTGCTGTTGTTGTTGTATACGATGTTGTTGTTGCTGTTGTGAGGGAGTACGAAAGATACCTTGTCTTGGTCTTTGTCTCTCTGGTCGAGAAAGTGACCGAGATCGATTCATACTAACCCTACGATAGGGTCCATGGCTACTATTATGACTACCATTACTGCTATTACTATTATAGGGTGTGGGTGGTCGCATTAGAGGTCTATTAGGGGATGACATCATCATTCTAGATTGTCTGGATGGAGAAGGAATTCTCTGTTGTTGTTGTTGTTGTTGTTGTTGTTGTTGATGATGATGAATTTGTTGTTGAGGTCTTAATCTATGTTGATGATGTTGAGGTGGACGAGGAGGAGGAGGAGATCGTGAAAATTGATTCATACCATATGACTGGTGAGGAGAAGATCTTATCCCATACGCTTGTTGTTGCTGAGACATCCGTGGATCAGGTCGATATCCAGCAGAAGATCTATGATTTGACATACTTTATGTGCGGGGTAACTAAATCTAACAATAATTATTTTATTTACAGAAAAAGAGAAGAAAAAAAAATACACAGACACACACAAAAAAAACAAAAAGAAATATATATATATAAAAAAAAAAAAAGAACAAAAAAAGGGAAAGAAAAGGAAAATAATAAAAAAAGGGAGTTTTTATTGTTTTTTTTTTTTTTTTTTTTTTTTTTTTTGGTTTTTTTGGTTTTTTTGGTTTTTTCTGGTTGTTACTATTTTCATCACTATAGTAATCCAACAATCCCTTATTTAGTAATTGAGTTCGGCCCCTGGAAATTTTTTATATTGCCACTAAAGTAAGTTGTGTAATGTTTTATTTTTATATTTTTTACAAATTAAGAAGATGCGCTTTTATAATAATAATAATAAAAAAAAAAGAAAATTCAATTAATCATCTATTCTATTATTCTTATTATTATTATGTGTATAGAGTGAATAATTACCTTGAGCAGGACAAATTAAAGCAGCTGTATCTTCTACAGTAACTTGATGAAGTCTATGTCTAAATCTATATTGTACATATAATTGCTTCTTTTCTCCTAAGCAGGGATCATAAAATCCAAGTATATTTGACTACAAAAAAAAAAAAAACATCTTTAGTTCAACATTTTATACATTTTTTTTTTTTTGGTATTAAACAGTATTTTACTTTTGAATGTCCGCCTGGGATCGTCAGTCTCGACTCATAGACAAGCGTTTGAATTACAATACTGACATCAACAACTCCTTCCTCATCTTTATCTAAATTCTCTAAATGACCATACCATGCTTTAACAATGACAAGACCTAAATGAATATAGTCATTTTTAGAATTGTATATCTATCTATATATAAAACGAGAAATACTAATATTATACCATCGTCTTTTTTCTCTTCTTGTTTTTTCTTTCTTTCTGCTATGTCAGACATAAGTGATTGAGCTTCTAATGCTTCTTGTTTACGATTTTCAAGGTATTCAGCATGTTCAGCTCTTAATTCATCAATTTTTCTGTTTATATATATAAAAAGAGTTAGTTTATCAAAACCATACTACGTAATAAACAAATATATAAATATAAAGTAAACTTACTGCTTAATTAATCGCTTTCTTCGGGGTTTTAAAACGAGTTGATCAAGGGCTATTGCGACGGAAGCAGGAATGACTGCACCGAAGAAAGCTAGCTTGAGGTCTAACTCGGATGAAAGAATAATGGGTAATACAATTTTTTGGCCAAGACGAGATACTCTAACATGACCTTATAAATACATACATACATACATACATATATGATTATTTTTCCTTACCTAAACTTCACAATAACGCCTGAAGGTAAACCACATTCCATCGACATACCCATTCTTACATGTTGACTAATTTTATGGTCACTACCGATACTTGCCATAATCCCACCTTGTGAAGATAAAGAACAAGATAATCGAAGACGTGCTTGATGAGGTAATTTATATGTATATTCACCAGCAATATGAGAAGACATAATGCCAGTCTATAATATAAAATAGGGTAAATAGCCAAGTTAGTTATTTGTTACAATTCAATCATTTACCTGTATTTCACCACTGTAATGATTACCACGTTTATGTGTGCCAGCCATACCAAGCGATACAGAAGATCTATCCATCTTTTGAGAGACATCACCACCCCAACCTAATAAAGACCATTCACCAGTACGATAGGTCATATATCCTGTTGTAGTAGAAAATAACCTTCTACCTAAAGTAACTGAAAGTATAGGTGGCTCATGTATAGAATTTATTTGAGCTGAAGAGTTAATAAAACTATGAACAAAAATAAGAATGAAATCTTTTTTGTTTATTTTATTATCTCTATTGCTATTTACCTATCCTGAGATAATGTATAATAACTTTTTAATGTGATCATCCTAGGTGTCAATAAAGTAGCTGTTACCTTAAAATAACATAATGTTAACTAAGTTTGTTCACGTCCAAGATAATAAAATGTACTTACTTCTCCCCATAATTTTGGAGATATAGTGTGTCTAATCGTTCCTAATACATTACCACCACCCATACCAGATCTTGATACCATTGTCCCACTAACAATAGCATGTGTTTGTTGTCCAATTTGTGTCTGTATACAATGCATTTTAATATGATTCATAAATAGACTTTCTATTTTCTTTTATCTACCTGAAAGGAATGTCGCATAAATAATTGCTGTGTCTGTGCTTTTGTAAGGAAACTAAGAGGATTCTTTTTTCTCTTTTGTTGTAAAGGTTGTTGTCCAAATCCAACAAAGATAGGTGGTTCATAAGGATCAAATATTTGTGTAGCATTTACTGTTAATTGAAATTCTCCTTTTGATCGAACCAAGTTCTCTAATTCCTGTTCTCTTTTTTGTCGAGCCATTTTCTCATATTCTTCTCTTAACTACATGTATATATTTCAAAACGTAAATACTCTCATTCGTATATAGTAAAAAAAAAAAAAAAAAAAAAAGGGGGAGTAACATTGTGCTTACTTACTTCTTCTTTTGTTTTATAACGAGGTCCTATATCCCAGCTTGCATTTAATCCTTCTTCGCCATATGTATCATAAATAATTCTTTTTTGTGGATTACATAATACTATATGTGAGTGTGTATATTTATTTAGCTCTTTATCCAATTGAATTTGTCTAATATCATCCTAATGTACCTTCATATGCTTTTTGAATAACTTGAAAACGAGATTCTGCTACTTTTTTTTTTACTTCATCTGTATGCTATACGAGATGATTAGAAATGGAAGAGGTCATTATTTAGTGTTCTTATTCATTACTTTATCAGGATGAAAGAATCTACATAATTTTTTGTATGCTTCTTTAATTTCATCCTCTGTAGCCTTTATAAGTATAACAAAACGAGTTAATCATACTAGGTTGTTGTTTTTTTTTTTTTTTTTTTTTTTTTTTCATTCTTTCTTTAATGTATAAATTACTTTTCTAGAAACATTCAAGACACCATAGTAATCAGCAGATGCAGATATCAACTCTTTTTCAAGTTTCTTTAAATCATCATCATCTATATCTTGTTGTTGCGTATCCTCATGTGTACTTTGAGTCGTAAACTCATATGGATCCATAGTCTTTATATTGTTGTTGACAATAATTAACAAGAAGAAGAAGGAAAATTAAAAATTAAAATTAAAATTAAAAAAAAAAAAAATTAAAAGACAGGACCCCTTGTTGTGATTCAGTGTGCATGAACAAAGGGAGTATCAAAGCAACCTTAATAGTCGAGAATTTATTTTAAAGGAATTGTCTCTATTTTATGACCCATTTTTATATAAATTTTAGTTAAATGATAGGCTTCTTTTAAATCTTCTTCTATCACAGAAGAGGGTATCTTTAATGACTGAATGACTTTTTCAGATAACGACCAAGCAATACTTGTATGAAATCGAGGTGGATTATAAAATACAGGTTTACGATATTGAGTTAAAATTGTATCAATCGATTTCATACAATGTAATAACTAATTCCACTTTTTAGTATATAAAACCCAAGTCAACTAATTTATTTATTTACCTCATTGTAACCATTGCCTATTTCTAAAGTTAAAAAGGATCGTGTCTTTTCCTCATTAGTTAAACAAGCTAATTGTGCAAAAGATATATTAAATGACTCAATATCTTTGACAGCATTTCTTATATCACTTGTAAATGAATCTAATTGATATTTTCTAAAATAAATAGGTCGGCTTAAACTGATATGAAATTCTTCTTTCATTAATTCAACCTGATTATTTAAATAAGCTGATATTTTCTTGATTATCTCACTATTAGATAAGTTCACTTTAAATCTGTCAATCTTTTTTTTTTTTTTTTTTTTTTTTTTTTTTTTTTTTTTTTTTTTTATATCATATTTATTTATTACTCCTTACCCTTAAAGTAGACATAAGTAGCCCAACTATCTACTTTATGTGGAATTGTACGTACTCTTCCATTATGACTTTCCGTAGTTGTTGAGTTTTGTGTTTGTATGTTAAAGAAAGATGGTAACTTTGGCATTTTGTTAACATTGCTAGTGTAAATATGTATATACATTATAGTTTAATTTAATACATGTATATGCAAATGTATGTGTGTGTATATTTATTATATTTTATCTACTTGCTATCCATAGAAGCTTTTCTCTTCAGTCTATTTTCTTGAATTATTTCAGTTTGACTTTCTTCATCAGACGATTCATATTGATTAAGTGATTCCATTTTTTTTTAAAGAAAAAAAAAAAAATACACATAGTAAAAATAAAGTCTTTTTTTTTTTTTTTTTTTTTTTGCATTCCTATTTTAAAGCCAGTTGTTTCTTTATCTTTTTCTTTTGTCAACATGAAAACAGAAGAAACTGAATTACAAAATAATATTCATACTGATGATAAAGGTAGAAATGATACTGATATATTCTAATTTATATTAACATGATTCCTTTTTTTTTATTCTCTCGATAAGATATAGATATAGTTGAAGATTTTGCAAAACAATTAGATAAAAGTAATATCAATAATAGTTAAAGACTTAAATGTACACATGTAACTTAATTCAATGACATTGACTAGTTGTGCATATTCAAGAAAATAATTCGAGTGAAACTGACGAAGAAGAAGAATTAGATACTTTTGGATACCAAGCTTTACCTCAAGAAGACAATTATCAGTTATTAGATTCAGATGATGAAGACCATTCATATACTTTAGAGAAAGAAACATATATTGAAGCACCCATCATCGAATTAGAACCTTCAGAAAGACTATCTTCAGGTAAGAAAAGTTCAATCTATTTGCATATTCCATTCTAAATGAAAATAATAAAAATAAAAAAAGATACAACAAATTTAATAAAATCAATTATGAACAATATTCAATTATCGGATGAAGCAATACCAGGTAAAAAAAAAAAAAATATTAAACACACTACTTTTTTTTCTTAAAAAAAAAAAAATTAACAAAATAAAAAAAAAAAAAAAAAAAAATAGATTGGGCTAAAAAAATTCCTGAACACGCTTGGTTACCGCGCGTAAAAAAATAAATGTTTTTTTTTTCTAACAATAAAATATGTGTAAAAAAAAAAAAAAAAAAAAAAAAATTGTGGGTGAATAGTGTCGATTTTTTTTTCTTTATAAGAAAAAAAAAGTGACGCGCGGTGACTGCCACCGAATTAATCACACGTTAATCAAGCTAATCTATTGGTGTCTTTTGAATGCAATCAATAAAGGTTCGGCCTACTCAGACTGAAAAAAAAAATAAGCCTCATAATACATCTATTTTATTGCATACACACATACATTTTTCTTTTTTCTTTTTTTTTTTTTTTATTATTATCATTATTATTCTATTTTATTAAAGTAAGTTTTTATTTAGGAGTTAAAAAAAAATGAGATCCCTTTTTTTTTTTTTTGTATTAATTTTTTTTTTATTTTCCTTTAAACGCGATCCGTTAGTATGCCTAAGGAAACTGTTAAAGAAACTAAGCGCGCTGCTTCTAAAGTTGATGATGAAAAGAAGAAGTCTAGACGTAGTAAGAAGGATCCTAGTGCCCCTAAGCGCGGTTTATCTGCATACATGTTCTTTTCTCAAGAAAAGAGAGCTTCTGTAAAGGAAGAAAATCCTGAAGCTACTTTTGGTAAGGAGAAAAAAAAAAGAAAAAGAGAGAGAGAAAGAGAGAGAGAGAGAGAGAGGATTGGGATACTGAAGTGGATTCATATAGGACAAATTGGTAAGATCCTTGGTGAAAAATGGAAGGCTATGTCTGATGAAGAAAAGAAGGTAAATAGAATAGAATAGCTATATTGACCACAAATACTAAACTAACTAATTTTATTATCATTAGCCCTATGTTCAAAAGGCTGAAGCTGATAAGAAACGTTATGAAAGTGAAAAGGCTGCTGTAAGTTTTATAATAAGCATTTAATAATGAATTATACTCATTTATTTCCTTTAATAAATAGCAAGCATAAAATAGCTATTTGTTACTAGCTTATATATATAAACATTTACATGTAAATCATTAAATGACGTTTACCCTCTGGGATAATATATACACAAATATACTTTAATTAAATACTCATAATTAGTTTTATACATCTATTGATTATGTAATTGGAGGGAAATGAAAAATAATATTTTATTTTGTACGCGTATTTTAAGATAATATAAGATTAAATAAGAAATCAGGCTTATGAAAATCATGATGAACAACATTTACAAGCCAGTATGTTTCTTTCACTTCTTTTAAAAGCTTTTGACTTTTACTATGAGTTGGATATTCTTCTTCCCACTCTGTCCATAATTCAAAGGCTTCATCCTATTATTATTATTTTATTTTTCTAAGAAAATTTTTCTTTCTTTCTTTTTTTATTATTTACTACCTTCCAAGCTTGGAAACTTAATCTTTCAATGATGGTAGACTGAATAATTTCTTTACACGGGAAAACACCCCAAGTGACGGTGTTTTGTGCATCAGGATCAGATATATTGGTACGAAAATCATCCTACAAAAAGAATACAAAATGAATGGTACACGATCCTATATTATTAGAGAAGATAATGACTTCTTTTTATACATATCTATTTGTATACCTTTTGATTAATTGCATAATAACTAATCGATTTATCTTTGGAAATACGATTTAAAATGGAATCAATATGTTGGTCAGAAACAAAGAATTCAATAAAAGCCTTTTGATAGACATAACCTCCTTTAGGTCCCCAGCCATAAATAGGATCTTCACTAGACACTCCATTTACTGCTGGTTGTGAACTCACTGTCCAGTAACCACGTTGATTCATTTCTATTAACCGTTGTCGAATCGTTTCACTTTCTGTTTGAAGACTTTCTTCACACCAAGGTAAAGAATGAATCTCTCCTTTAATATATTTTACAAATAACTCTGTCAAATCTTGTATACTTTCTGGCTGTCCCCATTTTGATATAGCTTGTGATGTCTATACTCGTATTAAGACAATAATGGATTAATATAATGACTATTATATTATATGGGAGTAGATCTATCTCTTTCTTTCTTTTTTTTTTTTTTTTTTTTTTTTTTGAACTTTACAGGTAGTATTTGACTTCCACTAAATGTATGTTCACCATAAGCTATATTAAGATCCATTTAATAAATATAAAACATACAAAAATATATAGATCATTATTGTTAATATATAAATAACAACTTGCCTGGTGAACGTGAATCACCATATCTACCATTAGGAAATTCATCCCATAATTCTGCTCTTGTAGGATCATGAACAACTGTCCAGGGAGAGAGTATTCTATTAGAATACTCTTTCTATTCATAGGGATGATTATTTTTAATATAGAATGGTTTTAAATAAATAAAAATCTGTTATCTTTACCTCCTTAGGTTTATGTATTTGTAAAGCCTCTAAAATGAGTCGTGTAGATCTTTCTAGATTAAGTGTGGAAATATGAAAATGACAAATGCCTTCTTCCTTGTACAAACGTTGAATCATAGACACTGCAAGTTGAACACCATATTCTTTTACCTTTTCATCATCACTCTAATTTGATCGAGTATTATTTAACTTTTTTGCATTTTTTTTAAAAAAAAAACTTACTTTAATAGCGTCTAGATCCATCATCATCTTCTTTGGTACTTTTATATTACAAAGATGAATCATTCGACGAAAGCTTTGATAAGTAGGGATAGGCATAATACCTGGTATAATAGGTACCTGAATACCTATTTCACGACATGTGTGTAGCCAATTAATAAAGATATCTGTATCATAAAACAATTGTGTCATCACAAAATCTGCCCCTGCCTCTATCTTTGCTTTTAAATAATTCATTTCTTGATCTTGATTAGGACAATCAATATGTCCCTCTGGATAGCCAGCGACACCAATACAAAAGTAATCTCCATACCATTGACGGATATAACGTACAAGGTCAATAGCATGTGAAAAGTCAGTATCAGTCGGTGTCCAGTATTCATGTCCTCGAGGTGGATCCCCTCGAAGAGCCAAAATGTTACGAATACCTGCCTCTTGAGCTGCTTTTAGAGCACTATCTATCTTGTCCTTTCCCATATTCGTACAGGTTAAATGCATCATTGTATCTAAACCATACTGTCTTTGTGCAGTTGAACAGAGTTCTAAACTATATTTCTGACTAGATCCACCTGTCCCCCACGTACATGAAATGAAATTAGGTTCTAAATGGGCCATACGTCCCAAGCGATCTATAAGGTTACCAAACCCCTTTTATATATACATATATGTATATATTATACAAACAAAATAATAAATACTCCTTTCCCCCCTTTTTTTTTTCTTCTTTTGATTCTTATTAATATTACTAAATCAGTTTTTGGAGGAAAATATTCAAACGAATAAGAAAGATCTCTATTACTGTTTACTTTGTTAAGCTTATCTATTACTTTCATATTTAAAAATAAAATAATAAAAAAGAAAAAAAAAAAAAAAAAAAAAAAAAGAAAGAATCAAGAATAGATAGAAGAGATGAAAGAGTAGTAAGTTTTAAAAGTATAGATGTGACTTTTGATGTAAATAATCTTAAACGGGTGGCATTTGCATTATATTGGTTGATTATAATATGGAGTAAAAAAAAAATTATCGAATAAAAAAGATGTAATTCATTCTACCACCTAAATAATTGTATAAGAGGCGTTTATCAAAAATTATATAAGATAACACTAAGATACCACCAGCCTGTCAAATGTGAATAAAATATTTACACTTTAATGAATTACAATGTCTTTTTACAACATTCCTTTTCTAATGCTTTGGCGTTATAATTGATGTTAATCTATTAAGCTTATTTACTGTGATTAAATATAAAAACAGACGCGCGTTATCTATTTTGTTTTCCTTCAATATACTACTTGCAATACATAAAGACACACATATACATGTATGTATATAAAACCTTGACTATCTCTTTTTCTTTTTTTTTTTTTTTTTTTTTTTTTGTTTATTATTATTCATAATATCGATTTTATCTCTTTATTTATACAGTGTTTCTAAGAACTATATAAAAAGCATGTAAGTAAATAAATAGAATAATTTCTTTTTTCATCAACTATTTACCAAGAACAACAGTATCACCACGAAGGAACATCTTACTAACAAAACGATCTTTATTCACAGGCTTTGCCTTTGAACCCTTACCACTACGAGGTGTTTCAGTCCACATCTATTAAAATAATAATAATAAAATAAAAACCATAATTCTTATTAATATTTCTTTTTCTTTTTTCTTCCCCTTCTCCCAATTAAATGATTATTGTGCATCTTATTCACCTCTTTAACATTTTCAAGAACCATGTTACAATGACGATCAAATGCCTTCACACGAGCTAAAAGTTTATGATTGTTACGACAACTGATCAAAACTTGGTTGTTATTTTTTACTGATTGTTGTAAAACAGAGAGAGGACCGGTATTGAATTCGAGTTCTTCTTGTTGACGGAGTTCCTCCTCTGTCATTTCAGATTTAGGTTTATTCAATACAGAACTAAAAGTATTTAAATGTTCATTAGTATTTTTTTTTTTTAAATGTATACATGTATGCATTTATTATAAATTTTAAATTTTACCTCATTGCTATTATATATTAATTTGCTTAAAGAAAAATAAAAAAGAAAAAAAAAAAAAAAAAGAAGTAAGCTCTATCAAAATTTTTGCTAGATTCAGAAAAAAGTGACGTCTTCTTGTTAGTTTCTTCGCGTTGTCCTAGAAAAAAAAAAAAAAAAAAAAAAAAAAAAGGTTTCTTTTTATAGCATATTCCATGATAATTCACCAAATGCACATTTCAATAATTGGCATGTAATAAATTTCTTATTAATCCAAAATAAATCTTTATTCATCTATATGGATTTTGGCACACATAACTTTAAAGTTTTTCTAAAATTTGTTATTCATCAGTCGACTAAAGAACATGATAGTATAGCTTTGAAAAATGATGGAAAAAAAAAAAAAAAAAGTTAAATCATGTCTTCAACATGTTGAATGAATCAATGAAATAACACTATCTATTTTTATTTGATACAGTTGTTATCAGGAAATACAATACTGTACATGTATTTCATCATTTTCTTTGCACATCTTTTGAGTAACTCGATGTTACTATTCAAATTGTGACTTAATCAATATATATACATGTATTTGATTGTTTAGTATGCTTCAATTAAACATATACAAATAGGAGTTTATAGATTATTATCTCTCTCTATACCTTTTTTTTTTTCATTTACATGCTATTTCATTTATACCATCAATACTATCCATCTTACTAAAGAGTACTAATTCTTTTTTTTTTCTTTTGTAGGGTCGTCATTAAATTCTACTAAACTACACTAATTGCAAATAAAAATAACACTTTTAAACAAAGTACAAAAAAAAAAAAAAAGGTTTTCATAATAATGATAATGTAACCATTGCGTGTATGCTATATTTATATCCTTTTTCATGATTTTTTGGTAATCTCCCAACAAAAATATAAGTTTACATGTAAAATCGAGCTTTGCTTCTATTATTATTATTTTTGAATAAGAAAAAAAAATTGTTTAAGAACGTCCACGATCTCTAGAACGCTCCAAAGCTACATAGATAATAGGAAAAAATAAATAAATATTTTATATAATCAAAATTTCTACTTTTTTTTTTCTTAAACTTACGATTGTAATGTAAGAGTTTTTCAATCAAGTCAACATGAGTTAAAACCATACGTCTGCAGCAATAACGTTTAAGTCCAAGTGCATCTAAGGCCTCACTATATATATATATATAAATGTATGTATATACGTAAATGAATGATCTACTTTAATTCGTATACTATTTCTAAACTATTACCCTTCGGTATATTCTGCTTGTAATAATGACAAGTAATTATCCCACTTGTTACCAATAACTTTACCACAAGAAAAACAACGAACGGGAATAATCATATTATGTTATATACAAAGTTTGGAAAAAAAAATATAAAAATATTATTTGCAAAGCGTCAAAAAAAAAAAAAAAAAAAAAATGAATAAGCTCTGTTGTAGACTTCCAAAAAAAAAAAATCCCATCTAGTAGTCACAATTTCTTATTTTGGTTATTGTGACCGATATTTAGTTTTTGAATGTGGTGGCTTTTAGCATAATTGATAAATATTGAATGTGCCTGAATTGCTTGAATTACTTGTACCCGCAGCTGCAATATGTATTTGATGATCCAACTCATAGGCTTTAAAGGCATTTAATTTGCCAATTGAATTATCCAATTGATACATATTTAAGATGGCTTGATTTTTATCTGTACTAGTAGGATTCCAAACAGTAATTCGGCTATTACTTGAACCTGTAAGAAGACGAAGTTCCTTATTTGAGTTTGTCAAAAACGATCTATACACATAGATGTCTATAAGTAAATATATGTATATATATACAAATATGATATAAACTATAGTCTTACAGGCAATTCACCATGGCATTATGCCCATTTTCAAGTCTAATTTCCTGCAAATTATATTTTTTTTGTTTCTTATTTGGTGGGGACAGTAATTGAATAGTTGTATCACCTAGACCAGCCGCAATCCATTCACCGTCTGGAGAGATATCAAGTGCATATACAAAGGGTGGGTTGAACATTTGAGTCGATGATGGTTCTTTTGGAGCTATTAATAATAAAAATGAATATCAAATAATAGATATTTATTTATATTTTTCTCTTACTCATGTTATAAATATGAGTTGGTGACCCACGAGAGAAATCCCATTCGTAAACTTGACTGTCCATTCCACCAGACCAAACTATATGTAAAACCAAAATCTTTATATCTATTCTGTCAATGTGTGTGTTTTTTTCTTTGTTACCTTCCCATGGTTTCCTTGCTCTAAACTTGACCGACATGCAAATCTAATATCTATGGCATTTATAATTGAACATCTAAAGATACTCTCTATTCGACTTACATTGCTATGCTTTTTTGTGGTTTTTTTATAAATTTTATGGCTGCCAAGATCAACTATTGAACAATAAGTAAAGAGAATTATCATTCCTGGGGGGCAAATATTTACGTACTTATATTCAATACTCCTTCGTCATCGACAGAGGCCAAAAATGTATTGTTATCATTGATATCAATCTATTTGTTTTAAAATATACTTTTAGAACATATAAAGAAAAAAAAAGGGAAAATAAAAGTAATTACACTATTAATTTCATCTTTACTAAATTGATAACTCTGTGCTGGTTCTGTTAGAATAATCCCTTCAGCTCTTAAATCATATGTATGTATCTAATAATAAATTTATGCTTAGGAAAGGAATAATCAATCATTTGCATCGATATTCTTACATTTCTGCCTGAGGAAAGATATAAAAATGGTAAACTTGATTTCTTTGCAAACTTTACGCTAGTAACCTTATTATTTATAAATATTTCATATACATGAAAGTTAGTTGAATTCAATCAAACAGACAAACAAAAAATTAACTTTTTTTTTTAAAAAAAAATAATAATCACTGGCTCATTTAAGTTTTTAATTCCTTTGATGACTCTTTTTGAATTGAGATCCCATATTCTACAAGTATTATCATCTGAAAATAGTGAAGGTGATTACTCAGTTCTGTATTTCTCTCGTCTTCTCCTCTTCCGAAAAATAAAATAAAATAACACACACTACCTGAGCCTGTGGCTAATATATGGTTCCCTAGAAATGATGTATCCGCATAATCAACAGTAATAATAGGCCCATGATGACCTTTTAATTCAAATAAAGGTGTTATATGCTTTATACTCATATTCAAAAAAAAAAAAAAAAAAAAAAAAAAAAAAAAAAAAGAATACAAATATAAAAGGACCAATTGATCAAAAAAAAAAAAAAAAAAAAAAAAAAAAAAAATAAAGAAAAATCGTGACTGTCAAATAAAAAAAGAGAAAATTAAAAAAAAAAGCTTTTTAATCGTTAGACGTTTTAAACAAAAACCTTTTTTTTTTTTTTTTAATTGCTATAATATAACATGGAACATCGTCATAGACCTGGTAGTTCCCACCAGTCTAACAAGCCTTTTAAAAGTCGCCATGCCACTAAAGGTGCTTTAAAAGAAGCTTCAAAGGGTAAAATAAATCGTATGTCTGTCAAACAAGCTAATGCTGGCAAAATTGTTTCCAAGACGGATCGTCGTCATGCTGCCAAGATTCTTCAACAAAAGAAGCGTGAAGAGATTACTCGTATTAGTCGATTATTTGAAGGTCGTCAAGGTGCACCCAAGATTGTACCTGTTTTACCTTTATGTCCCGACAGTGATGTTGAATCAGCTATTGAAGCCCTCTACAGATCACTTCTTCAAGAAATGCCAGCCAATGCTAAAGAAGAAGCTACAACACTTAATGTTGAACGTTTCAAGCAAAAGATTCGTTTAGTTCCACTTAAACGTAACTTTATTGATGTGATTGATGCCTTCAAGGTAGCCGATTTTGGCATTCTGCTAATGTCTGCTGATGTTGAAGTGGATCAATTTGGTATCAATTGTCTTTTAGCCATCTTGAATCAAGGTATCGTCAGTCCTGTTCCTGTGGTACAAAATATAGAACATGTCCCTATGAAGCTACGTAACAGTGTGAAAAAATCCTTGATTGCCTTTGTCCAACAGTTTTTCCCAGAGGAGGAACACTTGTTTAGCTTAGATACGGATAATGATAGCATGAATGTATTGCGTTTTATTACTTCACAACGTCCTAGACCTATCACATGGCGTGATAATCATCCTTATCTCTTGGCTGAACAAGTTCAATTTGATCCTATCTCAGCTGAAAGAGGTACCTTGAAGGTCACTGGCTATGCTCGTGGTAATCCCTTTAATGCAAATCGTTTAGTTCATTTGCAGAACTTTGGTGATTTCCAAATCCAGCAAATCACAAATGCTCCTATAGTCAACTCTAACGCTTTAGAAGATATGCAAGAAGACATTGATGTCATTGATACCCCTAATTCTGAAGAACAAGATGATTTAATTGCCGAGAATGAACCTGATTTTATGAATAATGAACAGACTTGGCCTACGGAAGAAGAACTTGCTGAAGCAGATGCTCGTGTTCGACGTATGCGTGGCTTAGACGGTGATAAAGAAATCAAGAAGCGTGTCCCTAAAGGTACGTCGTCGTATCAGGCTGCTTGGATTGTTGATGAAGATGATGAGGATTATAGTGAAGTAGAAGAGGAAGATGATGACACGATGATGCAAGAAGATGATGATGATGATGATGATATCGTTCAACCTGCTGACAGCTCCTTCCCTATTGAAGAAGAAGAATATGAAGAAATTGAATTAGAAAGCAAAGATACTTATAAAGATGAATTAGATGCTGAAGAAGAAGCTAGACAATATGAAGAATATCTTAAAAATAGACAGGCTGAATATCAGAACCATAATGAGTTCCCTGATGAAATCGATACACCCACTCATATTCCTGCTAGAGAACGTTTTGCTCGTTATCGTGGTCTTCAATCTTTTAGAACTTCTCCATGGGATCCTTATGAAAACCTTCCTATCGATTATGGAAGAATCTTTCAATTTGAAGATTTCAATCGTACCAAGAATCGTGTTATTAGTCAAGCTATTGTTGGTAGAGTAAAGCCAGGTAGAAGAATTACACTTTGGATCAGCAATGTACCTATTCAAGCCTTTGGTAAATATTTTTTTTTTCTTTGATTTGATTGTTTGTTTATTTATTGATTTTAAAAGAAATATGATGATGTTAATGACTGATATAAATAGAGGCTTATGATAAGACAAGACCCTATATTGTATTCGGTCTTTTACAATATGAACATAAAATGTCATTACTTAATTTGCAAATTCAAAGAGATAATGCATACGAAGAGCCTGTTAGATCCAAAGATCCTATGGTGTTACATATGGGCTTTAGAAGATACAATACTCGTCCTATTTACTCACAAAATACAAACAAAGGTGTTAATCATGTTCATAAATTTGAACGTTTTATACAAATGGGACGTTCTTATGTTGCAACTGTGTATGGTCCTGTCTGCTTTGGTAAAACACCTGTGATGTTATATAAAGAGACTGATAATATAAATGGTAAAAGAAGAAGAAAGCATAAATGTGTTGTTTAGATAACTAATCTATTTCTATACATAGAGCCTATTTTAGTTTCTACAGGTACATTTATGGACGTTGATGTAAAACGTATTATTGCCAAACGTATTATATTAAGTGGTCATCCTTTCAAGTGTCATAAACGATCAGCTGTCATTCGATATATGTTCTTCAATGTTGAAGATATTTACTGGTTTAAGCCTGTACAACTTACAACAAAATATGGTCGTGTGGGTCATATTAGAGAATCACTAGGTACACATGGTTATATGAAGTGTATATTTGATGGACCTTTAACACAACAAGATACGGTCATGATGTGTCTTTATAAACGTATATTTCCAAAATGGAACACGGAATTATATAGAGGAGGATTAGATAGATCTGTAGAGCATACTGAAATTGTCAAAGCTACAGCAATGGAAGAATAATAGTAATAATAATAATAAAGGCATCAGGATGCTTTATAGATTCTGAATAAAGTATATATAAATAAAGTATATTTCGTTTATTTAATGTAATATTCTATGTATATCTTCTCTCTCCTCCCCCTTATTCATCTTCAAAGATTTCAGCATAATTTTCTAGAATAGTTTGAACTACTTTAGCTTGCAATTGAGATTCAGCAATCCTTTGATTATCATGAAGAGTAGTTTGACTTTGTGATCTTGTTTCGTTACTCATTAATGTCAAACCAAAAATAGTAGCTAGATTAGCCGCTCCCATTTTATTAAACCTTTGATAAGATTGTACACTAAAGAATGAATACTACGTTAGTTTTATCAATGGTGTTTTTTTTAAAAAAAAAAAAAAAATAAACCTTACTTGTAAAGATGGCACATTAAGAATTTTAATGAGGCATAATGGGCATCTGGTAGTTCATTAATAACAGTATGAAGTCCAATAACACGGCTTCTTTCATCAGGTAACTCTATAGATTAGAAAGAAAAGGTTGAGCGAAAGATGTGTATAGATATATATCCTTCTCTTTTACCAGCTGCTTCTAAGAACTGATGATATGACTGAGAAGGGATTAAAGGATTTGGTAATTCTCTAAACCAAAGTTTTAATACACTGGTCACATTATTAATATCCGATATATCTTCTTCTGATATTGGATTAGGCTCTCCATTTTCAAATTTGAATTTAATTTTTTGAATTCTACTACTTGTACCAGATAATCGATAAATACCAACAGAATTTAAACCATATTGTTCAACAACAGTAGCACATTTTCTTAATATATCAGGAACCATATCTTCAGATAACGCTGCCAAGTTTTCTAAGGGCACACCAAATACTTTATTATTATTATAGTTTGTAGTCATTGGTAACTAAGATATTTCGAGTATTAGTTTGCCTTTTCTTTTTTCTTTCTTTCTTTTTTTGGGTGTACTACTAACCATATTATCCTGTTGAATAAAGTCATTTCTTTGAATTCTTCCTCCTCGTTCAGCACATAATCTAACAAATTCAGCAAAATCAGCATCTTTATCAATTTTGGTAATCAAAGCCCTTAAGCCATTTCCTAAACATAATAATTCATTAAGCAAAGCTTTTGTCTCTCTCTCTCTCTCTCTCTCCTTTTTTTTTTTTTTTTTTTACCTTGATCATTATCCAATGCTAATCCATCCTCTGCAAGCGCTTGTTCAAATGTATATGAATAGTTAGCTAATTGATATCGAAGTGCAATATTACATTCGTCGTCTACTGCTTTTAATTCCTGTTTATAAATATGAGAAGAATGAGGTTTATGTAATAATGATAATCAATGATTCACTTACAGTTAGTAGCTTTGGTAAATGAGACTCATAATATTCAGTATGAGTTTGAATGGTCTTTTTTTGTTGAATCTTGTATTGAGTATCAGCAGCATCCATCTTATTCCTGCATTCAGATTCAATTTTATCAAGCTAAATGTATATGAGTACATTTATTGATATTCCTTTTTTTTTTTTTTTTTTTTTTTTTTTTTTTTTTTTTTTTTTTTTTTTGCTTTACTTGTGCAGTATTTCTAGCCGAACGAAATATGTTCTTTTTTAATTGTTGTGTTGGTTCCTGATTTCTTTGCGATACGGCTCTTCCCCATTCTTCATTTGTGCTTTCAAATTTTTGCTTACTCTGTATTAAAAAAAAAAAAAAAAAAAAAAAAAAAAAAAAAAGACAATAATATGAATAATAAAAAAGACAGACGGAGAGGTAAAAGAAAAGTAACCTTTTCTAAGGAAGCATCAGCATCAATGACTGATTTTTCATAACGTATTCCAGTGTCTTTAATCTATTATATAGGATTAACAAATATTCATTCTTATTTCTTTTGATTCAAAAAAAAAGAAAAAAAAATTACTAGCAAACAAATAGTCATTACCTGCTTTCTTTCCTTTTCAATACTTTTACTTAGTGCTGATAAATCTTCAGCTGCATCCGAAATTGCAGCAGCAAATTTAATTCGTTGATTTCCAATATTTTCATGTACCTTTAGCATTGATATCCAAACATCACCAAAAGTTCTATTACAAAAGAAGAAGAAGAAAATTGGTTATTCAAGCAAGCAAGCAATGAATTATTTATCCATGAATAGGATTACCCTGATTTTGGATGTGCCTTATCAAAACTCTCTGCTGTCATTTGTGCGACTTTAACCATTTCTTTACCATAACTTTCCTCCAATAATGATCTTTTCTTTAAAAATGCAGATATATCCTGGAAAAAACACAATCATTATTCATTCATAACTCCTATATAAATTTATATAGAACTAACCTTACTCATCTGTGTATCGCCTTTTACTTTCTCTAACATAGCATGCAATCCTCCCTATAATACAAACAAACAAAAAAAATTTTTTTTCTTACAAGTTATTTGCTTGCTTCTTTTGTTAAAGAGGATATGATATTTACTTCAATTTCTGCCATTTGGCTTACAAGTTCGTCAGCTTGAATATTTGATTCATCAAAGGTAGTTGAATTCTCAAGTATAACCATTTTTTATTTCTATTCTAAATAATGTTAAAAAAAAAGAAAAATAAGGAGAAAGTAAATAAAAAAAAAAAAAAAAAAAAAAGTATTAATTACGGAAAAAAAAGAAGGGGGAAAAGAAGGGGGAAAATACGTAAAATACATAACCCAAAAAAAAAATTAATAAGAGAGTGAGTGAGTGAGTGAGTGAGTGAGTGAGTGAGTGAGAGCAAGAAAGAGAGAGAGAGAGGGAGATTACAAAAAGGGCTCTGTAAACTCTTTCCGTATTTGGAAATATTATAGATACACAAAGTATTATTATCGTTCATAATAAAAGGAGGGGGTCATTTTGTACACACACAAATAAGATATAAAAGTTAATTTGTGGAGTATGAAAATAAGTTTCTTGCAATGTTTAAAATTGACAGTCGTTACAGCAAAACTTTTTCTCTTTCTCTCTTCACTATGATGATACCATTATTAGCACTATCTCTGTTTGTATTTGCATAATATATATAATAAATAACTCAAACCTAATGAATGAATGCCGTACAAATTAAGATGAAGCACAAATAAGTAAATTATATGACTACAAGTGCAGTAGTTATAGCTAGAAAGAAAGAAAGATAAGGGAAGAGGGGAATAATAGCCTATTATAAATACATCTTTCCCATAAACAGGTCAAAAAATTTATATTGAATACCGAGTATTCTGGATTTAAGTTTCAGCCATAATGAATGAAGCTTTGGGTAAATTACATGACAATATCAAAACATAAACTTCTACAAACATATATGAGATAGAGCTTTCCTCAATAGACATTATATAATGGCTTGGATTTTTTTTTTTTCTATTTTTTTATTTTGTAAATATTATGATTTTATTCTTTAGTATTGACTTAATGAATGAATAAACTATATATGCATATAATATATACATAGGGTGAAAAGGACAAAATAAACTGTAAATATAATATCTACAAGATATACCTATTATTTGTAGATTGCTTTTTTTTTTCTGAAACTTGCAACGAAACGCTGCAGGAGGGTGCTATTACTTAAATTAATAAGAATTTATTTAATGATTGTTAGTATATCTATAATAAGTATGCTTTGATCATTTCATAAAAGAAAGAAAGGATGGGATCCTTATTTAAATACACAGGCAGAATACCTCTTCTTTTTCTTTTTTTAGACTTGCATCTCAGTATTTAAAATCTTGATTATATAAAAAATATTTGGAAGCTCCAACATTATATCCAGTTTCATTCATGACTTCAGGCTCACATGGATTCAAGGGCCAATTTTGAATCCAATTTTCGTGCATTTCCTGTTCAAATACCATTTGACGTTTTATCTCTACAGATAATTCAAATTCCAATGTATTATTAACCCGATACAGATTACTACTTAGACTCTGCTTAGGCTGTTGGCATAGTTCCTCCTTAAGGTCTTCAATTTCATCTAATTCGTTGCATTCTTGATCCGAACCAAAGGCAGATACCCATTTTTGTGATTCAGAGTTAAATATCATATTATTTCCCATCACTGCAGCATATTTGCTTGGCTTTTGCTGTTTATGAGTCATAAGCATTAATCGTGAATGTCGTTGAATAGGTGGCTTTTCTTGAAAGCTAATTAAACTTGCTTCGTTTCCTTTCCAACAATGTGTAGATTCATCATATTTCATATCATTATATTCTGTCATTAAACACAAGGAAATTAAATCAATATCTATATCTATATGTGTATACTTATATTTGCTTTATATTGTACCTTTTTTTAAATTTTGTTCGTTAGGTTTAATAAGCTTAATAGCACTTTGCCTTTTCGTCGTTGATGCCTATTTAAAAAGAATTTTTTTTTTTGGTCAATCTAGGTATAATCTACTTGTATATACTCTATTTACATACATGCATGTTTTGACGCCAGGGACGTTGTGGATCAGATGCTGTACTCTCATACTTTAGACGGTCCTTGAATGATACGTGTGGTTTCCTATTGGTTGGACGAAGATCATTTAAGTTATCAATGTTATCTAGACGAGAACAGTATGAAGTTGTAGTTTTTGTTTTTGGACGTGCAATGAGAGTATAACCATTGACACTCTTTTTAACACTAGGAGAGCTATCTTGTGACCTTAATAAGAATGAGCTCACTCCTGTTAGATGAGAATTCTTTGTTCCCATGTTTTGTCTTTGTTGTTGTTGTCTAGGTAGATAGACAGTACGTTTAGAGGTAACAATATCAGGTTCATGATGAAGGGGTGATTGAGCATTAACATTAGATGAAGTGGTACGTCTAGATGAGGGTACATATTGCTGTTGTGAATGATTGTTTTTCATCAAGTCTTGATCCAAATATGTTTTCCTATTTTGATTTATAGGTGAAGGTCTAACCAATCGACTAGTAAAGCTAGCAGGAGTTTTCCCTTTATTATTATTATTATTATTATTAGAAGAAGAAGAAAGGGTTAAACGAGACTGTTGATGAGTCGATTGTTTAGGTAAATAAGAGTGTTTAGATGAAGTTGTGGTAAAGGCATTGTCCTTGATATGAAGACCCTCAAAAAAATTATCATTATCATCTTCCTTTTGAAATTTTGATAGAATGCTTGATTTCTTTAAAGAAGAAGAGATAGGGATGCGAGATGGAAGGTTAGAGGTAGGCTTTGTTGTGATCATCGTTTCAGATATAACTCCACCTTTTATCTCATCTAACCTCTTGGAGAGAGTATTCATGTTCTCTGGGAAATCGAGGCCTGACATGTCATCCTCCTCACTCTCATGTTGATAGTGAAGCATATTTGATGATGATATCGGCATGGATGGATTATCATCTGGGAGTAAAGAGACTCTACTGGCTCTTTGACTCACAGAGGGTCCTATATCGTCATCATCTAATGATGAAAGCTGTAAATCGTCATATTCCTTTTCTTGAAGCTTTGTTGATAAAAGCGACATTCCATTTGAAGGTATCTCGATATCATCATTCCAATCATCATTCTCTTGAGCAGTTTGATAACGAGCTGGAAGACCAATTCTTTTGACGACTCCAGGTAAATTAGATTGATTTATCTGAACTTCTTCTTCCTCTATTCTTGTTAACGGTGGTTCTTCAAACATAAAATCGTCTAGGTTATTTAATGCCGCATCTACTTCTGAGAATCTACTCGATATAACACTTCCACTAGCTATACTTGAATTAGTATCATCATCTTCAAAATACATATTTTGATTCGCATATTGATATCTTTCACAAGCCAGCATGAGCTCTTTATCAGGTTCTAGATTAAATACACCCTTCCGTTTAAAGATATTGTGTGTAGAATCAGAACCTAAATTGATATCGAGCTCCCAATTATCATCCTGAATTGACATTGAGTAATATTATATTATAAAGAAAAGATATATATTTGTATATAAAGATAAATATAAATATAAAGAAAAAGAAAAGAAAAAAGGCAAATAGACTTTTTTTTTTTTAGTAACAATTAAAAGTGATATACACAATGAAACAATCAACCCAGACAGACTATAAAGTTGTTAATCACCCAATAAACTTATATACCCAAGATACTTCAAATAATCAAATTACTTGTTTATATTTATTGTTACTTATTTTTAATCCTTCTTATCTTTGATATATTTTATTACGGGCAAATAAGTCTTAAAATATGATTAGAAATACGAAACAGGTTATTGAAAGTTTACACCTCTGTATGCAATCCCTTTTTTATCCTATATTTCTTTGTCTAAAAAAAAAAGAAAGAAAGAGAGAGAAAGAGTACTAATGCAGTATATATAAATAGATACAGTATTTTTATCTCCTCGTTTTATTTTATTTTATTTTATCTTATTTTATTTTTCATCTATATATGTGAAAACTTAACAAATAACCGCATGCCAATATACACTATCTTCTCGGTCAAAAAGTCAGGCACATCCTATTTTATCTTCCATTGATCTACAGGTAATTCTCCTTTTTTTTTATTATTATTATTTTATCTTATAATGCTTGATTATTTTTGAGACCTTTTACAGGTGATAAATATAGATATGTATACGTTTTTTTTTTGTTTATTACTAACGAAAAGAGAGAGAGTGTGTGTGCGTGCATACTGAGCAACTTGACTATTAATTGCTTTCCTTTTCAAACTGTTCGAGGTATTTTTCCAAATCGAAATCAGGACTCTCAATATCAACTATATATACACATATATATTTATAAAACTGTTCTGGAATTGAAAGATGTACATAATGTCAACTTACATGTAACTTCTGCTGCATCAGTTTTAATGACACCGGCTTGTTTCTTAGCATAAGCAAGTCTAGCTTGTTCAATCAAAAGTTCTTTACGATGATATTCTGCCTCGGCTTTTTTTTGTTCAGCTTGCTTTTGCAAAGAAATATTGTGGGTATAGCCATAAAAGAGACCAAAGGCTAAAGCAGACCAACGTCCAACCTATTGAACATTAAGATGTCAATTTTCTAAATTTAATTACATTCTTCTTTCCCTCTCCCACACTTCACGCCCATAATCAAACTTTTTTTTTTAAAAAAAAAATGTATATAATGCTGATCTCTTCTTTCTTCATTTCAATTCTTTATCAATGAACTGTATTAAAAAAAAAGGGGGGTAGCATTGGTTTATACCATTTACGTACATTTGCAACAGCACTGTTAACCATTATATATATATGTGTATACTGAGTATTAAAAAAAATAAGTGGAGAAAAGAGTGAGGGGTTGGATCTCTAATAAAAAAAAAAACAGTACTGCTAGGGAAAGTGGCCAACCCTGAAAAAAATTAAAGTGGCGAATTTCGAGCAGGAAACTTGTTCCTCGCAGATAATAAAAATTCATTCGATGACGTGAGAGTAAAGTAAAGTTTATCTCAATACCATCATTAGCCATTTTAGTGGAGTTTGAAACAATAAACTACTATCATTATTGTCTTTTATAAATCATTGACATACTACCAGATTTGATAGTTACGATTTGCTCTATACTTGGCTAATGCTAACCCTTAACAAAGTTGCAACATGTAACTTTTTTTTTAAAAAAAAAAAAAAAAAAAAAAAGTTTTATTGTCTGTTCATTCGCTTCTATCTAATGTATGTCTTTAGCTAAAACAATAATCTGAATTATCGTATTTCAGTTGATAATTTTGAAATTATTTTATTCGTTAATTAGTAAAAAAAAATATATATTTGTATACAACTGATATGCTATATATTTCTAAATGCTTTATTTGCATTTTCTTCATTTTTTTTTTTTTTTTTTTGTACATATAGTTAAAATCATCTTTGACAGTAAGTTATGCTTGTTAACCTCTTAATGTCTTTGTAGATCAAACTAATTTAACGAATATAAAAACTTAGCTTAATTATAATAGTTATAAAAAAAAAAAGAATGATACATGAAGAATTATCTCACTTTTTATACAGAAAAGGTTATTCATCTTGAATTACACACACACAAAAGATCTTCATTTAGGAAAGGATGAAATAATCACTGTTAGCACGTTTTTCTTTTTTAGGTAGCACATTAGATAAAATTATAACGCTGTTTATTTTCCTTGTAATACTTGATAAGTTTCAAATCTTTCTCTCTCTCTCTCTCCCTCTTGTTTTAATCATTTTTAAATAATACGTATGGGACTTCTTAAATTAGGCAGTTTATATAAAAAGAAGAGTAATAAAAAAGAAAAAGCACAACAACAGCAAGAGTCATCATGTATCGCAATATCTGCTCCTTCAGTACCTAAACTAGAACCTATTTCATTAGATTTAAACTTGGACTTGAATAATCATTGTTTAGATACTGATATACATAGTAAAGTGAATGACACGACACTCTGTTTTCCAAAAAAAGCACAAGCAGATAAACAACAAACTACATCCTACGGTTTAGGTAGTAGTAGCTTATTTGATGACATTTTTGCTGAATTGGATGGTGGACAAAAGGGTAATTTTTTTTTATGATAGCACAGCATTTTTTTTTTCCTGCTTTATTAAAATTATGTTCAAATTTTGATAGATTCGATTCAAACTGATATTTCATTAGCCCTTGCCCTATCACATCAACTTCAGTTAGAGCAAGAAGAAGTATTGAACTCGGTTGATATGAAAAAAACAAAAGACAATAACAAAGAGAATAAAGCATCCAATATTCTTTTAAATAGTGATAGTATCTACAGTAGCTATTTAAACGCTCCTTCAGCAACAAACCATAGTGAGTCATTATCGACAAGTATGTTTGATTCTCTTTTAAACAAAGATGCTAAAACTTCATCACCGTCTTTGACCACGTTTAGGATAACAGTAGATCCTAAAGTTGATAATAATAATACAAAGACTCCAGTTGTTACTCAAACAGTATTAGATTCTGACGTCTCTGATACTGATGATGAGTCAAAAATTTCTTCTGTAGACTATAGTGATCAAGACGTTGATGCTAAAAAGATAGCAAATAATAGTCATAGTTCACGAAAACGTATGACAAAGGGCGTACAGCCTATCATGGAAAGAAGAAGACAGGATAATGAGCCCTTAGTTCAGCGAAAGGTGGATAATTGGACTCATGGAATTGAACCTGATTCAGATCAAGTAGAATCCATGATTGAAAGAATGAAAGATAGACATAGAAATCAAGCGAAATTGGCCGCTTTACGTCAACAGGAACTCTTTCATACTAGCATTATGATGAGACAGCAGCGTCCTTTTGTTGTTCCACAAGCGTATGGGCCCTTAACGGTAACTCCTCTCTCAACAAACCATGTTGTCTTACCTCACCCAGGTAGTAATAGGTTTATCGATTCAGCCCAACAACAACAACAAATGTATTATTGTCCTATGATCCCAAATGATTTGCCAGATATTACGCAACAGATGCATCAACATCATCTCTACCACCAACACTTTATACCTAATGCATCTTATTCTAAAAAAGAGGATTACAACAACACCTTGCAACAAAGACAGTCAGTTCATCAATTACCTCCACTTAGACAGAGTAAGTCAACTCCTGTTAGACAACAACCAACTATGAAATTAAACAAACTACATCTGCCTCCTCCTGCAGCTAATCATAGGCATATAAATGATAGTCAAGCAGATACATCAACCTCCTCTATTCCATTTACTTTATCAAACACAACTCTCAACGAACAACAGCAGTCAGGTCATATCGAATTAGAAGAAGATAAGAACTCGATGAAGAATACATCTTTTCCAGAAGCTCCGAATCATTTTAATGAGTTTCATGCAATTGAAGACGAGACCATCATAGCAGCTGAAGCAGACATTGAAAGTAATGATGATGATGATGACGACGATAGAATAGAGAATACTTTTTCTTCTACAAGAAAACGAAAGTCACAAACAAAAAGAAAGTCATCACGTCAAAAAGGAGGAGGAGGAGGAGAAGGAAATGTAAATCAACAAGAAATTATCAATACGAACTATTTACAAAACATACGATCTTCCATATCAGTACCTAATTTAAAAAAGATAAAACAAGTATCAGCTAGTAACAACAAGAAGGGAAAAAGTAAGTCAAGTAGTAACCGTACTAGTAATAGTAGTAATAGTAGTAGTAATAGTAGTAGACAAACTGCACAAGGTTATAGTACAGCAGCAATGAGCATATCATCACCTACAGAAACATTACCAATCCCACCACCTTTACCTATATCATATCAGAGTCCACATATTGTTTCTGCCAAAGAAAATCATCATTACAACTTACAACAACATCACTATCAGCAGCTTAGACCTATGAAAAGTGAACCTGATTTTACTAGTAACAGTAGTAGTGGTAGTAGAAGAAAAAGTCATAATTATAAGCAACAACAACAACAACAGGATTATGACTGGGAAAGGCTATGTATTTATCAACGTGAGCAACAATATCAAGATAATTTGTGTAAGACTCAAAACCGACACATGTCACATATAATGCCTATGCATGCAGCAGCAGCAGCACCTATATATTATCCAGTCATGTCTTCATCTTCATCAACTTATAATAATAGAATACCAAATGAAATAGGAATAAAGGATCCTCATCACGATTTATTGCTATATAATAGAGGGAGTTTTATAGGAGGATATCAATCGAACACTATGATACAACAGCCTTTCTTATTTAGATAAATAAACTAGTATATTCTAAAGAAAAGACAGTAGCCATTTTTTTTTTAATGTGATACATAGTAAAAAGAAAACATACATTATTAAATAACTTGTAAGATGTAGTATTTATTTATTTATTTATAGAAATTTTAATACTTTTTTTAAAAAAAAAAAAAATCATAAGTTTTGTATAATAATAACATTATTTAATCTATTATTTAGTAAGTACCACCACCACCACAAGCCATTAATGACATAAAAGCTTGCCAAAAGCTTCGATGCTCTTCTTTGTTATTTCTTTGTTGTGTTTCATATTGATTTGAATCATCTATAGTTCCATGAGTAGGTGTAGCGGGCATTTTTGTATACGCATCATTATTAAGTGCTGAAGATGTAAACGGCATATTCGATAATTGTGTCATCATATTATTATTATTATCAGCATTGTTATTTGTATTATTATTATTAGTATTAGTATTAGTATTAGGGGATATCTTTGGATGAGAAACATGTCGTTTTATAGAATTTGGTTCATTTGATCGACGGCCATGGAATGTCACAATTTTTGTTTGATCTTCTTCACGAGTCTGACGTTTATTTTCACGAGGCTATAAATGTAAAAATTTAAATTTAAAAATAAAATAGACTCTTTTTTTTTTTTGTTATATTACCTCGAGTCCTTTTCCTCTATTAAGTAGTTTCCAATCATACTCGCTATTATCAGTGTCATTTAGACGACGAAGAACTTTATTAAATAATTCTCTTAAAAAATCATAATCAGGTGTTTCTTCAAATCCTAATTTGCGGACATATTGTAAATATATGCCGAATTCCTCTAAATAATATACAGATATAAATTAAAAATTAGCTATAAAATTTGTGTTATAAACTTTACCGGGATATGCATCACATAAGTCCTTGATTGATGTTGTTTGTTTTTTCTCTCCAATTTTTTCATATTTTTGTTTATTCGTAGCAGCCTTTAATCCTTGCCAAGGCAATGAGCCTCTTAAGAAATACATGAAAACATGACCTAAAGACTCTAAATCATCTCGTCTTGATTGTTCTAAGAGAGGAGTAGAAAATTGATTATTTTAAAATCGGAGTTGGGAGTTGGGAGAGGGAGAGGGAGCTTAGAAATACATAATATTTATTTATATATTCATGTATTTGATCTGTAACTATTCCCCTATCATCATACTTCACTCACACTCTCTATATTAAATATGTTTCACCAATTCATATAAAAATAGAGTCTTACCTCTTCCTAAATGAGTATTTATACTCATGTATCTTGCTGTTCCTGACAAACTTTTGCGTTCACGATAAGGTATATGTTGTTTTGTTTTAGGATCACGATATAATTTAGCCATGCCATAATCAATTAAATAAACTGTATCAGCATATTTTGTGCCTGGACGACCAATTAAAAAATTATCCGGTTTAATATCTCTATAAATCAAATTTCTTTCATGAACACTTTCAACTCTAGTAATCTATTATTAACGAGTATTAATTTTTTTTTCTTTTTCTTTTCTTTTCTTTTTTTTTTTACAATAAGAATTATACCATTTGCTTTGCCAACATAGCCACTGTCTTTATTGAGAATTTTCTTCTACAAAGGACAAATAAATCTTCTAAACTCGGTCCGAGTAAATCAATGACAAGAATATTGTGCAATCCTTCTTGTCCAAAATAATATGCACTCGGAACACCGGCTAATATTTCCGATAAAAGATATTGTATGATTATTATCATGATTAGCTTTATAATATGTATATTCTACTACATTACGTAAACCAGCTAACACTTTATAAGTTCTATATTCATCTCTTAGTTGCGGTGCGTCAGATTTTCTAGGTTCAAATTTAATTGCCACAGATCGATTGTTTAGTAAGTTAAGTCCTAATAAATATATAAATATATGTATTTAATTTATTTCTTTTGTTTTAAATATACGTATGTACATATACACACAATACACACACACACACACACACACATGTATACATACATACATATATATATATATATATGTATATATATGTATATGTATATGTATATGTACATATATTCGTATATCTGTGTATGACTAACCTTCATAAAGTACACCAAAACTCCCTTCTCCGAGTTTCTTTCCAACTTTGTAATGAACCCCGACAATGTGAGTAGATGATGATTGAATTGAATTAGACATGAGGGTGTTGTTTTTATGCATTGATGAATGATGATGTATAATTATTCAAAAGAGCAAAGAAGAAAAAAAATGATTGCTTTTTTTTCTTCTTCTTCTTCAATTCTAATATGAAAATAAGAAAGAGTTGCTTGTATGAAATACAGATTAAAGAAAAAAAAGGGTAAAAAAAAAAAAAAGAAAGAAAGAAAGAAAGAAAGAAAAAAGAAAGAGGGGAGAGAATAAAATATAAAAGAAAAAGGGGAAACAGACCGAGTTAGAGAAAGAGAGAGAAAAGAGAAAGGGGGAGGAGAAAAAAGAAGGGGAAAGCCAGAAGGATAAATGATTATATTTATATATAAACAGAAACTCTCAGAAGTAGCAACAGCAGCAGCAGCAGTAGTAGTAGCAGTAGCAGTAGTAGCAGCAGTAGTAGTAGCAGTAGTAGTAGTAGTAGTAGTAGTAGCAGCGGCAGCAGAGAAATACAAATCAATATTGGTTCGCTTACATGAATGAATTAAATCATTTATGATGGCCCTAAAAGAGGAAATTATAAATAGCGGAGAAGTAATTGTATTTCTAAAATAGGTTAAAAAGAAAAAAAAAGAACGTGTATTATAATTTTTGCACTTCAAATTCAGACAATGTTAGTAGTTTTCTGTACGAATCAAAATTAATTTTCAGGCGTTTAGCTTACCTTTTTTGAAAAAAAAGTAAAAACGGAAATCAGACAAAAGGAGAAATTAAAGTGAGATGCAACTGTAGACTAACAAGTCATCTATTTTTTTTTTTTTTTTACCTCCTGCCTACATAGATGTTACTTGCGAACAACTTTAAGAAGGTTTAGCTAACGTATTATAAAAAAAAATCTATCTTTTGGTGTTGATTTAATTGTACAATGGGAAACCAATTTACGACTGCGCTGAGCAAATTTAAGGATTTTTTTTTCTTCGATTTAGGGGTGGATTCTTAAAAACAGTCAGCTTCTTAAGCATTCGTACCATTATAGCACTACACAATATAAGAGTGGGGCTCAAAACTCATGTTTTAATCATATCTAAATCAAACCTTAGGAGCCAAAGAAAAAACAAAAGGATCTGAGATTTCTTTGTCTCTATAAACTGACAAGTTCATATCTGTATTCAGCCAGTCTAAGAGAAACACAAATAAGTAGATAGTCTGCGCTTGGATTATATAACTAATAAGCATGACATCTTTAGTGATTAATCTTGTGATGTGATCTTCAATATATCATATTTTAATCCTATTGCATTGGATGTCGAATAGATAATTATGTACTGAATGAACTAATTATAAACCTGATAGATAAGAGATGTTAGAATGCTCTGACTGATAAAATAGATGAATTAACTTTGTATGATGCATTATTAAGATAACAATTTTCTGAACGAGGGCCTGTATGTAGTATCATGAAATTAATACTAATATACCATTTCTTATAGAACTTAATAGTCACCAAAAATCACGCCTATTTAAATCAATAGATTTGTAAATGTCGTCTTTCTCTTAAGTCGTATGTATGTTATCTTCATGCGTACGGCTATTTACCCGGACGTCGAAACTGTTATACAGCAGAAAAAAAACAACAGATATATGAAAAACAACAAGCAGAAGAAGCAGCAAAAGCAGCTGATGATTTGTATAAGAAATCTAAACAAAGAAGAGGTAATGTAAACTGACTGTTAATAAGAAAACAGAAAAACTCAAACTGTTACAAGGTATCAAACGCAAGGATACGTTTGAAGAAAAACAGAGGAAACAAGCTGCGAAAAGGGGTACGCAATGCAAAACCAGCGGCACAAGGCACAACATGTAAATCTTGCAGTGTAAGCGGACACTCGTCGGCGAAGAGCAAGTTATGCATCAATCATAATCTTAGTCTACAAGAGCTTATTGAACAAAACATGGGTGCACTTTATGAAAGGTATATAGTTTCTTTACCGCTCAAATTGTTCGTATCAGCATCATATGAGGATGTGTTTGATAGTATCATACTTGAAAAAATTAAGAAACTATCTGTATTCCTTTGGAAAGTTATTTTTAGGGCGCAACTTTTTGTAAATTATTACATCCTAAAATACCCAGACAGCTTGTCAAATGACTTCTTCCAGCAAAATTTTTGGTGTTCTGTGTGTCGACTTGTAAATAAGAACATGACAATTGATGATTTTAAACAAAAATACTCTTCGGGCATTCCTTGTCTTGGAGAAACATGGAATGAACTCAACGATCTTGAAGGCGTTAGTATGATAGTGGACAAGGAAGGTCTGTCCAACTATGGGCAAGTTTTGTCTACAGCATGTGAAATTGTTGCAATATGTTACAATAATTTCTACGTTGAAAATTTCGAAACTATTATTTCAAACTATTTATATACATGGTCCTTGTTGCGTTTCCTGTAAGTGAAAATTTGAAATACGGCTATTTTTACGGTAAAAAATTGATATTAACTCTTGATACCGAAGACTTACGAATGCCCGTGATAAAATACATTATATACAACCATATGTTGAATGTAGTGTTTTTCTAACGAGTCAGCGACTATGATGTTTACCAACATTTCCAGTTCTTTGAACGATCAAACCCAAGACCGCATCCGTGCTTTTCTAAACCCGCTAATTGTCGAGATCAGGAATCGACTGCCGTCACTTCCTGTGACCAAAGAAACGCTGAATAACGCCCCATTCAATATTATACCAATGCTTAGACACATTTTAGAAAAGTATCAATCAATAATTGCAGAGAAGCAGCAACTAACGCCTGCACCACACTCACCAGTTACTCCACAACAACAGCTTGCTTCAGAAGCATGTATCGAAATTAATAGTGCATACAAGTTCTGCAAATAATGGAAAGAAACCGGAGGTACAATATTACCAGGTTACAGGTTTGTAACTGAGATCAAAAAGAAAAGGGAATAATGCAAAGCTTACAGAAGAGCATTCGTTTTTTCTCGACAACTACATGGAAAAATACACCCAGTTTGCATCTGGAAACTTCAGGAAGAAGCTGCTTGGGAGAAAAATTGACTTTGATAAAGTTCAAGCGCAGCTATCTTTTTTTTTTTTTTTTTTTTTTTTTTTCTGTACAGAGCAAAGTAAGCGAGATTTTTTAGCATCATGGAAACCCGAATCTTCAGCATCTCTTTTTGTTTCTCGTTTTCGAATTAGGCTAATAAAGATTTGGTTTATTAGGGGTTAATTTTATTGTACTCACATTGCTATTTCTCTTTTTTTTAAAAAAAAAAAAATTACGGCAACGCGAAACATTTCGATCTTATCCCAAAAAAATAAAGTGGCCTTCAATGGACTGCTTACTTCATAAGCTCTCTCAACCTATGAGCTTAACTACTCTACGGTGTAAAAATAGAGATGACAAGGTTACTAGTATTGTTTGTAAACTTTCACAAACTAGGGTAGACCCAAGACTTACGCCATTGAAGGCTCCCCACAGATCCTTATACCTTACAATCTTACAAGAAAATTGCGATGAAAAGAAAAAAAAAATTGAACGGTCCTGACCTTTATTCAAATATGTATTTTTTTTTTTTTCTTTTTCATATGGAGTTTCAAAAAAAAAAAAAAAAAAAAAAAAAAAAAAAAAAAGTACCTGAAAAATAATTTGAACACAAAAAAAAAACCTAAACACTAAAATCTCTTTTTTTTTACTTTACTTTTAATACATAAGAATAGAATGAATAACACTTCATTTAATGACTGTAACGCGTAAAAAAAGAAAGAAAGAAAGAAAGAAAAAGAGAAAAATATAGATTTTATTTGCTAAACATTTTTATATTTTTATACATTTAGTTGTTGCAAATTCTAACAATCAAAATTTAATCAAGGCATGTCATTTTATGTTACTAATATATACACATATATATATTTATTAACTTCAGCAATGTTATATATGCATTTAGGGATATACATTTATTAAAAGTGGTCATGTTGTATTCTCTGAAGAAAGACTTCGAATAGAAAACCATCTACTCATTAGCAATGGTAATTTATTTATTTTAAGAATAATGTGAGTCTAAAAGACTTACATTCTGAATTAGCTATAATAAATTTTCGAGAATGGAGAGAAAATTTCGAATTAATAAGAACAGATATACATCCGTCTGATATACCCAAAGAATTTACAGATTTAATTGCAATGCTATCGCACGAAAGGTTTATATTTAACTAACGTTTATCATGAATACTATTTATTTACAACCATTTATGTGGTTGAATATTATATATATAGTGATGAGTCTCTTAATGATCTTGCTCACCGATTAAATGATCTGCTATCACCATTCGAAAAAAATAAAGAAGGTAAACGCATATATGTACTTGTTTGACAAATAGATCTAACTTTTTTAAACAATACATATTTAGCATCCATTCCGTTCTATAATGCTATTAAACAAGTAATCAAAGTCACTGCATATCAAGAAAGATATGGATTAGCAGACGTGGTTTTATTGTTAACTGGAACACCTCCTCTAGTACCTGAAGTAAAGTATTTCGATGATAACCATAAGAATAATAATAAGCTAAAATATAAACTTATCATTAGCGATTATGCTTCTTTCGATGGCAAGCTTATGATACAACCATATTTCCAGCAGACATAATAAAAGCAGCACAAAAAAGAAGAGAGCGTCGTAAATTGGTAATATTGACAAAGCCTATTATGTTGAACAAAAACAACTCATTACATCTTCATTCTAGTTTTCAAGTATTTTTACCAATGCCTTTCAAAGTTTAACTGCAGCTCAAAGAATTGAATTATTGTTTAATGAATCAGGAAATTTCTTTATTGAATCTACAAAGAAGGATTTAAAGGAGGTAAATAAAAAAAAATAAAGTAGAAGTAGTAGAAGATAATAAAATAGAATTCATAACTTTACATTTTTATTCAGAATAATTTTAATGGATATTATGCTACAACGTTAAATCAAAATACAAAAGTCAATGAAACTACTCAAGCTCAATTATTTGCACCGTTTAAACCTGGGGAATGCGTAACAGTAGCTCCTCCCGCTAAAACTCCACGTAAACGTATTTGTTCAAGCTTTGATACCCTGTTTTATATTGGATTAAACGATTCTTTTGATTTGCGACAACGGTTTTTAAATGAATTATCTCCTGAGGCTAAAAGAAAACGAGGAATAAAGAATTATAGGTCTTTAAAAGGAATGATTGACTTGAAAAGGATTTGGCTAGAAAGTATTACAACATCTGTAAATCGCCACCATTGTAGAGATAATAGTTATAATTCGCGTACAAACAGCAATAAACAGTTACGTTTATTAAAAATGAAGTTACTTCAATTTCATGAGGATGTTCGACCTGCTTATTATGGTACCTGGACAAAAGCTATTAATCATTATGAAAATTCTATTGTGACAGGAAGAAGACCATTTGCAAAAGATAAGTCATTATTAAATTATGATTATGACAGTGAAGCAGAATGGGATATCGATATTGATCCTTCAGACGATATTTACATATTAAGTCCTGATGAAGATAACACTGTAAAGTTTTCTGATAGTACTGATGAAGATGACGAAAATGTGAATACTGAAGACAAAGGCAAAGACAAAAATGTTGATATAGTAAATGTAAAATGCATGTGTAGTATCTAAGAGAGATGTTTTTATATATTAAAAAAAATGATTCTTTACTAGGAAGATGAAGAAGAGACTAATCAATGGCTTGTACCAGAAGGATATCTGTCTGAAGATGAAGGAATATATGTTCGAAAGAGACGAGCACGACCTTGTCGACCTATTGAGAGTCGTCCAGCAAAATGGCCAATGTCTAGAAATAAAGTAATGTAGATGCATTCACCAAAATTTTTTGTATAAACAAAATTTTAAAAACATCCTTTTTCTTGTATATAGCATTTTCCTATGAAGCCATTTATTCTTGGCCCTTCATTTGAGTTACCTGGTGAACCAGAGAATCATCCTTTATCTGACTTTAAGCTGCACATACTTGTTAATAACGATAGTATAGGATATGCTCCATTTGGCACATTTTCTGATAAAGACATTATTGACCAAACTGATGGAGCTGAAAAGGAAATATTGAATAGTACATCATTAGCTATATGCTTTGAACCATCTGATAAAGTAAAGCCACCTTTATATCAAAGAGAAGTAGATAAGATTATGAATTCAGATAAAAAGGAATTAATTGATGTAAGTGATTTTACATATCTTTAACGGGGAAAAAAAATTAAAAAATGTTAATACAGGTTATTATGGAGAATAAAACTAAAACAATGATGGGATTAGTAGGCATATTGAAATCTAGAGAAAAATTTAGTGAATATACTACAGCACAATTACAAGCCATGATTCACGACTTGGCTACGCAAGAAATAAGAGGCACAAATAAGGTTTTGTATATATTATAATAAGCTTTTCTTATTTTATTTTATTTTTTGTTTAACCTCCCTTCTTTTACATACAGGAATATAATTGGTATCTTCGAGCTACATCTTAAATCTAAGCAATTTGCCTCTCTCTCTCTCTCTCTTTACCTTTTTTTTTTTCCTTCTCCCTTTATTGTTATTATTATATAATAAAGAGCTTAAATTGGTATTTATTTATTTAAGAGTTATTAATAACAAATCTTCAAGTGTTTGAAAACCTTATTTACGTTATTAAAGTAAGTTAATAATAAGACTCAATACAATTCCATGATAATAATACAGACCGGTATTCATTTTATTTTATTTTTGAGACGTTCCAATAATGAATTATTAAACTCTATTGTCTGGGTGTCTCGCTTTATTATGATGGTTATTTTATGGACGAAGAATACTGTTAACAAAGACTTTTATTATGTGTTTTCAAATGCCGTGCTACTTGATCTGGCCTTGAAAAGGCTTTTCCACATGGCTCCACTGTACATTTAAAGGGCCTTTCACCTGTGTGTACTCTCATCTATATACATATATAAACAAATAAATATATAGAAGTATATAAAAAGATAGTAAAATTAATACTAAATGACACAACTGAATCTGTTTTTTTTTTCTTTTTTTTTTTTTTTTTACATGTTTCGTCAAGTTACTACTCTCTGCAAAGCGTTTAGTACATTGTTGGAATTTACAAGCAAATGGCTTCTCTCCTGTATGTATTCGTTTATGAATTGTAAGCGCTGCAGATACTGAAAAATCCTTTGAACACATGTCACACTTATAGGGTCTCTCACCAGTATGTGTTCTCATATGTTGAATAACTATATTAGATTCAGAGAATCTTTTAAGACAAGTTTGACACTGGAATGGTTTTGCCCCTGTATGGGTTTGAATATGACGCATTAATTTTTGTCTTTGACTAAATGCTCTCCCTTTACGTTCACAGGCAATCCATTCACATCGATATTCACTTTTACCAGATCCAACATGCACCTCTGATAAATGAACTGTTAATGTCTCATAAGCATCGAATTGTTCATCACAATTTAGCCAACGACAGACATGAAACGTAATTGTTGTACTGCTTTTTAAATGCTGATTAGTTATATGATCAAGTAATATATTACTTGTAATATTTGAACCACTAAAACGCTCAGTACAAGATTCCCAATAACATGAATAATTCACTTCATTCTTATTACTAATAGGGAAAGTCTTTAGGTGTTGATTCAATAGATGAGGTATAAGATTTTCAATTGTATCAAAATTAGCAGAACAATTAGACCATTTGCAACGAACATCTTCTTTGTCCTTTCTTGTCGTTAACTTTTTATTGACATGTAATGACTGTATCTGTTCATGGTTTTGTTCTACGTCTTCAAATCGTTTACGTTTAATTGAAGGTAAAATGACATTATTGTCTATAGTTGAAGATAATCTTGCATCATGATCTTTATTGGTAATAACTGGACAACATTCATTACAACAATCATCCACAGCAGCAATAGCAATAGTCTGATTTGTAGGTTGTGGAGGAGGCAATAAAGGCTGAGGTGTTGGTAATACAGTAGTCATTTTGTTATCAAAGGGTATATTGTTATTAGCAGTGATGCTAATGTCATGGTTAGTTAAATTATTATTATGTGTTGTAAGAGTAGAAATAGTTGAAGTAATGTTATAAGAAGATATAGGTAATATAGAAGGCTTTTGAAAGAAATTTAATCTCGATAATGAAGTTATTGTTTGTGAAGGATTTGCTAAAAAATACAATAGACGACTATGATGATGATGGTTCGTAGTACTTTTATCAGTCGTTGTAATTAACGATGGATTATTTATGAAATGGTAATGATTACCATGATGCTGAATAGTGTTGATAGAAGGAAGCTGATCTTTATTGTTATTATTTGAATGTGCCATGTTTTAAGAATTCATTATATATTTGTAATTAAAAGAAGAAAGAAAGAGAAAAAAGAGAAAAAAAAGAAATCTGGACGAAAATTGAAAGTGTAATTTATCCAATTAAATCACATATTTTTTTTTTTTTTTAGCGAATGGAAATATATTTTATTGTATTCAAGGATAAAGAAAATGTTATTCTTCGTTATTGTTTACATAAAAACTTGATAATGCATGTATTTATCCCGAATAAAAATCCCAACATATTTAAATATAACGCGTATATCTGTAATTAATAATAATAATAATAATAATAATAAAATAAGTAGAAAATTAAGCTTTTTTTTTTTTTTTTTTGCTCAGTTATTATTATGATCTGTCAAAGTTATGGTCCAATAAAATTTGAATTTACGTTATTATAGATCATATAAGACAAGTAAATTGCTCTATTCAAATTGATATCACTCTCTTTTCGGTATTATTATTATTATTTTGAAAATTGAAAAAAAAAAAAAAAAAAAAAAAAAAAAAAGGAGAATTCTTCATTATTATTCTAATGTTTATTTCGTTAAAGTTTGGTGAAGTAGTATATCATCTTAAAATTAGAATGGAATTTTTTAACTTTATTTTTTTTTTTTTTTTATATAATAGTTAAACGTTTACAAAAAAAGATTTCATTAGAATATGATTTCCATCCATGTCCAAAGTGCAATCACTGTGCTTCAGTACGATTAATACGTTCCGAGAAACGATTCATTTTATTCAATAAGTGTATTTACAATGTAATGCGTGTTAGATATGAATGTTCAAGATGTAATTGGCGCAACCAAGAATTACCTAATTATTCTAATAATGAAATATAATATAATCCAACGAAAAAAGAATTGATTTATAATTATTGCAATATACCCAAATATGTGTTACAGAATAATAAACTTTTTCCAATAACTCGTAGATATAAAAAAAGAAAATATGTACTTATTTATATACACATGTATACACATATACTTTTATTTGTTTTGAGGATTGTGAAAATTGGTGATGACTAAAAATGCTTATCAAATTATTTTAACTGATAAATCTAAATAAAATCTATTATCAAGTATCTGAAAAAAAAACAATTAACAGTTTTATTGAATATGATTGGATTATATAGCTTATTAATAATTATAAATTCTGAGTTTTATTATAATTATTATAATTATTATTATTTTAAATTTTTTGGCAATGAACATGTAGCGACGAAATAAATGCGCAATATTGCCCGAGCCAATTATAGAGGGGAAATAAGAATAAAAACCTTCCTAAAGGACAAGAAGGAAAAAGAAAAGAGCAGTATTTTTGGAATTAAGAGAAAATATAAGGAGGATAAAGCGAAAAAAATGAAAAGAAACAATTTAAATACAAACCAGACCAAAGTGATCAGAAAGACACACACTATTACTTGGACAGCCGATTCAGCAGCTTGAGACCAGGATCGACAGAATCAAGAGGAAATTCATCATGGAAGCAGTAATCAAGTTCATGTAGAATTGTACAAAGAATAGGCCATAAAGTATACCAGCTCGTACAATCAGAAGGACGACGAGGTTTATGTAGTGGAAGCAAGTTGAAGAGGAACGAGATGGGATCTTCGACTGAAGTAGGCATGTAGAGATGATGATGTACATCCTTTAGGTTTACCACCAGGTAACCCAGCCAAGTCTCCATCGGAGCACCCGGCTACGTTCTGAGGCAGTCATTGGTAAGCAAAGGATGGGATCCAATTCAAGAGTAGGGCGTGAAGAAGACAATAGGATGGAGTTAGTGTCTTGACGAAGGGTTTGAAATTGATCATCTCGAAACTTAGCACGAAAAGTGTAGAATTGTTTTCGACCGAGCGTTGAGATGATTGTTGAGCATAGGTGTTTCCACATTGTAGTGTGAGCCAATTTATACCAGTGAGAATGACTATTTGGGATCTGAACATTAGGCAAAAGATGGACAAGAAGAGTATCTGCTGGTAATTGAGAAGTTCGAAAGAGGCATTGCGCTTGGAGGACTGCAATATGGGTCTTCATGGATGGGTAGTTTATTAATACAGTTTTTTTTTTACTTCAAATTCAAATGATGTTAGTATTCTTTTTTGGACAAATCAAAATTAATTTTCAGATGTTTGGCTTTTGGAAGAATAAGAAATGAAATTGAGATTTATGTTTAGACTTTTTTACCTGTAATGATCTTAAGGCCCTTTTTCTTTCCGTCATTCATAAATATCTATGAATAACGTGAAAATCTGACATCTGTAATATTAAATTCGAAATTCATTTGGAATTATCGTTTCAAAGTAGTCAGCACTCCTTCATTTTACTAATTTATGCCTGCTAGTCGAGGTATTAACAACTGCGAACTCCGACCAATGTTGAATCCTCAACAGGTTGAAGAACTTGGCACAATCTTGAAAAAGAGGTACCGTCAAGCCAATTGCTGCAGAAAATGCAATAAAACAACAGTCTTTCACAAAAAAGGACACGATCCACAAAACCCATCCTAACCAGCTTACAAATGCTCGGAATGTAACCATACCATTAGTGCATATACTCTTTACCAACATTTACGCACCACCGCAGACGTCACCACTGAAGACGAACTCCCATTGACCATTTTAACACTTACCACATTCGAAACGCAGACAAGCGAAAATGACACGAACCAATTAGTATTACAACTTCAACTTTCTGTGGAGCTACTCACAAACGAATTGATCAGGGCCCGTGCAGAAATTGAACAACTCAAGACCCAACTACAAGCCCAGAATATTGCTGGTACTCAAACCCAACAATCTTCCAATGATGATCTCACCTTGAAATCAACTGACGACTTCACTCAGTACAACGATCAGCCAGCCCAACCTGGACGAACAATTGACACCAGTCTTCCTTGGCATAAAATCCAAAGAATAAACCAACTTACTCACTCTTTACATGCCGCCCAATAAACCAAGAAAAGTAACCAAAAAAAAAACAAGCTGCTGCCGCTCGTTTTTTCCAAAAACCTTCTTCCAGCCAAGGTTTCAATTATGTATATATATTCCAATCAAGGCAAGAATCCCAGTAGGAAAACTGCGAACAATTCTCAGACGTTTGGGAATTTTAAATGGACAACTCTTAGACATACACTATCCTGCTAGGAACCTCGCTACCATCTTAGTCCACAATGACTATTCCTCTGAACTTAAATCTACGCTTAAACAACGTGGTGTAACCGTAGATGAAGAATTTGACCCCTTCAATGGTAAAACTCTCATGGACTCTAAATACAACAATCACTCGGAATACCAACGTGACCAAATCGCTTCCTTTGTTCACAAACGCAGACTGATAACTGCATTGCAGCACATACGCGAACCTGTCAAGTTTGCGGTTGCCCGATACTTCTTCCAACAGCAATGGATTTCCAAAGCAGTTTTTGACCAAACAATGGCCTCAAGATCCTCACTACTTGATGATGTTTTTCTTATGGAAAATTTAATAATAATAAAATTTAATAATAATAATTCAATTTTAAACGTAATTTTAAATACTCCTTACTCTTTTCTGCAATATATAAATAATTTTCTATCATTTTGTGACAGAATTCTTTTGTTATTACTGCTTTTTCCTTTTAGAAAGATAATTTTATTTAAGAAGAGGAAGGGTGACTATATCAGGCCTGAAATTAATTTCACATACGTATATACATTCTAGAGCTCAAAATAGTTTCTTTTGAATGATACAATCCTATTGTTTTAGAAAGTAATAGCTGGAATACAATTAATAAGTGTGTTATGAATATTTGAAGAAACAGCTACTAGTATTTAAAAGATGCGTTATTAATAATACTAACTATTTGATCTTCTCTTTAGTATTGTTATTTTTTTTTAAAAAAAAAGGGGGGAGGAAATATTAACTTTTCTTTTCGATTCGTAACATGACAATACTTTGATGCATGTATTATATTTATTAGTAAAAAGCGTATAATTATTATTACGAGACATATGTCTGTCTATGAAATTATTGACACAAGTATGTACATATGTGTATTTAATAAAAGCGTCTTTGACAATTACTTATGTAATAAGAAGGAGTATTATTATTATTTTAATTAAATGAAGTTATTTTCCATTTATTAAGAAGGGATTTACTCATACTACTTTTGTTCATTATTCAAAGGACTAACTATTAGTATTGATAGTAGTATGTTGTCTTGGATTTGTTACAATGTTAAATATAATATCGTACTAATAATTTATGTTTTAATGGTCCCGATCCGTGCTTAATTTCTTGTTTCTTATAGAATTCAAAATAGGAATTCTAACGCTTTTTATTATTAATAAAGTGTTAGTGAAAGTAACTTGTTTTTTTCTATAAAGAGATATCAGATAATTATTCTAGGACATTTTTAGTGTGATTCTTAATATATATAATTAATGATAAAGAATTTCTTTTTGTGCTGCCTTGTTTAAAATAACAATGCATTCCTTAGTTTTATTACTAATAAATCTTTCCAAAAAAAAAAAAAAAAAAGTATTTTAACATAAAGTATCGTTAATCATATAACTGTTATTGATTAGATGCTTAGGAGTAAAGTAAAAAGAATAAAAAAAAAAGCTGTCCTAATAAAGAATATTGAAAGCAGCCTATTTTAAATGTTTCAAATTTATATAAGTGGTACATTCCAATCTCGGTAGTTCCAAATCTTTTAGAATGTTCATTGAAATTGCTATGTATATGTATTATGTCTTGGAAAAAAAAATTCTTTTTTATTGAGTAGGTATTAAAGAAATGATACCATATCATAAAACTAGTAAAATAAATCTTTTTTTTTATGAAGAAAGAACACTTCCAGAAGATTTAGAAGGAACAACAGATAATCTTTTACGTCCATGAGTAGTTTTACCCTTGTCTGGTTTAGAAACAGGTGTTTCAGGAACACCCAATTCCACGGCATGTTGAATAGCAAGATTTAAACGCTATGATAAAATAATAATAATAATAATGAGATTCGGATAACCAATTATTTTTTTTTTTTTTAAGTATATTTGTCTTATATTACCGTGGCTAATCTATATTCAAAATCATATCCAGAATGTGTTAAAGTAGATTCCCAAAGTGCTCTAGCTCTCTTATATTCTTCAGTTCCCCAACAAATATTCCCAGATTCCCTGATATATTTATGCCATTAAATGTCTATACATATATATATATATATATATATATCTTGAAAACTTACCAATAAGCAAATGGAATAAGCCATTTTGTATTTTTAAATTTATCCTTATTATCAATAATCCAATTAATATGAATAACACCTTCGTTGAATCGTTGAAGCGCATTTAATAAACCACATTTCATCAAAAGAAGTACACCACGCTGATCATAATAATCAGGTGCACTTGAGATAGGTGCAAGTTCAATAGTACGAATATCATATTCAAGTTTTTCGCGTTCATAAATCCTATCTAACGTTTCATCAACGAGTTCTAAACATGTTTCTAATATAGGTACAGTCATGCAAGGGAATGCGTTCCAGGTATATAGTATCTCAAGAGCAGGTAAACTAAAGTCTAAATCCTGATAGCCACTGATCTCAAAGAAGGCAATACGATTAGCGATAAATTGTTCAGGTTCTGATTTTCTTCGTTTATCAATCAAGCCGGGTGCTTCAGCAAAGGCTAAGATGGCCTCAGTTCTATTACCAAGCATCTCCATACAGGCACCATAAAAGAACTTGAGGAATGCTGGTGAATTGTATTTGGGTTGTAATTCAAGAGCCCGGACGGCGGCACTAGCCCAATCAAGACTCATGGCAGAATTAAAGGCTATCTCAAATGTCGCAAGATTTCCTAAGGTCGTCTCTGCCCAGTCACCTTGACTCACTTCATAGGTATAAACAAATGATTGTGTCGAAAGAGGCAAGTTACGAGCTAGACGTGAAACACGACCGGCAAAGAATAAGAAAAAGGCAGAGTTTGGATAATTCTGTTGTGCATCAAGAAGACATTCAATAGCTGGCTGTATAAGCTCTCGTGTCAATACTTGAGGCGCATATGAGGTGAGGATTACATAATAAGAAAGAAGCCTAATATGTATATAATAAACTTAGTTTTTCTTTTTTTTCTTTTTTTTTTTGTAGTTTTTCAAAATATATATTTACATTAATGATGCGAGCGGTGAACGGATACGTTTTCCTTCCAAGCAAACCTTTAACAAAGCAAACCCAAGATGTTTATCTGCTGTCCATCCAAAAGCTGATACAATTTTTAAAATTTTAGGAGGCAAAGAGGACAATAGTAAATGTACAGATCCAATACTTTACTCGAAGAAAAAAGAAAAAAAGGGAGAGAAGGTGGAGATGTTTGAGTAACTCTTGTGAAATCAAAATTTTATTATTCTATGTACATACCCAAATTGTATTGCAGAGACTGTATTTTTATCCATATATTTGTTAAAATTTTGTCCCATACGCTTATATTCTTGCCATACAAGACTATAACTGCTATATGCTATTCTCAATTTATATCCATTAATAACACCATATATATATATATATATATATGCATATTTGATCCATTTTACCTCTACGTAAATTCAAACCTGCTTTGAGGTATCCAACCATAGTTTCCATTGAGAGATATATAATTGCCATCAATAAACTACACTCGGCTTTGACAACATGGGCTCTAAGTGCACCATTAGACATAAATTGTTGATCTTGAAGCTCATATTTATTTAATGGACGTGTGTTAGTTGGAAGGTGTGTGGTATTGGATCCTACTAAGTTAGTAATAAAATGAGAAACTGTATCTTTTAAAGGCTTTTTAGCAAAGGATGCTTCAATCTGTGCAGATGCAAATAAATAAGTCTCTGTTAATTGTGATAAAGCAGAATCAATATCCTTGGGATTATATGATGTAATAGCTTTAATAAATGCCATTGATCCAAGACCTAAAGAATACAAAGGATCACTAATAAAAAAATAAAAAAAAAGGTGGTTCTTTAATATCAAAAATTATTATAATTTTTTACTTTACTCTTTGCCTCTTCTTTCAAAAAGTGCTTTTGCTTGAGAAAAATTGTTATCAAAAAACATATTAATGCCCTTTAGCATTTCTTCATCTAAAAGGAATATATATATATATTTAATATGTATACATATATATATATATATATATATATTGCAACTTACCAAACCTTTCTTGAGCTCTAGGTGGTAATACATTAGGCTTTACTAAATCAAAATTAATACGAGATATAGAAATATCATGATTTGTAGATGGGTTGATTTTCTTTGTAGCTGCGTCCGTTGTAGTAGTAGTAGTAGTAGTAGTAGTAGTAGTAGTAGTAGTAGTAGTAGTAGTAGTAGTAGTCATTTCATTATCTGTACTTAATGATTTTTGAAATATTTCATATTCCAAGAACTCTTCTGCCGTCATCAACTCATTATGGCTTTCTTCTGGACTCATATCAATTGATTTACGAATTTGCTCGAAATGACTAGTAATTTTAACGTCTGCAGCAGTTGGATGAGGTGAACTAGGTTCACTGACGGCCTTGATATCTTGTTCATTATTTGTTGTTGTTGTTGTTGAGGGAAATTCATCATCATTATTATCGGCAGCCTTTTTCTGAGTCGGGGATTCTTGACCAGTAATAATAAATAATGGGCTGTTATTTTTACTATCTTCAGGAATTGTATCAAGAACTTCTTGGTTACTTTCTTTTCCCTCAGGAAAGAGAAGAGGTTCTTGCTTGGCCGGAATATTTACAATTGCAGTATCTTGAAGGGCAGTTATGATATTAGACAAATTATGAGCGGCTTCATCGGAAGAACTTTTAATATCATTGATTGCATCACAAAATTCTTCTTCTTCCTGTTGTTGTTCACCTATAACTTTCATCACTGGCTCCATATCTTTTTCAACCAACTCAACATTTGTATGGCTTGGCTCTTCTTTTTTATCTGAACCTGGCTTGCTCATTATGGGTGATGAAGGTTGAGATGATATTGACTCGGTAAAAATTTGCGTATTATTTGTTTCGGTCATGTTTTAAGAAAAAATAAATAAATAATCTTAATAGATGAGGGTGGGGAGGGGGAAGGGAAAGGAGTAAGATGAAAAAGAAGTAATGTAAAATATAAAGACTATGTATATATTATATGTCAATAAAAAAAAAAGTGAATAAATAAAATAAACAGTAGAGTTTAAAGGAAGAATAAGTAACTTTTTTTTTTTATGTACAAATTATTGGGACATTTTAATTATACTGTAACACCTACTTATGTTCTACAAAGTTTTTTTTTTTTTTTTATATGGTTATAAATTTTTGGTTTATTTATAAAATTTTATGTATGACGATAATAGTTGAAAACTGACGCATAAATAAATAATATACTCAGAGGCACGAAGAAGTTTTATATACATATTAAATAATTAGGGTCTCAATAAATGAGTAAATAAATAATAAAAACTTTTTTAGTGTAGTGTAGAAAAAAAAAAAAATAAAGAAAACTATAGAGTTAATGTTCTATTTCTGATTACTTTATATAATATAAAAAAACACATAATCACATATTATCTAATGAGATGGTATTTTTTTTTTCTTTTTCTTTTTTTTTTTTTCTTTTTTTTTTAATTATTTGACAGGTTATTGACTTCAGCATAAATTTGAAGTGCTCTTAATATATGTGATGGATCAAGCTCAATAGCTTCGCCTAATTTCTCTAAAACACTTGTAAAGTTACCCAATTTCTTTAAATAAAGAGCAGATGCAGCGTTCTAACAGTAATAAAAATGGTTTTTTTTAAAAAAAAAAAAAATATGTATAACACTCCATATATATTTATATATTTACCTCTATTCGAGTAACAAAATTTTCCATCAATGTAAATAGTTCTTCATCAGAAGCTGCTTCTTGCATATACTTGTTAAGTGCTTGTGAATAATTTGTAGCTAACTTATTACTACCATTTGTTATATTCATTAAGGTATGCTGTATACTCATACGTGGATATAAATTATTATTTTCGGTATTATTTAATGCAGTGTTTGTCGTAAGTGATTCTAAACGAACAGCTATATTATTTAATGATATAACAAATGCAGGATCTATCTGTCGATTTATATTTAAACTACGTCTTGTTAGAGGTTGAAATAATTCCACATCATTATCTCTACGTTGTGCAATTAGTTGAGGTGAATTGTTTGTCGTGGACGTTTCATCTCTTCCTCCTTCTCCTCTTCCTCCTTCTCCTCTTCCTCCTTCTCCTCTTCCTCCTTCTCCTCCTCCGTCAATAGTAGGAGCATACATAGACGACTGCTCTGATGTTTGCTCTGCTTGAGGTGTAGTTGACGTGAGAATAGATGGGGATGGTGCTATCACCTCATTTTTTTCCATTTCCATTCTTCCTGCTAGTTGTTTAGGGAAAATAAGTGAAAGCATCTCAGGTGTTTCAAGCCCTTTCAATCGTCTCTCTCCCAATTCTACAACATGAAAGCCTAGACGTTTAATTTGTTGGATATCTCTACTGAGCGAATGTGAAGTATTAGAATCAGCTTCGGCTGAGCTTGTTTTGTCATCACCAAAGACACCTGGCATCTCACGGAGGGCTGTAATGACATCAGAAGAAACACAGATTTGTCCTCCATCTGCTGCGTTACAGATACGACTTGCCTTATTGACGACAGGGCCAAAATAATCCATACGTTTTGTGATTGGATTCCTTTCATAGACAGGTGTGCCAAGATGAATACCCATACGTACCGAAAGACCACGATAGATGACTTGACTATCTTTTCGAATCTCACGTCCTTCTTCTGTTTCAAGAATACCAGCTGGCCAATCTTGTTCTAATAACTGGAGCTGAACTGTGAAACACCAGAGAAGTGCAGCAATTGTATCTTGGAAACATACCATAAAGGCATCACCTTCTGTCTTCACTTCATAACCACCAATACTTCTTAATGTGCGACGCATAACGGCATCATGAATCTTGATAGCCGATCGCATATCCTCAGGTTGAGTATCCCATAATAGGGTTGAACTCTTAATATCTGTAAATACAAGTGCAACTTGATTTGTAGGTGGTGGGACTTCACGATCCAGACGAGCTAAAGTTGAATCACTTGGCGATTCATCCTTAATACGACGTTTATTTTTGGCCATCATCCCTGGTGTACCAATTGTATCATCCATCATCAAGACAGGATCTACACTTCCTGATCGGCTTGCTACACCCAAGTTCATGCCACGTAAGTTACGGAATCGTTTATCACGCTTATCAAATAGATCACCTACACCAATAATCATAACCATGATATTATCATCAGCACCATAAGTTAATGCAAAATCACGAAGTTTTTGTGCCGCTGCCATTAAGTCGTCCTTTTCAGTACGTGCAATATCTACTGCAGTTTGGTAAGAGATACGATCCCAAAGACCTCGTGAAGCCATGATGACAAACTCATCATTTTCTGCTAGGCTAATAGTTGAAATATAAGGGTTCGCGTTAACAACAGGGATAAGATGATAGTAACCGAAGCTACGTGATACACTTAATTCATCATTTAAAAGTCCAGCATTCGAAACATAGCCACCTGCTGCACGTATACGTGAAATTTCACTAGGATTTAAGGGAATATGTTTTTGTGTAATCTCGTAGGCTTGACCATTATTACGTGATAAGACAGCAAGAGCATCACCCACATTTGCCACATAGAGTTTTGTACCTGAGATATAGCATAATAAAGCAGATGCACCTAAATCTTTATCTATTGTATCTGTCGAGCCAAATTCCTTTTCAAGTGCCAAAAAGGTACGTCGCAGAGCAGAAACAATAGTATCATCATTCTTTGTCTTTTCTAGCTCATTCATAAAGTGATATGTGAGGTTATCATTTAAAAACCGTGTAAGACGACATCCTGATTTGCTATGCTTAAGGCCATCAAAAAGGCCAAATAAACATTCATCATCGCGATTTCTAAAACGTGGCATGACAAGGTCCCAGGTTGCGAGGTGATCACTTGGTCCCAGCCAATCAGCAACACCATATGACATACCATTTACTTCAGAAGGTGATGTACGTACACGTCGGTCATGGTATTCTTCAGGTGTTGATACACCTAATATAGTTATATCCATTAAACCCAACATACGCAATCTGACCAAAGCACTAAAGTCAGACAAGTTCTTTTCTTTGGGATTATGAATTTCTGGATGCGTTTTTTTAATTTCTAACCGTTTATTTCCCGAAAGATTGAGGTATTTCAATCCTAGATTCCAATTCCTTATTAGAAAAAAAAAGTAAAATAAAATAAAGAATGTTAGTATAGAGTATTATATATATATATATATATATATATATATATATATATTTACCAATTCCAATCATACGGCCAGTTTGAAATGTTATATTTCAATACATTGTTACCAACATCTAATACTAACAACTTTCTCAATTTACCAATTTCAGCAGGCAATGTTTGTAGTTTATTGCCATTCACAGCCAAAATACGTAAATAACTTAATTTTTCGATATCATCTGCAGGAAGTGAAGCAAGATGATTACCGGATAAATAAAGCTCGTACAAATGTTGATGGCAAAGACCCTCTGGAGGGATTTCATACAAATCATTAAAGCATAAGTTTAAAGTACGTAACTCAAGGAACAAAGATAAAGGAGACCAAACATCATCTGTAAATCGATTATCACCAAGAAATAAATATCGTAATGAAAGGGATAAAGGTGGAGGATGATTTCGTGGACTAGTAAAAAATGAGGGAGGGTTAAAATTTGGGGGAGGTCGAAAACCACTAGAAAGGAGATTTGCAGGGACCTCATTCGCCTCCGTATAAGGTGTATCTTTAGGATGTGCTGTCTGTATGGGAGGTGTAGGTGGAATGGATGTAATGTTTTCAGTAGTGAAAAAGGGATGATCCACGTTAGTTGTTTGTGATAACATTGATTTGTTTGATGAATTACTTGAAGTAGAACTTGTGCTTGTACTAGGCATTGAATAAGGTTCAGGGAAGCTCTCTAGCAAATTGGAAGAACAATTTAAAGTTTGTAATGACATACAAAGCCAAATCTCTCGAGGCAATGATTTTAAATTATTCTTTTGAACATCCAACACTTTAAGTTCAGTGAGTTGAGATATTTGAGGAGGTAATGATTCAAGATTATTCCCTTGTACAGAAAGACGCACAAGTTTCTTTAAAGAGCCTATACTACTGGGTAAAGCACTAAGTGTATTATTATCCAAAATTAAATTTTCGAGACATACAGTGTTTACAAAGAGATCATTCGATAACGAACTTAATTTACAATTGGCAAGGTTGAGATCAGTCAAAGAGCAACGCTTAGGTTTTAGTGTATTATCTGGATTATATAATTGAGCTGGTACTATAGTAAATTGAGTTAAATGGTTTTTACACATCTTTAGTTGACGTAAATTCTGAAAATTATAATTGACGACTGTAATAGCATTGTAATCGATAGAGATGATTTCCAGTTTAGGTAACATATATAATTCATCAAGATCAGTTATTTGATTCTGTCTTAAATCCAATTCTTGCAATTTATCCAATTTTGAGAAGCCAGAAGGTAAACGACCTGTTAAACGATTTGCAGTAGCAAACAAACCTACTAATTGAGTTAATTTACAAATTTCGTCCGGAAATGAAGTGATTTTATTGAAACTGATATCGAGATAAGCCAAACTTGATATTTCACAAATTATTTTTGGAAACTTTGTAAAAGAATTGTTGGAAATAAATAGGATAGTTAAATGTTTAAAAGTTGCAAAAGAAGTTGGTAAAGATTCAAGTCGATTATTATAAGCACGTAAAGTACGTAAAGTAGTAAGGTCCTCTAAATGAGCTGGTTGTAAATCACGAATATGATTACTCGATATATTTAAATGTTCAAGATTTGGAATACAATGAATTGACATTGGTAATACATGATAATCATTTGCTGTAAGCCAAAGCTGCTTTAAATTTTTACACATCTGCAAGAAATCCACGGGTATCTCCATCATTAAATTTTTGGATAAATCAAGTGATGCGATACGAGCAGCATATTTATATAAAAAGATAGGAATCGTTGTTAGATTCCTGGCTTGAAGATCTACACGCCTGTAAGTGCCAAATTCATCTTCTTCTTGTAATGCTTGTGTAACGCTAGGTCCAAATGCAAAACGATAAAAATAAGAATTATCTTCTCTACCTACATCTTCTATTTTATCCTCTTCCGTATAACCCATTTGTTCAAGTAAAGTCTTTTGAATCTGAATTGGGTGTTCATTCAATTGAAGTATTCGCTCTAATAGAGAATAAATGAATCTAATTTACCAGACATTTATTTATTATCATTATTTACCATTGTTATGCAAAATTAAACTGAGTTTATATTTACTCAAGTCATGCAAAAAGAACTTTCCTGCCAGTTTTTGTATAAGATCATTTGTAGTAGCATTTAAAGGTACAATTAAAGTACCAAATGTACCATCTGGACGAAAAATACGAATGCAATACTAGAAAGCAAGATAATAGAGTGTATAATAAGTAAGTATGAATATGAATATATGTATATGTATATAAATATCTATACATGTATACTTACATTTTTACTGGGTATATTCCAATTTTCATGTTCAACAACAGGAAAATAATCTGTTTGTTCATTTCTATTATTAGGAGCAATAGAAGGTGTTTCAACATGATTATCAACTCCATCATCTGCTGTAGCTGGTTGTACTGCCCAACTATCTGGAGGCGCCCAATGCTCTACATTCTTATCTATACCTGCTAATCCCTATACAACTAAACAAGTAAATAAATAATACAAAGAGAATATCTATTATTCAATACTCTTCACTTTACCTGGGGTAATACTTTTCCTTTATCACCATTACGATATTCTGGATTAATAATACCGTCCATTGAATTAAAATTTTGATCCACTAGAACGAAAAGGTTTATTTAAAATTGGCTCATTTTCATGGTTTTTTTTTTTTTTTTCTTATACAAACATTCAAGACTCTAAATAGTAACGAAAATAAAGTAATTTAGTATATCGCTTATCTATTTACAATTTTTTTTTTTATTATTACTATTTACTTTATCATTTTTTCCTTCTTCCGTCAAAAAATAAATGCTTCCTTCTGATTTTTCTCTATCTTTTCCTTTTGAATGGCCTGAGCTTCCAGATTTTTTTCTTTCATTAATAGCAGTTTTTAAATTATCATCTACTACACCAAGTAAATCATTATTATATATACTATTTTCATAATCTTTAGATTTTTTTCGAGATGTCAATATGGATGCTGCATCATTCATTAAAGGTGAAAAGGTAAGTGAGCTTGTAGAAACAGAAGAGTGATGGCCACTACCAAAAATAGAAGGATTCAAGTCAGATCGACCTATATATTCATACATGGTTAAATTGTTGTCAAATGTGTTAAAGTCTACTAATTTTACTTTTTTTTCTTCCAAATCGAAACAAATGCCTTTTTTTATCTTTTTGTATAGGTAATTGAAAAGGGTGAATGGTATCTAAATATATAATGAATGAATGAATGAATAAATGAATGAATAAACGAATGTCTTTTGTTTTTTTTTTTTTTTAAATTATATTCAAATAAAAAATAATAAGCACCATGATTAGTTTGTCGAGTAAAATCGCTCATTACTTCAGCAGTTGAATTAATATTAGTGTTATTATTTTTTGTCAATTTTTGTAAAGGAGTACTACTTTTTTTACTGTTATTCATATATATATGGGTCCTTTATATAAGAAAATATTAGAATATTAAATTGAATGTCATGTATATACGTAAAGAATATACACATATATACACATAAAAAGCAAAAGAAATGTATATATATATGTTATACTATGTTTGATAAGATTAGTTGAATCTGTAGATTCTTTGTCAATCTATGTAGTTTTACCTAAATTGTTTTCTTTAAATATAATTTACAAAAAAAAAATAAAAGAAAAGAAAATAAAATAAAATAAAATAAAATAAAATAAAATAAAATAAAATAAAATAAAATAAAAAGAAAAAGAAAAGAAAAGAAAGAAAGAAATAAAAATAAATTTAACTATTATTACTGTTGTTGTTGTTCGTCACGGCAAGTCTCTTTCTATTTTACTACAAGAAATATGCGTCTGATAATAAATTATCCAATTTTCACTTTTTTTAAACCGATTTATTACTACTACATGCTAAAATGCATAAGGTTTTTTTTATTATTACAAGATAGAAAATACTCATGTATACGTATGTAAAATCCCTTCTATTTTAGTCTATTGTCCCCTATTTATATTTAATAGTAATTTATATGTGTTTATTCTTTCTTCTTCTTCTTCTTTAATCAAATTATAAAAAGAATGATTATTGTTAATCATGAAGATATCATTTCTTCTCCAAAATCTATTTTAATAAACAAAAGTCCAACACTCACAGTTAGTATGGATGAGAAGAATAGTACAGAAGAAGAAACAGCCTTTGTTGGTGTTCAGCAAAATACTACAATAACAATGACTATGGATGATATAGAAATAAACAAACAACAACCTATAGGTATTATTGTTATGTAATAAAATAGATAAATGTATATGCATATATAATATATATAATATATAATTAATATATACATAAAAATATAATATACATATTTATATATACATATTCATATACACACACACATATCTATATACATATACATATATTCATATACACATTTATATATTCATTTAAGGAACTGGTGCGTCTGCTATTGTTTATAGTGGCATCTATCTTCCACTAAATAAAAGAGTTGCAGTTAAAGTGATTGATTTAGATTTTATTGGAAGGGATCGAATAGATGCATTAAGGGTATTTCTATCTAATAGTATTATGGACTTTTTCTTTTTTTAATATCATTATGATAGAGAGAAACGGCTGTGATGGCATTATGTAAACATCCAAATGTATTGCAAGTTTTAGGAACATTTATTCATGGAACAAAATTATACATAATTACTCCTTTCATATCTTTAGGTGACAATAATATACATATATAATACACTACATTATATTACATGACTCATATTTAAATAGGTTCTTGCTTAGATATTATGAAATTAAAGTATCCAGATGGTCTTGATGAGGTTTATGTTGCTACTATTCTAAAACAAGTATTAGAAGGTCTAGTGTATATGCATAAGAATGGTCATATTCATAGAGACATAAAGGCTGGTAATCTATTAATGGATGATCATGGTACAGTCTTAATCTCTGATTTTGGTGTATCTGGCTCATTATTAGAAAAGGGTAAAAAAGATTATAGGACTACCTTTGTTGGCACAGTAAGGGATTAGTATTCAAATAAATAATATATATACATATATATTTATTTATTTATATACATAAAGCTAACCTTATTATGATTATAGCCGTGCTGGATGGCACCTGAAGTCATTTCTCAAGAAAATGGATATGATTCTAAAGCAGATATATGGAGTTTTGGTATTACAGCTATCGAACTTTTCACTGGGCATGCTCCTAATTCTAATCTTCCACCTATGAAAGTACTCATAGCCACACTCATGAATGACCCTCCTACTTTAGATACAAAAACAACTCTTAATAAATTCTCCTTGGCATTTAAAGAAATGGTAGATAGCTGTTTAAATAAAATAGGAGTAAATCGGTAAAATAGAATATTAGATACTATACATAATTCATCTATTTATTTAATTCAAGCATATTCTAGACCTTCTGCAGAAAAATTACTTAAACATCCTTTCTTTAAACAAGCTAAAAAGCCTGAATGGCTTGTTAAAAATTGGGTATCAACCAATTTACCTTCTATTGATTCTAGACCACCAAAGAAAATCATGGCTCAACATAATTTAAAGCCTTCTACTACATCAATCCATGAGGAGGAGGAATGGAACTTTAATAAGAATCATAATTCATCAAAAAGACATATTTCATTTGGTAACGTTGTTGTTCGAAAACCTCCTATTTATCAGAAAGGAATAAAACATCATGCATCATCAGAATCATGGTCCTATTCACCAGTATCAAATAAGCTTAATATTCTTGCTGATACAAACAGCAGCACGGTACAATTACCCTCTGTACCATTTTCATCTTCTCCTATTAGGAAAGGAAGAGCATTGAGTGATGACTTTACAAATGATTCTTTACGTAGAAGACAACAAGCAGGAATACTTTTTCCTACTTTCTTACCTTATGTAAGTTTACTTTTTTTAAACTGATTTGATTATATTATTTTTATACATAATATAATATATTCAGGATGGTAATCATCATCATAAAAAGACACCTAGCGTTACATTCTCTGAAGAATCACGTATTTGTGAACAATTGAATGGTAAATTAATATATCGACCTATCAGCCAAAATGACCCTATTCAAAGTAATATCATAATGATAATAATGATAATAACTAGAGTTCTAATGAAAAAAAAAAAAAAAAAAAAAAAAAAAAAAAAAAAAAAAAAAAATAGATAAAAAATTTAATGGTAGAGTAAATATTCAGAGATCACCATCACCACCTTATCAGTCAGTGCCTTTATCACGTAATAATTCTAATAAATCAATGAGCCCACCTTCAAGTAAAGGAAGCTATATATTAGCAGGAGAAGAACCTATAAAAATTGGGAGATTTGAATTAAGTCATAATTATAATGACTCTATTTCTTCATCCAAACAACAAAGCATTACGGAAGCCCTATCATCTAATTCAACCACTCATTCAAATAACTCATCATTATCATCCTCTTATTCTTACTTGACAAGAAATATAAGGCATTTTTCAATTGAAACACAACTACATGAGCTTGTCAAACAAAATGAACTGCAAAAACAAGCCTTACTAAGTTTGGTTAGTTCATTAGAACCACGTATGATAAATTCAACTTCACTAAAAGCCCAGCAAGAAATGATTGCAAGTATTAAAAAAAAAATCTTTATTTAAGTTAATTGACTTGTAAATCTATAGGCTTCAATGGAATTACAACTACAAGCATGCCAACGAGAAACACTCTTATTACAAAGAGAAAACGTAATTATGAGAAGACAAATAGACGAGCTTAAAAATAGTAGTAAAAAAATAGTCTAATATACAAGTTTCAGAATATATTTTTTTCATTTTTTTTTATTTATATAAAGATATTTCATTCTTTCCTTCTCTCAAAAGAGAAAGAAAAAAAGAACGAAATAAAAAGGGGTTTCCTAAAAATTAGGGTAAACTTCTTTAGCGTCCCGCATCCACGGAAATCTTTAGTAAAAGGCGAAAGATTTATCCGATATGAGCACAGGACAGAAGTACAAAGAACAAAAAAAAGATGCGAGTTTTTACCTCCTTTTATAGTTTTTTTATTCCTCTTCAAATTGTGACCGCTTATTTTGCTGTCACCATCTGAGAATAAACTCAGTAGTACGGGATTTAGTAAATTAATTCCCCGTTCCTTCTTTACTAACTTTGAAACCTTCTTAAAAGATATTATGTCAAATGATGAACTTAAACTAAATTCAAATATATTTTGCCAAAGTTTTTTTTTCTTTGTTTGTGATAATAGATAAACTTCTTTTTTTTATATTACAAAGTTTTCCCTCTTTATAATTTAAGATAATATCAATTTACTGGATTAGGATTTTGATATTTTACCCATGCAATTTAGTAAAAAGAAAAAAAAAATTTGCTGTTGTACAAAGTATATTATAAGAAAAACAATTTTGTCCAATTAAAAGTAAAATGAGTTTGAATTATAATAGGCTTCTTCAAAGTGACTAACATTATTGTAGTTTAAAATTGGTCAAAAAAAAAAAAAGGACCTACTATTGGTAATTCAATATGATAGGTCTTCATGAATTGACTCTTTAGAAGAAGAAAGAGCAAAAAGGACATCATAAGAAATGTCGAATAATAACAAAAATATCTACACTTTTCCTGTAAAAAACGCTGTCTTGTCTTGTAAGAACAAGAACATGGATACAATATAACTAAAAGCTATCACAGTTCTTCTCTTCTTTCATTTATTGTTTAAATAAAGCAAATATACATCTGTCATTCATCTTTATTATTTCATTTACGAAAATGTCCCCTTTTTTTTCATGTAATGTCTGATATAGAAGGAAGAAATACATGATATTAAATCTTAGTAATAAACCTTGATTTTATCCCATTTAGTCTATGTAAAAGAGAGGTTGAAGATAAAATACAAATTTTGAAACAACAACATATAACATTATCGCAATTCATAACATTGTGATCTTTCAGTTGGTCTTGATCATTGACCCAAATTAATTTACAATCAGCCTCAAACTTGTTTAATGTGATAGCATCTTTTCTATAATTAGCTTCAATAGACTGTAATATTTGATTTATAATCATTAAAATAGTTAGTTCAATGGATCCAGTATTATCCAGCAAGTGGTGGTTGTGAAATATAAACGAATCATGAGTTATTGTTGCCAATGTTACTTCTTGCTCATTAGGAAATATCAATAGGTTATAAAGTAGAATTAATAAATCCATTTTTTGCCAGTCCCAGTCCCCTAACCCTTCACAGAAATAAAAAGCCTTAATAGGAAAACGTTTGGTTTCCGAAGCAGGTATTTTATGGCGACTACAATGTAAAATAGATGGATAGTTATGCGTTCTTTTAATGGTATAACTATTACCATCAAGTATAGAAGATCGCAAATCATGTAGATAGCTTATCAGCTCTTCCACTCGATACCACTTTAATGAAGAAGATAATAAGATGGATGATGAAGCTTGCTCTTTCCAATTTATGTACATTGTTTTTTTTTCTTCTTCTTTTATAAATAAAAATTGAAGATTGGAACAATGGCTATATATATAATCCTTTTTAGAAATGATTTCTTCATCAAAATATCAAGTTTTAAGGTAGTTTTATGCATGTAGTACAAGTTATTCGTCGTCATGATCTACTATAAGGTAATAAAATACATAGTGTGTATATCTCCTGTTGCTGTAAACAACCACAGTTTCTCAAATATGAAAGCTATTGTTCACTTGAGAATTATTATGCATTAAAAAAGAAGAGGAGTCACAACTCTTTTTATGCTTTATTTTCCGTGACCGTCAACAAAAAGGAAAGAAAACAATTGACAAGTGTCCGGGGTAATTATAATTGTTCAAACTTATTATGCCTTTTTTTTTTTTTTTCCTTTTTGTTTTTTCCCCAAAAAGAAAGGAAAAAAAAAATGTTAAACAGCTGTCAAACATATCGACAAACTTTAAAGAGTGTTTTTCATTCAACTCGATTGGCTCGAAATAATAATGCCAAATACATTATTTTGAATAAATATGCTAGAATACATTCATCTGCTAATATTAAGAATGCTAAAGGTAGTCGTAAAAGCCAATTATATATTTAGATCAAGAAGAAATTAAAATATCAAATTAATTGTTTAATTTGACATAGATCTTCAGAACGTATATACAGTTAAACCTACTGGTTTCTGGAGAGACAAGATCCTTCAACATGAATCAAAGAAGCCAGTGACATCCCCTTCTAAGCCTCGAAAACTAATTGATAAAACTGTATGATTCTTTTAAAAAAAAAAAAAAAAAAAAAAAAAAAAATGGCATTTATTATATGCGTACTCAGCTTTCTAATTATGTATATATATTGTCTTTTGATGTTTTCTATAGATGAAGGACAGTTATATAGTAGAATATCTTCCTTTTAAATCATCTCCTGCATTGTTAGATGATTATATTTTTTCTGATGGTCGAATTCGAACAGGCAAGCTTTTAGAAGGTACATATAAAAAAAAAACTCTCTTTTAACATAATTAAATGTTATCTGACTTTTTGTTCTACTATTTTTGATATATTAATAGATTTAGATGCACTTGCAGGCGCTATAGCTTATAAACATATTGATAATGGTGATCCTGATGCTTCACCTGTTACTGTAGTCACAGCAAGCGTGGATCGTTTAGATTTATTCTTACCAGAAGCTAAAATTGAGAATTATAAATTAAGTGGACATGTTACTTATGTAGGCAACAGTTCTATGGAAAGTAAGTAGATTGAAATGATAGATAAAAAGCCAATTTATGATAAAAATTAATTAATTATTTTCTTCTTTTTTTATATATATATATACAAGTCGCTATTAAGGCCGAAACAGTATCTGAAGGTGAAGATGGTTCCTTAAATAAGGACTCTATTAAAATTCCGGAAAATCTTGGTATTCTCAAAAAGAATACTGTTTTAGCAACTCGATTCACAATGGTTGCCTTAGACTCAATAACACAAAAGCCTGTTAAGATTAATCCTTTAAAGTTGACAAGTCCTGCAGAAGAAAGGCTCTTTGCGTTGGGTGAAACAAATAAAAAGAGAAAGAAGAGGGCTACAGAGACTTCATTAGCACGTCTGCCTCCTACACCTGAAGAACGTCTTGATATTCATGACATTTACTTGCAATATTCCCAATACACGCATGATACAAATGATGATGCATTTATGAAATCTCAATCATCTGATGAAATGCAACCTTTACCAGATAATCTCGTGTGGATGCGAGATACAAAGATTGAAAGTAACTTTTTAATGCAACCTCAAGATAGAAATATTCATAATAATATCTTTGGTGGTTACTTGATGCGTCGTGCTTACGAATTAGCTTATGCAAATGCAAGTCTCTTTATGAAATCAGCTTCACCTAATTTATTATCTATGGATGAAGTGACCTTTAGAAAGCCTGTTCATGTAGGTACACTTCTTAATCTGAAGTCTGGTATTGTTTTGTCGGAAGGTTATCCTCACCGATCTGTTCAAGTACGTGTTGTTGCTGAAGTCATTGATATTGAAGCAGGAACTCGAGAGACAACGAATGTATTTCACTTTACACTTTCCACAGGTGATGAAAATATTAAACTTCGTCGAATCTTACCTAGAACTTATGCTGAAACCATGTTATGGCTTGATGCTAGGCGTAGACGTTTTCAAGGTATTCATGCTAGGCATGCCATGTTAGAAGCTGGTATTAAACAAAATTAAAAATCCAACAAAGTTTGTAATCTATGTATGATCTTTTTTTTTTTTTCCCTACTATTCTATCACTTCTTCTTCTTCTACTACTACCATAAGTTGTTTAGATTGTATCATATTTTATTTATTTTATTTTATTTTATTTTATTCAAAGAGAGGTAAATTAAAACCATAGACCATTGGATCATTAAATCTTTGATTAGACTTGAGAGAATCCAAAAGCTGATTATCTTCTTTATCTAATTTGATATTTAAAATTTCAAAGTTGCCTTTCATTCTTTCTTCATGTACACTCTTTGGAATAACACAGATTTCACGATCTAAAGCCCAACGAAGCAACACTTGTCCTGTACTAATGCTGTGTTTATCTGCAATTTGTTTGACTTTTTCATGCTCCAATAAAGATGGATGAGATTTACCACTTTCAGTTAAATTAACATACGATGTAGGACCAAAAGAAGAATAAGCAGTAATATGAATACCTTGTTCCTTGACCCATTTAACAAGGTTTTCTTGAGGTAAATAAGGATGAAGTTCGATTTGTAAAACCGCAGGCTTTATCTTTGCGTAACAAAGTAAATCTAAAATGGCTTGACAGTTAAAGTTAGCAATACCAATATTACGTACTAATTTAGTATCTACGACTAATTTTTCCATCTCAGCCCAACATTCATGCATGGGGGAGCATTCATAAGAAAGGGTATTATTAGTGCCAGGAACATACCATTCAGGTGGGTACTTGACAGAGGGGTCAACATATTTTAAAGGTACAGGGACTAATAATAATAATAAAGTCATTCGGTTATTTCATGTCTATGTTGTGTGTATTGTTATCAAAAAAAAGATAAAAAATAAACCTTACAGTGAATAAGATAAAGATCAAAATAATCAAGTCCCCAATCCTTTAATTGTCTTTGACAAGCAGATTTAACATGTTCTTTACCATGAAATGTATTCCATAGTTTGGTAACAACTAAATCCCAAAAATGAATATACATACACTTTACAGATTACTATTGTCTATGCTTACCAAAAAGATCTTCTCTCTTGACTAAACCTTCTTTGATGGCCTTATTGATGCCTCGACCACATTCAGCTTCATTACCATAATCACATGCACCATCAAAAAGTCTATATCCTACTTTGATAGCTTTATAGATTGTATCTTCAGCATCCTTCTTGTCAATCTTCCAACAGCCAAAGCCACGAAGAGGCATCTTATCACCAGTTCTGTTCAATTCAACATAATCTGTAGTCATTGTGTAATAATTTGTTCTTTTTTTTTTTTTTTTTTTTACAAGTATTATATAATGGAAAGAAAAAAGAAATTGAAATAGAACATGATAAATAAATAAATAAATAAGAAATTATGTCATCACAAACGAGGCTTTTTTTCTTTATGTACATGAAATGATAAAGTATAATCATAGTAGTAGTTTTTTTTTTAGTGGCAAGGGTTTTATTATTATTTTGTTCTTTTTACTTTAAGTTATTACGTGAAAAAAAGAAAATAGTAGTAGTAGTGGTAGTAGTGGTGGTAGTGGTAATAATAGCAGTGAACCTTATTATATTATTACGTATTTCTGACTAAATCAGCAACAAATCAAAATACTTCTACTACTATAACATATATTCTTTTTTTTAAAGGGATAAACTTACATAATACATTCTTGTAATCATCTATTTCAAATAGACGGAAATAAATAAACAATTTTAATTTATGCAATTTTAAGATATACACTTATTAATTTAATAGAGCATATTTTGATATTTCCCTGGTTTTTTTTTTTTAACAGGAAAAGAAAAAAGAAAATTGAATGAATTGTATTCTTTTACACCAGATAAAATAAAATAAGCACTAATGCTTTTTTTTTTCAAAATAATCCAATAATAATAAAGTTATCTTATATATTATAAACGTTATAATTACCAGACACTATGTCTGTTTGCTTTTTTCATTTATTTATTTATAATTATCCTGTTACTTTAAAATTGCTGATATACATTAGCAAAAGTTCTAGATCATGCATTATACATAATTCACTCTTCTTTTTTTAAAAAAAAAAATATAAATATATAAAGCTCTAGTATACGATTAATGTGACTCAGTGTGAATATTTCGTACTATGACTCATGATTTCTCTGAATCTGGGGTAAAAATTTATTGCTAAAGACAGAAACTAGAATTAATATTTTATCACTCCGAAAAATAAATAAATAAAATAAAATAAAAGAATACATATAAAAAATTACGATTTGATTTGATTTCTTCTCTATTTTTTTTTTGCTTTTAATACATATACATATATATCTTATTATTAGAATAGAATGACTGCAATTACATTTACACCTAAACAACCTAAACATTTTATTACTACCGCAGATTATACTGCTGAGCAACTTCTTGATTTAGTTTACCGAGCTGTTCAATTTAAAGTTGAATCTAAATATAATCATCCAAAGCCTAGACAAGAACAACCTTTAGCTGGCAAGTCAGTAGCACTTATGTTTTCAAAGAGATCTACTCGTACTCGTGTTGCCACTGAGACCGCTGTTAGTTATTTAGGTAAATTATATATGCATATATATATAAATGTTACATAAGGAAAGTATGAGTTATCTAATAATAATAACAATATCTATAAGGTGGACATGCTATGTTTTTGGGTTCACAGGATATTCAACTTGGAGTTAATGAGTCATTCTATGACACTGCACATGTTGTTAGCTCTATGGTAGATGGTATTATGGCTCGTGTTGGTGGCCATCATGAAATAGAGGTATGTATTTTATTTTATTTTTATTTCATTTTTTTAAAAAAAAAAGGTTATCTAATAAACTATTTCATTTATTTAGACTCTTGCGAAAGAATCATCTGTGCCAGTGATTAATGCTTTATCTGATAAATACCATCCCACACAGATTCTGGCTGATTTAATGACGATACATGAATATTATCATCATAAGAAAAATAATGCTCCTGCTAATGTCTATAGTGCACATACTCAACATCCTAGAGAAACATTAAAAGGTTTAAAGGTTGCATGGGTCGGTGATGCTAATAATATTCTTCAAGAAATTCTTGTCGCTTTTCCCAAGTGTGGTATTAGTGTTTCGGCTGCTTGCCCATCTGGTTATGTTTGTGATCAAGATGTGATTGATATTGCAAAAGCTGATGCTGAAAAGACAGGCACTACAGTATTCTTTACCACTAGCCCTGAAGAAGCTGTGAAAGATTGTGATATTATCATTACCGATACTTGGTAAGCTATTCGCTTTATTTTACACCCCATTCCTCCCCTTATGAATAGCTCTGTTTAATTGATTTTAATTTAATTATATTAGGGTTAGTATGGGTCAAGAAGAAGAAAAGAAAAAACGACTTTTGGATTTTAAAGGATATCAGGTCACTAATGCGTTAGCACAAAATGGTTGTGCTAAACCTGATTGGATCTTTATGCACTGTCTCCCTCGTAAACCAGAAGAAGTGGATGATGAAGTTTTTTACTCTGAACGTTCTTTAGTATTCCCTGAAGCTGAGAACAGAAAGTGGACTATTCTTTCTGTTATCGATGCATTATTAGTTAGAGGGGAAATCTAAAAAAAAAAAAAAAAAAAAAAAAAAAAAAAAAAAAAAGTTTATTAGATGCATGTTAAATAATTCATATACATTTATAATACACACATGTATATACATTTTTATATATTTTCAACAATTTGTTTTTTTGTATAAATTCAATAAAACTTTGAATTATCCTTTTTAAGACAAGAGTTACCTAAATACATATTAATAGTATGCATTTTTAATATTTGAGTATAAAAGTAAAAACCAAAATTTAGGAAAACATTTGTTTGATAAATTTTATCATTTAGTGAGGATTTGATAAACTTATCTTTTTTTTTTTTTTTTTTTTTTTTTTTTTTTTTTTTTTTGTAGTCATTGTATATTAGTATCTAACTCGATTGATCTTTCTCTTTTTATGTTAAAAAATGGTATTGAATATATACATATTTATTTATTTTTTTTTAAAAAAAACGAAAAAGAAGATAAATCTTTTAAATGATAGAGAGAAGAGAAACAAAGTTATAACGAACAAATAAATATTCTTTTGTTGGTATACGTTTACAAATGAGATAAACTATAAACAATACATAATCCAAAAAAAATAAAAAGAAAAAATAATTGCTCATTACAGGGGTCGAACCTGTGACCTTGGCGTTATTAGCACCACGCTCTAACCAACTGAGCTAAACGAGCTTGTTGATTTTTTTGACATGAAAATCAATTATAAACAGTATTTTTCGTTAAAACTCCGATCATATGGACCAATCAAATTTACGGATTAATTTTTTTATCATTGATTTTGGAATTGTTTGTCCTTGTTTTTTAAAATATTGATTTTATTTAATAAAAAATTATGATCGTATTACAATATTTATTATTTTAAGGCATAAATTGAATAAACATATCTTTATCTCTGCTTTAAAATCATTTTAGTAAGATCAAGCTTTATTATATATATATATATATATATATATTATATTATATTATATATGGATTATCTATTGAGTGTTATAACTATGCGATGATCTGAGTATAGTTTCCTGATGTCTTTTACATTTTTATCTTAGTGGATCAAACATGACCTGAGTCTTTTATCAAGGTTATAAAAATAACTATTTAGACCTGATACATTGTTCTATTTAGCTGATACGTCTAGCTGATTGGATATCAGTAAGTTTTATGTTATTTACAAGATGCTCTATTACAGTACTGTATGATATATTTTATTATATGTTCAGGCTTATAGTTTATACTGTATTATGTAATTCGTCTTTTATAATATTACATATGCTTATATCCAGAGCTTGTTCTATAACAAATACCATAAAAAGGGTTATATATACTATAACCCAAGCGATATAACTAAGTATATCATTTGATGTTTCAATATAGCCTAATTATAATAATAATAGTAATTGTTAATATTGAAAGAAGTAATCTTTTTTTTTTTTTTTTTTTTTTTTTTTTTTTTTTTTAGGAAAACTAAGCATTATCAGAGCTAATTATTCTAATTGATATCTTCGTTACAAAAAGAGATATTTGTACTTTTCCTGAGCTAAAAAGTAGCAACAGTAGAGCTTTGAAAAAAAAAATGAAAGAAATCTTTGTTTGTTATAAAAATATATTTCCTCCTTTACATTTGGTATATAGTAACATGTTATATATCATTCTTCTTATCTCCCTTTTAGTCTTTATAAGAGTACTTTACAGCCATTGTAATCACTGGAATAGAACCAATTCATTTTAATGTACGTTAAAAATTTAAGATTTATTTAGTTCCAAAAAATAATAATAATTATATTACAGCAAATCTAAAGTTTCTTGATCATGATATGATCTGTATCTTCTTGGGAACCTAATTTGAATGTATGGCTTCCCACTTTATAGAAACCTTGGCGTGTATAAAAGTTAATAGCTGAAGGATTATGTTCCCAAACACCTAACTACACCACATTATTTGTTTGCCTAATTGACGGGCTTTTTCAAGACTTGATGTCATGAACTGGTTAAACAAGCGGATCAAAGAATTCATTATCTATAACATATCTTTGTATTTAAAAAGGGAGGAAAGATTACTGTGAATGCAAGTCAAAGATACTTTAACTGGTTTTCATAGCCTACATCAAGGAAACTAAAATCGTTAATCTTTATAATCTCATTTTGGCAAACGATATATATGAGCAAAAGAATAATTTTAAGCGCAACAAAAGGGAGACTAGACTTATCAAGTACCCTTATTAGGAAATGGTAGTATATTGTACAAATGAGATGCATATTAGTTGCCTAAATAGGAAAAAGAAAGTTGATGAGAATATAAACAAAAAAGTGAAAACAAAAGACATTTATTTTATTTACTTTTCTTTTCTTTAGTGTAAATACATTTCATATAGTCGTAAAGAAGATATAAAATTGACAACATTTTACTATTTTACACATTGTTACTTTTTATAAGAAAGGAAGAAAATTAAATAATGTAACTGTGTGTATGTGTTTATTAAATGTGGGGTAACACATATTCTTATCGATTTCATATGATTGTGACTGTAATTTACAACAACGACCTCCTTATTCTTATAAAAAAGTAGATATTCAAAGTTATTATTTTTTCCCTTTTTTTCTTCTTCTTTATCTTCTTTATTATTACTATTTCTTCCATAGGTAAGTCATTAAATAATAATATTTTATTCTTCTTCTTCTTCCCTGCCCTAGGAGGAAATTCTTTTTCTCATGGTTACCACTTATGTACCGGGCTCTTGATGAGGAAGACACCCTATCTTGCCCTCCTTGAATTAGGAGGACATTGTAGGGTATCTTGTTGATTCAGAGGGCGTTACATATTGTGATCGCTATGGTTTTTCTAACCTCCTAGTAAAAATAAAAAATACAAGAACAAAGAAGGTGCAACGAATCCTAGCCTCCACGCGGCCACCTTTGGACTGCAGTAATTATTACTGTTGACGAATTGGGGATTCACTTTTTTTATATATGAAATAAAAATGAAAATAAAATAAATAAATATATCTTTTCTTACGCGTCTTTTAATAATCTTGTGCCTTCTTTAACTATTGTTTGTATAATAAAATATCTTTTTGCTTTAAATTGACTTTAAGAAGTATAAAAACAAGTAATTGACTTAAAAAATACAGGAAATATAAGATGTGGTGTAGTGGTGATTATCTAAACTATTGACTAATATCTTATCAGAGAAACTATCATGATTATTTTTCTTCCTTTACAATCAAATTATTATTATTTTAAATTAACAAAGATGAGTACAATATATTAAAGATATTAAGTACTTATTAGAAAACTTATATTTCTTTTATATTTACATATTCCCTTTTTTTCCCGTTTAATGTATAAAAAAAATTGAACTTGTCACTAAGAGCACGTCTTGTTCCATTTTCTTTATATTTAGAAATGAAGTAGCTGGAATATTCACTGTGAATTAATATTAACATAAGCAGGATTATTCGGAAACAATATTGATGTATAATGCTTTATTATACCAGTATTTACTTATTCATACCACTTACCTTGCGAAAACATATAAATAACCCTTGTCATTTTTCCATATCATTTTTTTTCTTAATAAACTATACAGAGTTTTCACATACTTGTCTTTTCTATTTTCTCTTTCCTTATCTTTTGCATTTAAAATACTGTCTTTATTTGTGAAATGGTAGCCATAACAGTTGAAGCTGTCATAAATCAACTTTGCCAAAAAAAAAGATGTCTTCTCACTTGTAAACAAATTATCCCGCGATATATTGCACGAGACAATGAGGAAACTGTCAGTAAGCCTTACTCATTTAATACTTTTGTACCTGTTAACTACAACAATCCGACTACCATTTACTGTTCTTATAAGCATGATCAAAACTTTTACAGTGGATCACTTTTAATAATTTATTATCAACTCAATTTTCAAGTGATATGCATACTCCTTATGTAGTTTCTATTATTCAACCCTTTTTTCAAGCAACCATCTATCAATGTCATCATCACATGCTCGAATAGTTTATATGAGAGCAAGAAATATGAGCCAGTTTAATATCTGAAGTCTCTTACTCGTAATCCTCTTTATTGATTCACTAATTGACTTGTAGTAGTCTTACATTTCAAAATTGACACTATTTGGACGGTTTCTTTATTATTATCAGTATTAGTATTAGCAAGGTAAGGTAAGGCAAGGTTACAAATGAAATCAATTTTTTTATTTGGGGGCTACTAACTTGAATTGTATTCCTTCCAGTTTATCAAATGTTATACTTTAAGGCTCATTGTCCCAAAAGAGTGAGGAGAAAAAAAAAAAAGGGCATTATTGCTGGCTCATTATCAAGTTGTATAGAGTTCAAAATACATACATTTTGATGGTCTAGTTTTTTTTTTCTTTAATTAATATTCTATTATGGCCATCATTGCCCTTCCAATTCCTCTTGGATCTCCAGCAGATAAGCCGTTATTAGGTATGCTGTGTACTGTTCAATAGTAACACTGGATTATAAGCACCTTCTTATTAAAGGTCGTGAATTGTACTCCTTCTTTCAATACAACAACGATTTTCTAATAGTTAATTATTATCACTTATGTATATACTTCAACATTTTCCCTTTTATCCCAAAAGGGTTTTTTTCTTTCTTTCTTTCTTTTTTTTTTTTTTTCATAGCGGTCTGACCAGGCCAAAACAGCATATATAAATGCTATGTGCTCATTGGTCTTTTTTTTTTTTTTTTTTTTTTTTTTTTTTTTTTTTTAATTTCTTAAATCGTATTATTAAAATTATTCAAATTAATTTTTTCATCTAAAAAAAAATGGTGGAAGCAAATAATTATAAAAGCAAACTTTATTTTCATTTGAAATGTCAAAAAGATCAATAAATAATCAAACTGATTATAAGCTAATTTCAGATGAAGAAGATTGTTTTTATTATCGACTGCACTTTTAAATATTTATTTTAACATCGGGAATAATGAATGTATCACAAATTTATTGGGGCAAAAATTAAAGCTAAACTAGATTATAAATAAAGGCAAACTAAAGAAAAAAAAACAATATTATGATTTATTTTTACCTTTAAAATATAAAGTTTTGTAAAGGAAATGATATAAAGTATGTTATTATGTTGAATTGTTATATAAAATGGACAAGTAAGTAAAATATAAATGTGTAAAAAGATACAAAAAAAAAAAGGAGTCATGTAATATAAAATTAAAATCCTTTCCCCTCCCCCTAAACTACTTAATCCTTACGCTGATAGAAGCGTCTCCATTTATCATCAATTTTCTCAACATAGTAAGTACCAGAAGCAATGTTATCAAGACTGCCACTGGGATTGAAGTTACAGGCATTGTGGGTGTTTTCACGAAGCTTCATAGCAGCAGCAAATTCTTCAGGCTTAGCATGAGTACGAGCTTCAAGACGCTCACGAAGATTCAATTTCTTCTTCATTTCATCAGTAGAGCCACAAACACGGAAAGAAGTCATAGAGGCAGCTAAACCAGAGCCATAAGAGTAGAGTAGAATACGCTTATTTTGAAGTGTTTCAGACTCGACCTCAGAGATAAGAGAAGCTAAACCAGCCCAGACAGCAGCAGTATACATATTACCAATTTGCTTAGGAGCATAAGCAGCAGGACCCACCTTTTGAGCATAACTAGCCTTAGTCATAGCCATCAAAGTCTTTTCCAAATCCTTACTTTCAAGAGAATCAGCATAAGACATCTTTTCGAAAAGCTTAAGGGCAGCATATTTCTCGTTGTCAGTGTCTAAAAGGAAATCATTGTATGACTAGATTTATAAAAGACAAAATAGTTAATAACATGAAACAATAAAATGATCGTCTCCCTTTGAAAATATATATAGATAATGTATATATATATAGAAAAAAAAATTAAACTTACAGCACGAGCAAAAGATTTGTTCACCAACTTGGCATAAGGAGAATGACAAACAACATAGTCAACATCATCCATGCTAGGCTTATCCTTACTTTCAAGTTTACCTAAACGAGCCATGTAACGACGATAACAAGAGTCGAAAGCACGAAGGTAACAGATATTTGAGAATTTACCATCAACAATGGGATATTCAGAATGCATATCGGGCTTATAAAAGTCATAAGCATGTTCCATGTGTGTAGAGCGAAGACCACGTTCAACAACAATAGGGGCATCCTTACCAATCAACATGGCAACACAACCAGCACCCGAAGTAGGACGAGCAGGGCCAGAGGCATAAAGGGCAAGATCACCAGCAACAACAATTGCATAACGACCATCCCAAGAGGAAGATTCAATCCAATTGATAGCATTAGAGAAAGCAGCGAAACCACCATAACAAGCATTAGTAGTATCAATGCCCTCAATTTCGGTATTGCCATGTTCGGAGAACAAAGTCATCAAACATGTTTTAACAGCCTTGGACTTATCAATAATAGTTTCAGTACCAACTTCGAGACGACCAATATCATTATAGGAAATGTTATACTTTTCCATCAAGTTCTGAACAGCTAAATATCATCATTGATAATTAGAAAAAAAAACTTGTCATGATTTATTCCCTTTTTACTTGTATATTTACCTGTCAAACAAATAGATTGAACATCTTCACGATCATCAATGAAAGCCATCTTTTCTTGACCAAGACCAATAGTATATTTACCGGCACTTACACCATCAAAGCTTTCCATTTCTGATTGAATAACGCACTTTTTTTTTTTAAAATTAAATTAAAAAAAAAGAATTATTATAATGCACTATAAGTAGTATTCTTATTACTTACTCTCTTAGGGAAATACATTTCCATAGCCAAGATACCGACATTTGCAGGATAATTACTATAGTTAGGTACAGTCATTTTAATCAGAGTGGCTCAATTGAATAATTAATAAAAGAAGAAAATTTGAACCAAATAAAAATGATAACAATAAAAAATGAAAAAAAAAAATTAAAACGCGTCAACCTTATTTATTGTTTTACAAATTTTAGTCTTTCAATAAGAGCCAATGATGGAACTTGTTTATAACTCAGTTACAGCTGTCTCAACTTCCGTTGTACCACCATTTTTACTCAGTAAATCCAAGAATACATTTTATTCTTATTATCTAATTAATGGCATTATGGCAATAAAATGAATAGAAACAATCCTGTGTGTACCTTTTCTTCTTTAAATAATACTAATGATAAATAGGCAGTTATTTCTTGCTTTAAAGGAAATATTACATTCTTCCTATTCAGAGCATGAAAATTTTATTTAGCAATATTCATTTTTCTTGTTTAAAGAAGACCAGGATTAGCTAATAGCAGTAATAATAGTAAAAAACACTACTATCCTTTTTATTCTTTTTTTCTACAGTGTTACACTGCATCATGCAAAATTCATTGTTGTAATTCGATGAGGCTGGAGTCTTTTATATGCTACTTTTTAAAAAAAAGAAAGATGTATCCATTTTCTATAATAGATGTACAACTTCGACATTTAAGGTAAAAAAAAAAAATTCCCCTAATTTTTAAATATCATTATACTTTAACTCTTTAGTTAGCATAGTCATTGATAAAAGCATTCTATTTAATATAATTACTCACTGCTGAATGATTTAATCTGAACTATTAAAGAATATTAGTGTTAATGAAATTCAAATGTCAAATAGACATTATACTAGAATCGTATATAAAACATCCGTAAAAAAAAATGATTATTTGTTGTCAGTAATAGGATTAGGGATGGATATGTAAGTAAAGTCTTGATTGGACAAATGTTGTATTAGCATAATGATGATTAACGTCATAAGAGGAAATCCAGTTAACTATCGCGATTATAATCATCCTAATGAACTTGGCTTGTAATACTAAAGGGATATAAGAAAATAGTACGCATAAAAATATGGAACATCAGTGATAAACATCTGTAGTGGATATCTAGAAATCTAAGTTTGTATTATGCGAGTATTGATAGGATGAACAAGTTGTAAAGAATATATACTGAAGAGAAAGTATGTTTAACCAAATGAGGAGATGAGGGGACAAATATATTTCTTTTTGCAGCAGTGTATTTCAAGTGAGGTAAACACCAACTGCTTAGGTTCTAAAAGAGGATCTCAAGAGAGGTGGTCCACCTATCAATTTCTTTCAATTATATCTGATAACCTTATAAATACTCTCTTTATCCTGTTTAACCTATTATTTTATCTTGTGTGACTTTTATTATTATATGATAAATAAGCATAGTATCTTCTTCCCACAACGAATCAAACAACCTAGTTTCAATAAGATATGTTTTAATCTATACTGCTGTAGGTTTAAACTGTGTGTGTGTGTGTTTTATGCTGAATATTCGTTGTGACGGTTATAATACCATAATGGTTAATGTCTCGGTTGCATAAATTTTATTTTATTTATTTTATTTTATTTTATTTTTTTTGCAAATTTAAAAATAAAAGAATCAGCATGTCAATCATAAATGATGAATCCTTAGTCTATCTTTTGGGTCTAGGATTTCATATTGATTTATGTAAACAAGCTTTAAAAGTCAATAGTACGCTTGAGGACGCTATTGAGTGGTATAACATCATTTGCATTTCGAAATGAATTAAGGTCATCTCACATAGTTTCGGAATATCTTTTTATTATTTGATAGGTTATTAGATCCAAGTCGACCTCCTACAACAAAAATTGAATTTACAAAGCCTATAGCTTCTTCTTCTTCTTCTTCTTCGTCTATGCTTAGCATACCCATATTATCAGTAAGAAACAAAGATATTATAATCATATGATGACAGAATATTTATGCCGTCACTTTAAAATAAATAAAAAATAGGAAAAAGAAAAAGAGAATGAAAATAGCAAATTACTTCAGCAAAAGGAATTCAAACGTCTTACTGATGAGTTAAATCAAGAAAAAAGAAGAGAGAAGGAAGCGAAAAAAAAGATATTAATAGATATTGAACAAGACAAAGAAAGAAGACGTAGAATAAAGCAACGCACTTGGAATGAACGACAACAACAGCAAAAACAAAACATTGACAAGAGTGCTTTATCTTTATCAGAAACACAAAATTTTGCATATATTCAAGTAATATATCTACGCTTATAACAAAAATAATATTATTATATTTACTCTCTCTCTCTCTCTTTCTTTTCTTTTTTTGTTTTTTTTTGGGGAACAATATTTAGTTCAAACTTACAGATTTTTCAATTGTTCGCGAATATTTTCCTGTAGAAGCAACAGTAAAAGATGTACTATTTTTTGTTCTAGACAAGGAAATGAAGTTATCTTTGCAACAGGACTTGTCTATAGAGAATATATCGTTAGATAGAGTAAAAAAAAAAAGAAAAAAAAGAAAAGAAAAGCTAAAATATGACATTTATTTATTTGCACATAGACTTTCCCGAGAAAGAGTTTTACTATTCAGGATGGTTTATTGAACATGCATGAAGCAGAATTTTTACCAAATGTTGCTTTAAATGTTAAACTAATTCAATTCAATGCAACAAGTACTGATGAAACAATACATCAAGAAGATACTAATGGATCTATGAATGATACGTCAGAAAGTTTAAATGATGTTATCCATGTAACTTATATTTCTTTAATACGATATAAATAGTAAATTATTTTCTAAACAAAAAAAGATATCCATAGAATGAAATGGATACAGACGATAATGAAGACATATTTGATTTGAACCATTTAAATGCCATACTTCATCCTCATCAAACTTTTCTTTGGAATGAAACAGTAGAAACAGGGCATCGTTTAACTGATCCTTCACCATCTTCTCATCTTAATGATGAAAATAACTCTACTGCAAATAGTTCAATAGAAGAAGAAGAAGAAGAAATGGCTGTTATCAATAGACGATCTAATTTTTTGAATGCTTTTGAAAATCGTCGTTTATCTTTGGTTCATGAAGATAATAGTAACCCACAACATAAGAGTAAAAGTATAAAACAATGTATACAAACATTGAAAGAGATCTGTTCAATTTCAGTAATAGGTAATGGGGACTTGCAAAAAAAAAAAAAAAAAAAAAAAATCATTAAAATAATTGTATTGTATAATAGGACTCTTATTGCAATATTCACCAAGTGCAAATAATTACTTAAAAACCTTATGAATGTATCATCTGAAGTAGCAGAATCTTTATTAGATTATTTAGTAAAAAATGGAAAATTAAATGTGTCAACTCTGAGTAGACTAGCAAAAAAATGGTAAAAAATATATACACATATAATATAGATTCATTTCATACTTTTTTATATAGTTATTTGCAAAATGTAGTATTAGATTCATATCAATATTGCACTAATTCATTAGTGGATGAATTAGCAAAATCAAATTCATCTCTATCTGTTACTAGACTAAGTCTCCGTGGATGTGATATTGTTACAGATCATGGTATTCACTCTTTAACAGGTAGTTTTTTTTTTCCCATCATAGTAAGTATTTTATTCTCTATACTAAGTCCCTTTTCTTTTAGGACTAAAACACTTGAATTATTTGGATCTAAGTAACTGTAAAGTGACAGACAAAGGCTTAAAATCACTTGAAAGTAAGAGAGTTTTATTTTATTTTATGTGTTGTATTAACAAAACACTAATTTATATTAGACTTGTATAATCTTAGTTATCTTAATTTATCAAAAACTAAGATTACAGATCATGGACTTTTATCCATGACAGTCAATGCAAAATTTAAAGATCGACTCGAAATATTAATTCTTGATGGCTGTTTACACTTGAATAAACATATGAAAGAAAATAATATTCTAGTCTCTATTATAAATGGTACATATATGAATATATAAATGTATAGTCTTTATTTATTCATAGTCACGTATCTATTTCATATTTAGGATTTACACATCTTTTACAACTATCTTTAGCGTATACTTATATTCAACACCAACAACAAGAGTTACGTTTAAGAAAGGATCCCGAAATTAAGTTAAAGCATTTAGATCTTAGTCATACCTGCTTACTTGATAGAGATATAATACATATAGTTTGCCAACTTCATATGCTTATTGAACTCAAATTAGGTGGTTGTGAATTTTTGACTACAAGAAGTTTGTCTTTTCTTCCAAGAGGTATACACTCTATATTATCTAATATTCATATGCAAAATTATCTTACTATTTTTTCTTTTGTTGCTGTATAGAGTTAACTCAACTAAGATATATTCAATTTCCAAACCGTGAACATAAGCTTGATAATGTTTTATCAAAATTCAAAGGTTTAATATTCATCATTTATTATTTAGTTGTGTATTGTAAGCTAAGCTAATGTAAAACATAACAATACTAGATTTACCCTTAGACTACCTTGATTTAACAGGGTTTTTCAACGTGACTGATGAAGGTCTTCAATCTATTGCATGTATGAAAAAGTTACGTTATTTGAGTTTAGATGGAACTAAAGTATCAGATGAAGGAATTGTACTATTAAAAGGTATTTAACTTGAATAATATGTATTTTGAAATTAAATTAAATAAAATCATTTAGATTTGAGTGAACTAGAGACACTTTATCTTGATCGAACTTTAGTGACTGATGATGGCATTTCAAAACTACTAGGTAATGAGATGCAAATAAAAAAAATAAAGCTATAATAGTCATTTTGTGTCATTTGCTTTCTTTTTAACAAATATACAAAATTGGCTGTACAAACCTTTCCTCCCCTCACACCCACATAATAATATAAATAGTTATATATGTTATTTTCCTGCTGAAGAAGACATACATTTGTTTGCATTATTTATTTACTCTAATAATAATAATAAAAAAAAGGCATTATCGTTTATAAAGAAAGTATAATTCAATAGTACACTACTTTTTTTTTCTATTATAAAGATGGAAATAATAATAATAATGATCTAATGTAAGAGTGTCTTAACGGATATCATTCTTTTCATTAGAGACAATAATGTAACTAGTCAAAATATCTACTTGAAAATTAAATTCGTCTGCTTTAACAAACAAAGATGTACGGTTGCGCAATACAACAATAAATACTTCCAATTTGTTCTCGAAAAAAAGCGAATAATAAAAATCCCATTTTTGGGTCGAAGCTCGAGCACTATCATCATTTTTTCAGAAAAAACAAAAAATTACTTGCTCAATTGACTGTTGTTGTACTTAATTTTCTTCTAATGTTCTATACTTTATCACTCTGTCATACGTCAAGCACAAATGAGTTATCAAGATTATTAGGTGACTTTAAACAAATCAAATGTACCCGTAGTAGTTCAAGAATATTCAAACCTTGCACAATGTGCTTTACTTACTGATAAAGGTATTCGTGATTTATTATACAAGACTATGTTCGCACACACACACACACATGTATGTATGCATGTATGTATGTATGCCAAAACTATTTATAGGTATGATTGATTTCACTTTTTTTTTTTTTTTTTTTTTTTTTTTTTTTTTTTTTTTCACTGTTAAAGCCAAATACTGTAACTATACTTAAAACCGAATTTATTATATTCTAGTAACTGAGATATTAATAACTAAAGAGATTAAGCATATTTTATTCATAGCGCAAACAAAGTTTCTATGCTATTATTATTATTACTGATTTTGCTTTATTAGTATCTTTGTCTTTTTATTTATTCATTGCATATGATTGTCATTCACCATCTCCCTTACTACTACTACTTGTTGTTGTTGTTGATGATGTCTTATTTTGTTGGGTAACTCAATATGTGGTGGTGGTATAGGAGGGGGAGTATGATGTAGTACAGATGTCTGTGTTGAATCTGAAAGATAATAGCGTGATGGTCCCTCTATTATGTCATCTTTTTGTATAGATGATAATAGACTGGTATAGGGTTGCTGTCTATCATGGATTATCTTGGACTGATTATTTTCTTCGTTACTGTTGATTCCTTTTAACGATGGCATTGCTATAAAAGATAATTTATTATTTTCTATTCCTTCATTTTGTACAATCATCAAGTGATTTTCATTAGGAAGGTATTCCTGGGCAGGATGCAATTGATATTGATGACTCGGGTTCTTACTCTTGTTATTTCTTTTATATCGTCGCCATCTTAACATACGGACAGCAGGTACCGGGTTTTGTCCTTTAAATTGATTATCTAATGTCCCAAGGAGGATATTAAATAGATTTTTAAGCGTAAAAGAGAAAAGAAGAATAAAACAAAGCATATGAAAACAGATTTGAACATAAGCAACTACTTGTTTATCATGTTCAGATAATTGTAAACTAGGCAGGTAAACGATATTTAACAAGACATGAGATAGTCTAAAGAAACCGATTGTTATATAAAAGATATTAATTTGATTTGTTGCATATGGACATTTAAATAATTGAAGACCGAAATAGATAGTTTCAATGACGATAATGACAATAAGTTGAGCTGTACCATTTCGTTGAAATAAACCTACTATGAGTGAAAGAACCAATTTATGTAAAATAGTATATAAAAAGAATTTCCTTTGTCTCTCAGTAAACATAAAGTAAAGTGAATTTGTCCTTTCAAAAGTAGAAGGTTGAATCAAGATGGTATCACCACCATTCAATCTAAGCATAATAAATCCAATCCAAGCATATAATAGAGAAGATAAAAAGACGATCACGATTGCAGCAGACAATAATATATACCATGGAGCTGATAACATAAGTTGATATAAACCTGTCAATGTTAATGGAAGATAAAAGAGGGTCATACATTGTAACATGGTACCTATAGTAACAAATTAGTTTTATGTATGTATGTATGTATGTATATCATTGATTCTTAATCTTACTAAGAACATGATTCAAGAATAAAGCGAAAGGCATTACTTTTCTTCTTCTTTTTATTCCAACATATTGACTTGAAAATAAAGACTTGAACATACTTTTCAATAGTAAAAGTGTAACGACAAGTAGTAAAAAATAAACCAAGACTGTAACAAACAGGTAATTCATATCGAGATCTATTCTATTTGTCATATTTAAAATTCCAGTATCAAAATAAACAGTCGAGTCATCATCTTCTGGATATTGACTTGCTTCAGATAATGTATTATTATCCTTTATAATCCATCGAATTGGAAATAATAGAAAACTCCAAGCAAAATTAGAAGAAAATAAAGGATAAAACTTTGGATAAGACAAGTTCAGAAGACCCATAGTAAATATAAATTGTGCATAGTAAATTACTTCAGAGATATCAGGTAATCGAAGTTGTATTGCAGTAGGTAAATAATTAAGTACAAATATCCTATTATTATCTTCAACCATGATTGGAGTCGTTGCATAGATAGAAAAGAAAGTAATTAGTAATATGAATAAGCCAATAGAGATAGGAAGATAAGTAAAGAGATGAGCCCAAAATGGATCTTGATAACCTATAGGAGCCAATTGAAGACATATCATTTGTTGACTAATTTGATTATTATCTGTTACTATCCAAGTTGAATATTGAGTATTGATATCTGCTAATGGTAAATGAAATTCTTGTAATTGTAGAGTCTAATTAATTTAACTTGATATGAATATGACAAACATTGAAGATATAACAGAGCATATAAATGATAATACCTTTTGAAATAAAGTCCAATTATTAGAAATCATAGTCGTTATTGTAGGACATTTATTATCATTTTTACAAAATTGATTTATCCAATTAAATTTATGTTTATTAGAAATGCCTACTTCAATTTGTGTCTTTTCTGCAAAATAGTCTAGTAAACGCTGAATTAGTCAATTACACGCAAGCCTTTCTTACATAACATGCATACATACATGATTGATTCTTATTTATATTTGTTATGCCAAAGATGTCAAAAGAAAGCTGGAAATTGAAAGTATTGAAACTTGCATTTGCCCAATCAATCTGAAATAAATAATTACCAGCATCATTCGTACATAAAGTGTAATTTTTTATTGCTAGTGTCCTTGTTAATTTTAATAGTAAAATAAACCATAAAAATTTTATATCCATTTCTTTTATTACACAAAAAGGAAGAAGAAGATTCTATTAAAAGCAATTCATATTTTGTATTCAACAACTTTAAAAACTAAAATAAATGTTGTATATATAATAGTCCTTTTATTATTGTTTCTTTATATTTACAGTAAAACAATCTATTTTACTTGTAATGCACTATACATTTTAAAGATCAATAACACTAAATCAATAATGTGACGTTCAATTATATAGATGACTTATTACTGCCATTGTTAATTCTTTAGCCGTCCAAATTGTATATCATCGTATTTTGGACTATAAATATAATCAGGCCATTTTTTTTTCACACGTTCAAAAGTTGGTAATCGGACTTTTATTTTATCTTTTCTACCATTATGAGTGGTTAAGTGGGGGAGGGATGTAAGTGGAGAAAGTTTTAATTTTCTATTTTTTCTTTTTCTCTTCTTCTTCTTTTATTCTACGCACAAATCTTCATTTAATACTAAAAAATAAAATAAAAAAAAAAATGGAAGCGTTCGCACCACTTCCAATTGATCTATTTGCCGATTCAAGTGCGATGTTAGAAGAAGATTCTTCAAATTACTTTTCACTTTCTCAATTCGACATGGAATTACAACAACAAGCTCAAGCTGCTCTTCTTCAACAAGATACTTGGCAAGATTTCGATAAATATTTACCAATGGATAGTCAATTATATAATTCAATCACTAACAATAGAATGGAACAAGCTCAACCTATATTTATGAATAATAACAATGATATGGCATTATTGTATGACCCTGTTGCTGACCTATTATCACCGCAACAACAACAATTTAAATCTATTTATAATCATTCAACAACTAATGTAAACAATAACATTAAACAAGAATATGCTAGTCCAGAATCTTTACCTTATTCATCTCCACAAAATAATAACATTCAAACAAATCTTTCCTTATCTCCTCAACCTTCTCAACTACAACATGATATGCCTTTATTTCAACAAACTTCTCCCATTTCAGATATACAATCTTCTCCTAAAGATTCAAACCTGCCTATACCTTCGCTTGACTTTATGAATTGGAATAATACTAATATTGCTAATAATAATAATAATAATACAACAGCTACTACTAGTTTATTGACAAATAGAACTCCAAGTGACACGACTAAAACTACTCAAGGTTGGTTTTTTTTTTTTAATATGTGTGTCCATATACATGTAAATCTTTTTTAAAAATTTTTTAATTTTTAACCAATGAAATCTTTTAATTTATTTTATTTTAGGTAAAGTTCCTATTCAACGTTTAAAATCTAATAATATGATGAATAATACTGCAAATAATGTTGCAAATAATGCATCATCAAACGGAGTTCGTCAACATAAAAAGACTGCTCATAATGCTATCGAGCGGCGTTATCGTAATAATATTAATGACCGTATTGCTGAACTAAAAAATGCTGTACCTGCGCTCTTACATGCTAAAGTGAAAGATAATAATTCTCGTACTAATAAGCGTCCACATAAAGGGGGTGATGAGGAAGATGATGATGGTGATGATAGCGAAGAATATTTGGACGGGGTTGCTGTAGCTACAAAATTAAATAAAGCAACTATTTTAAGAAAAGCAACAGAATACATTCATCATTTAAAAAAGACAGGTGAAGATATGCGTCGTGAGAATCAAACTCTTCAACATATCTTAAGTCAGCTTCCTGGTGGCCCTGATATTTTACAGCAATATTATTTACAGAAGCAACAAAGAGAACAAGAGTTACAAAAACAACGTGTGTTGGAACGTCAATTCCAGAAACAGCAAGAGCAACAAAGAAAGGCTTCTAATAGAAAACGTGCAAGATATGCTGATCATCAACAGGAGACCTTAGATGATTATGAATCTTCTTCTAGTTCCCCGGTTTCATTGGATCCAGTGACTCCACCTGCAATGACAAATCGAATCTTTATGGCTCTTTTCATGTGTATTACCTTTTTTTCAACTTCCCCTTTAACCTCTGGTCCAAGTTCTGATGATCAATATCAAAATCATCATCATAATTCAAGAACTGTTGTTGATACAGTGTCTAAAAATTTGAATGATGCCAACACTTCTCCTGAATCTTTTCTTGGCTCTTTATTTAATTTTGATAGTGGATGGTAAAAATTACAAAAAAAAAAAAAATTCATATTAACATCTAGTTATTTATTAGGTCTGCTTTGCGAACAGTTGTATTTATCATTTGCATTATTCAATTATTATTCCCTTATGCCAAGTTTATGTTGTTTGGCTCTTCTTTTAAATTAAAACGCGTGACTCGAACAAAACGAACAATGACTCCCCGTAAAGAATTATTGAATAATAATGTTACACCGGGTGAACTTAAATCTCGACAAGTCTATACTATACTTGAAAAATCAATGAAGCGTCAAGAATACTTACCTGAAAGTACCTTAACAGCTATATTTCCTTTATGCAAAGAAGCAATCCGTATTTTCTCTCATCATATCCTTGGTTATGATATTATGTATGGTGAAAATGAAAGTAGAAATCCTGATGAAGAATGGGATCAGGTATGTAAATGGATTAAACTAAATGAAACAAAATGTCTTGGCGGTGCACTTGTCAATACTCGCTTGACAATGCTCTATTCTTGCTTTCGTATGATTAACTTGGTTGATCTACTTGATGAAGATTCTCATGAACATGTCAATCAAACTCGTGCTCGTGCTTACGCTACTGCTGCCATCATCTTCTCTCTTGTCCTCCCTAAACAACATATTACTGAAAGAATATCAAATTACTTTTGGTCTCTTGCTGTCAATCATAGTAAAGGTCAGAACGATGATGAAGTAAATCTTGATTCGTATACTGAGGAGAGTTATATTTGGATGCAATCCCTTGCTTGGATAGACCCTGATCAAGATTATAATTCTATTGAAGATATACCCAACACTTATGCCTGGGAAGAAATGATGAAAATTATTCGTAATCAAACATCCTCCCCTACAAATACAACAGATAATTTACCTTTATCTATATCCTACACTGCTCCTGTTATCGTACCTATCGCTATTCTCTCTACTTTACATCTCCTTGATAACCTTTGTATTCAATTTGAACGTCTCATCAATACAATGGCTTTACACTATGAAAATAAGAATAATTCCCTTGACAAAAGTCTTGAAACATCTTTTTCTGATATTATGTTACTAACTGAACCTGCAAATATAAAGTCTACTGAACATGAAGAGTTAAATGCAATCAGTGATCAACAGCGATTAGCTCACTGGTTGGCTTCTGTTGGTGCTGTTGTTGAAGCTATTTGGAAGAATGATATAGAAAAGGCAGAGAGATGGTTACCTACTCTACTTCAACGTGTACCTCGATCTATGACTTGCAAAGCTTCTACCATTTCACAAAAATCTCTTTTAAATCAATTAGATGAACTTATCAAAAAGGCAATGATTCATATCCTTGTGGGTGCTGTCTTTCTAAAAAGTAATGATATCGAAAAGCAAAAGCAAGGACTTGTTGAATTAGAAAATGCAGAGGTACTTCGTTCTGCTATTCGTAAACTACAAAATAAAGTTCGAACAAATATCAGTGAAGGAGACGAAAAGACGGATTTAGAATCAACAGTTATGATATTAGCTGAATTTGTTGTTTCTTATATTGGTTTAGAGTCGTGGATTGACAGTATGAAAGTATTGGAAAGTGTTGAAAAGGAAATCTTGGTTGAAGAATCTGTGAGTGAGATTACATTAAATTTACGTCGCATGATTCGTTTACCTTCTTTACAGTCTATAAATGGGAGTCGATTTATTGTGGATCGTTTAAGTCGACTTGGACGCTTTGTTGCATATCATCCAGGAGATGATGATTCTGCCTGTGATCTATCAGATACTGATGATGTCATGTCAACAACTGAAGAGAACCTTGACAGTCATCAACTCTTGATCAAAAAATCTGATAAAGCGCAATCTATTCTTCGCGGATATACGTAATTAATGTTATTATTATTATTATTCATCTCTCTTTGCTCTTTTGCTCATACCTCTTTCTTTCTTTTTTTTTTCTTTTCCACTTCATTTCAATTTATTTATTTTTATTTAAAATTCATATAAATATTTGTGTATATGTATATGTATATACAAAAGGCTTAACAAGAGCTTTTTAGAAAATTAAATCTGCATATTTTATAAACATATCTTTTAAGATGATGATATTGTGTGTATATGTGTATATATTTATATGTATATGTATATATACATATATAAGTTATTTATGTGTATATTTAATAGAAAGTCTAAATAGGAGAATAATATAAAGAATTACATTTTTTTTTCTTTTTATGTATCATAAATGGCATTATGATTCGTTAATATGAGATCAAAATTAGTATCACGAATGACATTACCGAATTGAAGAAGACGAAGTAATTTTTGACCAATAAACTGATAAGTCGAATAGGTTTCAGGAGAAGAGGAAAGACACTGAATATGTACACTAAAGAGTCCAGATAAATTTTCAAAGCGACAAATCTCAACCGAGAACCGAATTTCATCACCACGATCAAAACTAGGGTGTCCATAAATAGATTGTTGTTGCTGTTCAATCGTATAAGAGGAAGATAGCATTCCTCCTTTATCATCAGATGATGATGGATGGACAGCAGAAGCAGCAGCAGCAGTAGCAGTAGTAGTAGTAGTAGTAGCAGCTTGTCGTGTACATTCTAATTTATAACCTTCCACTGTTTTCACTTCAATTCCTAATACAAGTAAGACTTTATTGATCTCCAACAATACATCTAAAGGTGATCTTGAGGTGAAAGTTGCAGATCGATTCATAGAGCCTTTATAGGTACGCATCTCAGCCTCGATAGTAGGTTTTTGTTGTTGTTGTTGTTGTTGTTGTTGCTGTTGCTGTTGCTGTTGCTGTTGCTGTTGCTGTTGCTGTTGCTGTTGCTGTTGCTGTTGCTGTTGCTGTTGCTGATTGTTTGTGGATGTCATAGGTGGTGACTGTCGAGTTAATGTATCTTTCTCTATATGAGAAGATGACTTTTTCGATAAATCTTGACTACCTTGTTGTTGTTGACCTCCCAAATTAATTACAGTCCTCGTAAAAGTTGAAGGCATATCTACATACATATTTTTTTTTAAAAAAAATATATATATATACATGTATACATGTATATGAATTTACATAATGAAAACAAGGACTTACGTTTCGAGTGCGTTGATTTCATTTTAAACCATGATTTTAAGATCTCTCCTTTTGCATGGTCAACGCTAGGTGATTCAGGTGGATTTGGTGGAAGATCCTTTGTAACAATACTACGATGAAACATATGCTGCCATGAATGTCTTTTAACGACAGGTTCTTGATTTGGCATTAAAGAAGATGTATTTGCATTATTTCTATTACCACCAGTACTTGTTGATCGTCGTTTAAGATTTGAGATTAATTTGTTCTTTAATGAAAACTGTCGTTGTAATAGGGATGACTTTTGATTTTCTTTCCTTTGTTGCATTATTGTCTGTCTTTTTGATTTATCTTGCGTTGTGGATATCAAATTAGGTAGTACACTACTTTTATGATTATCTTCTATTTTCACTTTGGCTTTTACGGTGCTATTATTATTCACAATGGGCATCATAGTAGGTATTATTGCTGTTATGTCATTTTTATTACAATTGCTACTTGTGCTGCTACCTAATAATCTATCTTTTTTTCTATTTTTTTTTTTTTTAAGGTAAGTCTCTTTCTCTCTTTTTCCCGCTCGCTCTCTCATTTTTTCATCATTATTAAACATTGCTTCTTAAAAGATATACTACCTGTTAAAGAAGTTTCTATTTTTATAGGTAATGAAATAAGCGTTTCTGGTATAGTTGGTTTCGTATTATGATGAATAGCTTTGCTGACCACCAATGCTTTATCACTCTGATGAGGATTTTCTACAATCGAATTCATTGAATACATGTCTTTTGGATAGCTACAAGAAGAAATAAATGAACACGTGTCAGGCTCATAAGGGAAGCTTTCATCTTGAATACTAGAATGATCAGGTGTCAAGTCATAGCTAAGTTGAATAGATTTCAATAACAATTCCTTCTCATAGATAGTTTCCTTTTCAAGATCTTCTATAGGTCTAAAAATCTGTTCCCTATATCTATGAAGCCAAGGATGATTCATGATAGTTTCAATATCACATCTTTCTTTAGGATCAGAATTAAGCATTTTTTCAATGAGATCCTTTGCTACTGTAGATACATATTTTGGATATTTTGGTTTATTTGCAACGATATATCGATAAAGACGTCCAATATTCTCGCTATTTGGGTTTTGATTATCATCATCAAAGGGTAGGTAGCCACATAACATTGCATAAAGAATAATACCACATGACCATATATCAACGCCTTTACCGGAATATGATTTTCCTGTCATTACAAGTTCTGGCGCGGCATAGACGGGTGACCCACATGAAGTAGACATCAGATCACCAGTCTTTTTTGTAAACTGATTAGCAAATCCAAAGTCAGTGACAATAATATTACCATGACGATCTAGAAGGATATTTTCCTAAATAAATGTGTATAGAAAAAAAAAAAAAAACTCCTTAAAATTAAATATCATACACATAAAAAAAAAAAAAAAAAAGGAGAGAGAAAAAAAAATAGAAAAGAAAGAAAAGAAGAAAAAAAAATAGAATTATTTACAAGTTTTAAATCACGATGTACAATATTTTGTTGATGCATGTAATATACGCTACTTATCAATTGAGAAAAAAGCTTACATGCTTCTTCCTCTTTTAAATAACGTTGTCTATAGATGTATTCAAATAATTCTCCTCCTATTATATATTTTTGGTTTATTCGGGAAAAAAAAAAGAGCTCTTCGGTAAATTATTTTAAACTAACCTTCAGCATGTTCTAATACTATTCCAAGATGAGAGTTTGTTTCATTAACAGTTAATAATTTAACAATATAAGGATGATTCAACCTCTAAGCATAAAATTAGTTCAAATTAGTATTAACAATAATAATAAAAAGCATGCTTATTATTATTATTATTACCTTTAAAATCACAATTTCCATTCGGATTTTATCAAGTTTTGCTGAACAATCGATGTTCTCCTTTTTAATCAGTTTGACAGCCACCTAATATTTTAACTCTAAATGAATAATAATAATAATAATAAATCAGATAGACATATTTACTATTTGTCCAGTCTCAAAATGCTTCCCTAGCTTGACTTTTCCAAATTCACCTACACCAAGCGTTTTTAATAAAAGATAGGGTCCTAATCTTGGTACTAGTCTTGAGGCATAAGATGCTCTTATAGGAACATCTTTATTGTGAACGTTTTTTTCTACCGTCTTTTCTGATACATTTGACATATTCTTATTGTTGCTTTTTCCTTCCGTTGAAGTAGAGGAAAAGTTTAACATCTGATAATCACTATTTATAGTTGTTGACTGTATAATTGGAGCTATCATGTAAAGAAAAAAATAAAAAAAAAATAAAAAAAAATAAGAAAAAGAAAAAGATAAAAAGAAATTATAATGAAAACATTTTATAAATGGCAAAATTAAAAATAGTCTTTGAATCAAGGATAAAAAATAAATAAGTAAGCTTTTCATTTATCTGCAGTCTCCTAATTTTTCTTCTTTGTTGTTGTTTTGAACTCGGAAAACTTTATTAAAGGGAATGTAAAAAGGCGGGAGAGTATTACAAGTAAAAACAACCGCCCTAATTTAGCAATCTATCGTTTTGACTAACTCCAATGCATACTCTACTTTTTGCTATTGTTGTTTTTTTCAATATATGTAATATCTATTCTCAAAGCTTAATAAAGGTTAAGTTTTAGTAGTTAATAATATGCTAGATTAGTTGAGGTTTTTTTTTTTCAACTCATAAAATAATGATCTCTCTATAAATATATTTACACAGTTAAAAGATGTATATATTTTACTTTTTATTCAATAATTAATGTATTTCTATTATGCAGTATCACGAAAACTAACTTAAAATTTGACATAAAACTTTAAAATATTAATATTTAAAGATTTGTAGGTGCTACAAACATTTTTTCCCCTCCTTTTTCTCTTTCTCTTTTATTAGCCTTTTTTTTTCTCTCTTACTCTTCTTTTAGCTATGAAGAATGATATGTCCGCAATTTCTCGGATAAGAGAAAAAGGAAAATTGAATGATAAAAAATACCTTATGAAGCCACTACCTTCCAACAATACATTAGTCATTGATAGTCAATCGCGCATTCACATTCTGAAATTGCTTGATAATTGGTTAAGTGAGTTTTCTCTCCTACTTGAACCTTGGTCAAAAGTGTTATATTCTATTGGAATTGTTTTATTTGAAAAATTTATCCATGCTTCCTCTTCATCTACTAATTTTCTATCATTGCTTGATGAAAATAATAATAACAACAACGAAATCTGGTTACAGATACTTTCGATAAATGATCCAATAGAATCAAGGTTCCTGACCAAAGTTTTTCACGGAGTACGATTGAACAATGGTAGTAACCAATATAATAATAATAGTAATAATAATAATAATATACCTTTTCTATCTTTCTTCTTTTAGGTCATCATTCATTCAGGTTTCCAATTGGAGGAACTATTCGTTTATATGGCTTGAATGATACTAAAATCAAAATACAAAATGTAATAGAAATAGTGGACGCTTTAGTTTACTTGATTCATAGTCTTTATTTGGAAACTTATGTTATGCGAGATAGTCATGTGAAATTGATTATATCATCGTATAACGTAAACTGGAACTCTTTAGAAAGTATTAACATTTCTGACGAAACTACAAAGAAATATTCTTCTTTAAAAGAAAAAGAACATCATGATTCAACTTCTTCGTCTACCGTTATGAATTGTTGGAAACCATTTCATATGCATCTCTTGTCCAGTTCAAAATCTTTATTCAAGAAAGTAGGTAAAACTACCAAGCACGAACTTTCTTTATTAAATGTTAGAAACAATAAAAGCCTTCAGCTATCATACAGTCATCATTCATCCTTTGCAAACTTTGATACTATTAAGCAGGAAAATTCACATGATTATTTTTCTAAACTAAAACTACACATTGAAAATGCCTCTTTTATATCATCTTCACCTAATTGTCATTTCCCATGTCCAATTTTACTGAATAGGCTTGAAACAGAAGAAAAGATGTTGATTAAAGAACAAAAAAGACTCTTAACTCTGTATAAGGATCAATATAATATATCCTCTGATAAGTAAGTATCCTTGTTTAAAAGTCCTGAAGAACCTTCTTTTACATCTATTCTTTCTCAAAAATAGGAATAAAGCATTTCCTTTAATAACAGAGATGGTGCAATTACCTCAGTCAATTACAGCCTATACTTCGATTCGCTCATCATCTCATTTATTAGCTGACAGCAAAAAGGGATTAGAACATTTGATGTTGGACACTACTTCTTTAAATAGCTTTAGGAATCATCAAAGCATCACCTTTGCATTTACTTGCTTCCCTACAGACTATCACGATAAGCCTTGTTTAGGTCCTTTGCTGAGTACAATTCATTATTTTAAATACCACCCATCATTATCATCATCATCGACGACAACGACGAAAGACAACATCATTCATACATTATTCAACCTATTCCCAATAAGAAATTTTGATCAGCCATTAGGTAATCTAATTTATTATTGGTGTAACCAGTGTCGCTATCATACTAAGGCACAATCACAATGGGATCCTGGAGTCGTAGTAGAGACATCTTCTTCCTCGACTATAAAGATGAATAAATTAAATAATAATAATAATAACCCAGTTCAAGTTGAGAATCATGAGACTACTAAAAAAACTATCTCCTCTTTATCACTCTTCCCCCCTTTTCCTTCTTCTTCTTCTATAATACCGTCTACAGCCGACGATCTGCGATCCATCAAGTTTTATGACTGTTGCAAGCAGTCATTCATAAAGCATACATTGAGTTTTGCACATGGAATCGGAAGGATTCAAATCTGCTTTAGCACACGTGAGCCTCTTGAATCTACTGAAAAGACGCATGAAATGATGATAATGACATGGATTTTATGCAATCAATGTGACGATGCAAAGACGGTACCCACCATTTTAAGCAAAGAAACAGGATCTTTCTCCTTTGCTAAATATTTGGAGCTTATCTTTTATAGTGCAACACTGGCATCACCTGAACCATTCTGCAAGCATACAAAAAGGGCAGAGAATGACAGAAAGAGTGGGGGACAAGGTCAACATATAGTAAGGTGTTTCCAATATAAGGACATCTGTGTCCAATTCACATATCATGATAATGATATGACCTATTATGAAATACGAATGCCAAAAATTCGGTTATCTTTAGGAATTGTAGAACAAAAGAACGAATTCTCTTTTTCTTCACCAAGAATGAGTATAACAACCTTAATGGAGTGGAGGGATAAGAGTGCAGAACGGGATGTCGATTTATTTTTTGAGACCATTCGAACCCATTTAAATGCATTACAGCACTATACAATGACCGAATGCAAGCGAAAATACCTAGAGCAACAGCGACAAGATCTTTCCCAACAACAACAAATGGAAGCAAAGCTACTTGAAATTGAAATCATGGCATTAAGTAAACGTCTCGATATGAATTACAAAGCCATGAAACGTGCTTTACAGGACACAAATCTAAATGAACTAAATGACTTTAGACGTTATTTTGCCATTCAATCTGAATCTATTATTGAATATCTAGCAGATTGGCAAGAAGAAAAAAAATGTTTTCAAGTAACTACTGATACTATTTACAATTGGGATCATCGACCCGAGTATACTCAATCAAAGGGGATTCATTGTTTTCCTGGATCTTCTGTCCTTGTTCGTGAAGATGAGCCTACCTCTATCATCGCTTATACATTGAGTTCAAATGATTACTTTCGAGACATGCTACAATATGAAGAAAATGAGAGTCATCCTGATGCACCCTTTAAAGAACCTGTTATTACTGTCATAACGGAGGACAATGATTCACATCTATTAGCAGCTTTAACAAACAAAAAAAGGGAATCGATTGCTACCACTACAACTAGTAGTAGTGCAATACCAACATATATTCTTGACAAATATTACTCATCTATTGAACGTAAATACATATTATCATCCATCATAGAACTAACTTCTTCTGATGCAAAGTATTATTAGCATCCTTTCGTACAACAATAACAGAAATAGTTAAATCAAGCGTTGCAGAAGTAAGTATGCATCATTCTAAAAAAAAAAAAAAAGGAATTTATTGTTAAAGATGACTTGAAGTCTACTAGGATTTGGACAAAGAGGCAAGAAGAAGATGATAGTAAGCCCGAAAAGAAAGATTTATTGCTAAAAAGAAAGCATATTACAGAACGCACTCTAAAAACTTTAGTCTCTATTCAACAACAAGAAGAAAAAAGAGAGGCAAATATAACATCTCATTTTTACAATAAAATTCCTTCCAACTCTATTAAAAGAATAATGAGCCCTCATTTAAAGCATAGTAAGTAGTAATTTTAGTTAACACTAAAAAAAAAAAAAAAAGGAGAAAGGGAGTTAGGTAGGTAGATTATATAAATTCATAAATAAAACATGATAGCGTTTATTCATGATGGAGTGGAATTTACTTGCATTGTATACTATGCAAAAGAATTTGAAATACTTCGTAGGCAATGTGATATAAATCAATTAATGATTGAATCTATTAGTCGATGTCAATCTTGGTCAACTACGGGTGGTAAAAGTAAAAGTCGCTTTTATAAATCTCAAGGTGGAAATAATAATGATAGTGTCATTAAATAAAAAAAAAAATTAATTTTTATTATTATTATTATTATTTAGATGATCGATTTGTTATAAAAGAAATGATGAATGCCTGGAATATAGCAGAAAAAGATGCTTTTTTAAAATTTGCACCAAATTACTTTGAACATATAAAAAAATCAGCCAATGTATACAGATATATACATATTTATATAAAGATAATATAGTGGAGGAGAAACCTAATATAAATCTACTACTTAGGAACCTTCAATACTGGCCAAAATATTTGGATTTTTTACAATTCAAACGAAGAATCTACTAGATAAAAAGACTATATTTAATTTAGATGTACTTGTAATGGAATATTTATTTTTTAAACAAAATATTATTAAGGTAAAATTCATTTTGACATTTGAATAATAATAAGAATAAAAAAAAACATAATAGTTTATGTTGTATGTAGAAATTTGATTTTAAAGGGATACATGATCGACATTTGGATAAAGTCCACAAACAAAAAAATGATACTACCTTGTGGGACAGAGATTGGCTAAATGGTAACACTTGATAAAAAAGATAATAAAGGGTAGAGTTTAAATTTTATATTGTACATAGAATTCCGAATGTATTTTCCTGTATATGAAACATCAAAAGCCATTATGGAATTAGCTATTCGAAATGATACAGAGTTTTTAGCGAAATGTAATATAATGGATTATTCTTTATTAGTAGGTATTGACCAAGATAAACATGAAATAGTTGTTGGTATAATAGGTAAAAAATATCGCATGATTTTTAAGTGTACACATTTAACTTATTAAAAAAAAAAGATTTTATAGGAGCCTATACGTGGTATAAAAAAATTGAATCTAAAAGTAAATCAACGTTACAGCCTAGAAAAGAAGTTACTATTGTACCTCCAGATCAATATAGACTAAGATTTTGTAGGGAAATATGCAATTATTTTATTTCAATTCCAGGTAGGAAAATAAGCTCACTTTTATATGCATATCACATAAAAAAATGTAACACTTTGATTACATAGGCAAATTCGACTTTGTAACACCTTCAGGCACTTCACTAAGTTAATTAATATAACCATTAATAATCAAAATTACACGGTAAACAGACAGAAAAAAAAAGGGGGGAGGAGGAGGAAGTATTTAGTACATATGCAAGTACATTTATAAGCTTGATATAATAAAGACCTCAGTAACTTTCTTTTAACTTAAAAAAATAATAGCCTATAAAATGTCAAAAAATAAATAAGTATCCCTTTATTCCATTATTTAGCGGGAGGAAGATAAATTATTGCTTAAATACCACGTTGTTCTTTCTGCTTAATGTTTCACCGCTAATGCTACTTTATTATTATGTTTCACTTCTACTCTTTTTTTTTTGTCTGTCTTCAGAATTAAAACAATTCAAAATCTTTTGATTAAAATACTATAACTTAGTTCACTTATTATAAAGATAACGATTAGTTGATTGGATATAACCGAACAAATCAAATTATATTTAAACTTTAAAAAAGCGATTTTCTGTGCTCCTTGTAAATTTTACTGCTATTTGTTTTCTTTAGCTTTTATTTTGCTTTTTATTTTTTTCCCCGCTTCCCTCCCTTTTATTTTATTTTATTTTATTTTTTTTTTTTTTTTATATAAATATATTTATATAAATTTTACAAAGAAGTTATAAGCGCATTTTTATATGTATATATATATATAAATTTCGCCTAAATAAATATATATATATACATATATACATATTATAGAATTAAAAAGAGAGAGAGAGAGAAAAAAAAACCCCCTTTTAATTTATATGCTGATATGGCTGCAGAAGCCAATACACTTCCAATTATATGTAGAGTAAGAGCATTATATGCTTTCTCGTCAACAGAAAAATCATCTTTATCATTTGAAAAAGATGAATACATCGATGTACTTACCAAATTGGATTCTGGTTGGTGGGATGGTTTATGTGGAGGCAATCGGGGTTGGTTTCCTAGCAACTATGTTAAAATTGTCGAAACGAGTCAAGACCTTATTGTAGAGAAAGATAAAAAGCATCATAATCCCGCCACAACAATAGAAGATGACAGCGACGAAGAAGCAAGAACAATCAAAGTTATACAAAGAATGAATCAGGGAATTCATCCTACTAGCTCATCAAAAAATCATCATTCATATTACTCAGGAGCAATCCAGCCTAAACGTCATAGATTACAAGCACCTCCTTCTTCTTCATCACTCAATCAACAACGGTCCTCTTATAATGAGGATGATTCTGATTTACCTGAAGGATGGACCCTTCAAATAGCTGATGACGGAATCACGAAATTCTATTTTAATAAACAAACAGGTGGGCTGCGTTGGAATCACCCTGGTATTATCTCAGATTCTGATAATGATGATAGTCATCCTAGTGCAGAAGAAGAATTTGAAGTTACTTCTCGACCTATTTCAATGGATAAGCCAATGGAACATTTTGATGATTTTGGAAAAATACAGTCAAAACAGAATCAAACTGTGGTAGAGCATAAGCATGTTAATGTAAGAATATCATATATAAAAAATTAATATTGTTTATTTATTAATTAATATACATATTTGAAAGTTAATGTCATATTGGACTAAACGAACTACTCCACAAGGAAAAGTATATTATGGAAATTCAATTACAAACGAAACAACATGGAATTATGACGATATTGATCTTTCTACTGGACGTTTGGTAAAAAAAAAAAAAAAAAATAAGGTGGAAGAGAGGGGTGGAGGAGGAGATTGTAACTTATTTTTATTTTTTTTATAGAAAACAGAAAATAATGAGCAAATTAATTCTGAATATAATAATAAAATCAAACACAATAAATCAGAAAATACATTATTAGAAGAAGAGAATATGACATGGAAAACAATAGCTAGTGAAATAGCACATTCAGTACGAGATTTAAATAAATCTATTATGCGAAATGAAAATACAGTCATATATAGACAAAAGATTGCAGTTATTGTGGATGCAGTTCGACTTATGTTATACGCTTCCAGATCTATGGATAAAGATGCACCACATATGCAAGACACGGAGATTAAGGAGCCATTACGTATCGTCCTCTCTACACTTGCTAAACTTATTTTATCTGCTAAAAATATAAATGATAATATTATGGATGTAAATAGTAAAATACAACGTGATGCATCTGATGTTCTAAATGCTGTGAGAAAATTTATTTTAGTCTGTCAGAATAAGGATATCAGTCTTGGACCCATTAATCCTAAATTCGTTTTATTACATGAAACCGAGGATGAGTTACCAAGAAAAATGAGCAGAAGAAAGAGCAGTACTGGAACACAATCAAAAGCAAAATACCCTCTTAATCAAGATCTTATCGTTAGTTTACAAACTCACGCAAAGCAGATTGTTGGTTCAACAGATGCCTTATGTAAGGCATCCACTTATATATATACATTGGAGCAGAAACAACAGAAGAAAATTAGCGAGAACGAGAATGATGACGGTGACGAAGAATCTATCTTTAATGAAGAACAATATAATATTCTTGACGAAAAGGCAAGATCAAATGTAATTTTACTTTTCCAAAATTTATCATCTCAAATTGGGAATTACCTCGCTATATTAAACGATGTTGATGTAAATAACTTTGATACAACCCAAATTCAGTCATTACCTGAATTTCGCAGCAATAAGCAACAGCTTTATAATTCAATTGGATTACTCTTTAGTGCTGTGCAAGTCTTGACAGATACTCATAATGAATTAGCTAAATCTGTTAGTTCTATTGAAGAAACCGTTCATTTAGTTGAGGATACAATTGAAAACATCTTCTCTAACGTTGTGCAAATGGTAGGTGAACGTAAAGTTTGGTTGATGAAAAATGGCGAAAATAGCAATATACGAGAAGGAGATCCAATTTCACCTGTTCACAACTATTTTGATAACGACAACAAGAAACAGAACAATTATCGTAATAATTTGAATGAATCAACATCAGTTGCTGAAAATAATACAACATTAGAGACATCAAATACACTTATGCTTCCTCGTTTGTATAACAGACAAACAAATCAGCAACAGGCACAACATAGACCTTCTATAAGTACAGCGGCTACAAGCTTAACATTAGCCAATTTGGTTCGGTCTGTAGATAATAAAGCTTTAAAACGCCAATTTAGTTTCGGTCATGGTATAAATCTCCAAGAAGATCAATCTCAATTTTGGTTTCTAGGATATGATTATGCAGAAGGCGATATTGAATTTTCTCAAGATAAGAGTGTAAAAGGTGGTACTCTTCGTGCTTTAGTTGAGCGTTTAACTCTTCATGATTATATAGGTATGTGAATATTTCGGGTGTGTGTGTGTGTTTAATAAATTATTAATTTATGTGTGAATATTTTTATTTTATTTTTTTTTTTTAAAATAGACATGAGCTTTATTGCCAATTTCTTATTAACATATAGATCTTTTTGTACTACTGAAGAGTTTGTTGATTTACTACAAGAGCGATATAATTTAGCACCTCCTGATAATTTGACACCAGAAGAGCTTGATATATGGACAGATAAAAAACAAAAGTTTATTCGACTTCGGTAAAAAAACACACACAAACACACATTTATATTACATCCATAAAGCTGCAAATAGACTCATCTCTCTCTCTCTCTTTTTTTTTTAGTGTTTTTAATGTTATGAAGAATTGGCTAGAAAATTATTATAATGATAAAGATGAGTTTATATTGAATAAACTTCAAATCTTTGCTAATACAGTAATTTGCGATTCCTCATCTTTTTCAGCTGAACAATTAAATCGTCTCATTAGGAAACGAAGGGAATTAGATGCTAATGGTGGTGGCTTAAAGAAATTGATACCAAATACCATGAATGGACCTATGCCAATTCTACCAAAAAACTTACAACATATTCGCTTGTTAGATACAGATCCTCTTGAATTAGCACGTCAACTTACTATCATGGACTTTAAATTTTATAGCAGTATTCGACCTATTGAATGCTTAAGCAAAGCCTGGTCTAAAGATGGTGCTGAAAATGCCGAAAATGTGAAACAATCTATTGATTATTGTAATCGATTAACTTCATGGGTCTCTGGAAGTATTCTAAGTTATAAAGAAGCTAAAAAGCGTGTAGTTGTTATCAAGTATTGGGCTCAAGTTGCAAATGTATGTAAACACACACACACACATATATATATATATATGTTTGTTTGTTATAGAAGCCGAGTTAATCAAAAATTTTTGATTTAATTTTTTAGCGTTGTCTTGAGATGAATAACTATAATACATGTATGGCAATTCTTTCTGCCTTTGATAATAGTGCTATCGGAAGATTAAAAAAGACATGGGAGCTTGTCAGCAGTCGTACTAGTCAATCACTTGCTCACATTCGAAAATTGATGGGATCAAATCGAAATTTTACAGAGTACCGAGAAATGATTCATTCTGTGAATCCACCTTGTATTCCATTTTTAGGTATTTACTTACAAGATCTCACATTTATTGAAGACGGTAATCCAGACTTTTTGAAAAAGTCTAATAACTTGATCAATTTTGCAAAGCAACAAAAGGCAGCAGAGGTTATTCGAGAAATTAAACAATTTCAATCGCCGCCATATATCTTTCAATATGTACCTGAAATTCAGGATTATATTAAGATGCAATTAGAAACAAGTAGAGATGTTGATTATTTATATGAAAGAAGTTTAGAACTTGAGCCTAGAGCTCAAACAATGAATGATAACATATAAATAGAGAGAAAGAGGAAGAAGAAAAGAGACAGAGAGATAGAAAGAAAAGGATTATTTTTTTTTGTAATATATTATATCAATTATGAACACAATAATAAATTTCAAGCATGCAAAGAAATACACAAATTTGTATATAAAAATTTGTTTCTAAAATTATGTATTATAAACTTTGAGATAGTACATTTATGATAATTGTAGTAGTCGTAAAATAAATAATATATATGAATAGATAGATTATGAATATAGAATTCATTTTTACAGTGGGGTGTAAATATATTATATTTAAGCGCTTGGTCTCATCACTAAATATTTTTGTTTTATTAGACTTGTTATTGAATATATTATTAGAGATAATCAAGAATACTAAATATTTAATTATAAGAGTATATAATTCAGCTCATACATCAGCTTTATTAGTTTTTTGAAATAAAAATGTAAATGTTTTAATAGCCAGGATGGTCGCAGCTAATAAAGAAACTAGGATTCTACCAACGATATTAGCAGAAAATATATATTTGGAGGAAGAACATGTTCTCTTTTGGTTTTTAGTTAAGATAAATCAACAAATCCTATAGCAATGATGCATACTTCAAGTTAAATATGTTACTTTAATACCACTCCACGGATACCCATTTCTACTTGAGTATAACCATAATATACATTGTGCTTCTTGTTAGAAATAGTTGAATATCCTAAATAAAAAAATAATAGTTTATTTTATTTCTATAAAAGGTCATATGTTTATATAAAAAGAAGGTTACCATGGCTTTTATATATTCCTAGTGCTCTATATTGCTTGGTAACAAACTAAAGTACTCTCGGTATGCATAATAAGCTTCCATTCAACCCAAGACCTTCTATAATAAGTTAGATAATGTTACTTCACTTTTAAAAGACATGTATACTCTTGTCACACGTATAACAGGTAAAAAACATAGTTTAGCATAGGTTAAGTTGTTTTTTTTTATATTTATTTATAATAGCATTAACCATTGGATTATGTACATTAGCTGAAATCAGAATCCTTTCTCAAAGAGTTTAATACATGCTTTTTTTTTTTTTTTTTTTGTACCTTAAAATGATGAATTGTTAGAAGACCCTAGGTTTAAAAGCGTGAAAATTTTAATCTAATTTTTTTATCATTAGTATCAGATACCTTATTTATTGGCACTATAATAATAATGAAAAAAGCTTTCATAATTTAGCAAATTTATATAGAAAAAGTTAATGTGCAGCAACAACAAATTGAAAATAAAGTACGCTTTTTTTACCCTTTATTAGAAGAAGAGTGTAGCCATATTACGGACTTTATCCATTTATGGAGAACAAAGGTACAATTGCATAAAACTATATAAATATGTAAAAAGAAAAAAAAGAGATTTGTTTGTTTTCTTTTCTTTTTTAATTATATTTTCTTCTATTATGTCTTTTATCTTAGACACTATTCCTCCTACAAGTCAATTAATATCTAAAAGATATCATTACTTGACTCTACTTTTGTCTATTCTTGGAGGATCTTATCTAATCAAGGCTTTTTGGAAAGCAGTTGTTGTTCCAAACCATCTAAGACATATACCAAAAGTTGATACAATTCCATGGTTTTTAAGTATTATAAAAGGCGACAGTCATGATATAAGGGTAAAGAAATTAATGTTACCACTTATAAATCAACATGGTTTATGCTTAAAGTATATTATGGGACGATGGGTGTTGACTGTAGGTGATCCTCGTTTACTTCAAGTTTTATTGAGGGATGTTCATACATACCCAAAGGAGCAAGTCTCATTGGACCCAGTAAGTTGACTATCAAAAAAAAAAAAAAAAAAAAACCTGCCTATATATTAAACTTTATTTATCTATATAAAGGACCTTATTTTAACAAATCAAGAACCTAATATGGGAAATGCCAATTATAAAGATTGGAGAAGACAAAGAAGTGTTGCTAATCCTGTGTTCCACAGAGCGATGCCAGTAGAAGTATTTGGTGAAATAACAAAAAGAATATTTATAGCAATTGATGAATATAATAAGGATGGTATAATTGATGCTGCAGATTATATGAGAAGGTAAATATAAGTAACTTGTGTGATACATAATTTTAAAGTGTTATAATTATTTATTAGGTATGCACTTGATTGTCTTGGACTTGGTATTTTTGTAAGTTATGATATTCTATAAACGAATAATATTATATTCACCTTTTTCATTTTCTATCTATCAATATATCTATCTATCTATAAAGAACTTTGATATGAAAGCTGTATCTGATCCAAATTCAATGTATGCCGTTATTTATAAGCGAGCCTTTAGTAAGTATTATTAAGGTCACATTATGTATTATAAATATTTAATATAAATTAAAATAGGTATTGTTAGAGATCCTTTAGTTTATTTATTTCCAGCGTATACACGTATCCCTTCTAGATTTATTCCTTATCGTAATCGTGCTCGTCAAGCAAATGAACATCTTCGAAAGTTATTATCGGATATTATTATGGACCGTAAACGTCTTATTCATGAAAATAAAATTGATATGGATGATCCAAAGAAAAAACCTGATTTACTTACTCTCATGATTATGGCCGCTGAAGATCCTACAAATACGCATAATAAATTTTATCTAACTGATGGTGAATTAGTTTCAAATCTTGCTGTATTTTTTGTTGCAGGTAAGGATACATAATAATGTATACATATTCTAGAAAAAAAAAAAGTGACTGGGAGTGGGAGGAGGAGGAAGGGGCCAAAATATAGTATTTATATATACTTTAAATATGAATAATAGGACATGAAACTACTGCAAGTGCTACTGCCTCTTTCATGTATTACCTTGCTGCTAATCCAGAAATCCAAGATAAAGCTCGTGCGGAAGTTTTAGAAATTTTAGGAGATTCTCCTGAAGATATTATTCCAACAGACTTAGAACTCAAACAAATGAAATATTTAAATAATTGTATTCTGGAAACTATGCGAATTAATCCTCCTACTTCAGGTAATCTCCCTCGTATAGTAACAAAGGACACAAATATAGGTGGATTCTTTATTCCAAAAGAAACAAGAGTAGCTATCGTAAGTATCTGTTTTCATTTTATTTTTTATTTTTTTTTTTTACACGTTTTATTTATTGTCATTTTTATTTCTATAAAAAGGAGCTTTACTGTACTCATCATTTGAATAATTATTGGGATGCTCCTGAAAAATTCAATCCAGACAGATTTGATCAACAAAACTCAAGCTTTCGCAGTGAAGCTGTCTGGATGCCATTTGGAGACGGACCTAGGACATGCATTGGCAAAAATTTTAGTATGTCAGAACAAAGAGTAGTTCAAGCAATGTTTTTAAAGAGATATACTTGGAAACTTGTACCCAATAGTGAGCATGAATTTGGTTTAAAGAATGCAAGTGGAGGAGGTATTGGATTATTAGGCCCTGAATCATTAAAAATTCAGTTAACAAAAAGATACACTTAATTATTAAGTAACATACTATTCATCTTTACATGTCATACGAACATTCATAAACTTTAGTATGTTAACTTTTATTATTTTTTGTTTCAAGTCATTATATGGTTATTGGCTTAATTTTATAGGACTACTCGATCAATAGTATCTTTTATAAAATGAAATAAAATTAAAATAAACACTGCTATGGAATATAATGCTATAGAAAATTTTGATAAATATGTGTGTATCTATAAAAGTAGAATGAAGAGCTAAGGCAGATACTGCTTATCAAAATGAATAATAATCTAACTAAACATTGATATCCAGTAAATGAAAATTGCTGCATATCAGTGCTAATTGTTTAAATTCGTTTTCTCTTTAGGATACTTGTCATGTTATTATTTAAATTTCACTATTCTAAATGCGGCTTACAAATTTAATCTAGAATGAGCTATTTCTGTTCAGGCTTGTATAAAGTTTCATAACTACTACTACCATGTTAATACATAGTAAATATACTTTTTTCCATGATAACATCTTTAAGGGCTCCTTTTTTTTTTTAATGTTATCAGTCTTTGCTTATGATCGAAAGGAGAAGATCTATTTTAAGAAAAGAAAAATGCTTTTTACTGCTACTCACAAGTGATAATGATAATGTCTGGGCTTAAACTTAACAAACATTTGCAAAAGCTTAACTTTGATATAATGAAACTTTATTAATGTTTTTTATTACATGCACCTTTCCATACACTTCCATCTTCGTAAACTTCTCGCTTCCAAATTGGACATCTATCCTTTAATTCATCAATAAGATAACGTGCTGAATCCATTGAATCTGCTCTATGTTTTGAGGAAGTAGCAACTACCACACTCACTTTACCAACTGGCACAATTCCCGTTCTATGATAAATAGCTACATGTAATAAATTCCACTTATTACGCGCTTCTTCAATTAACTCCATTAATATCTTTTTCGCCATAGGTATATATGCTTCATATTCTAATTCAACCACAGTCTTATCTAAAGAACTGCAAAATTTACATCCTTTCTTATTTCCAATTATTTTATATTCTATTCTATACCTTCAAATACATTTCTAGTGGTGCCTGAAAATGTAGTTATGGCTCCTGCTCTATCATCTTGTACTAAACTAGTAATCTCATCTAATGACGGTAATGGCTCACTTGAAATTTCAACAATATTTTTCATTTTTTTTTTCAGCTTTAATAATAAAATAAAATAAAAATAAAAACAAACAAAACAAAAATAGTTTTTTTTTTTTTTTTTTTTTTTTTTTTTTTTTTTTTTTATAGTCATATTTAAACTCATATTACATAAGAATTAATGGAAGATAACAAGTTATAACTGAAGAGATTATATACTTATTAAACATAGTAACACATACACCTTTTCTCAAAGATATGGTGTATGACAAGTATATATAATTCTCTTTCAAAAAAAAAAAAAAAAAAAAAAAAAACGAGAAATTAAAATGTCGTAATGCTAGTAGAGGATACATACAAACGTTTGATCCAAATCTTGATATTCAGTTTTGACCATACTATTATAGGTTCAAAAATGGGTTACAGATTGCTGATATTAACAATTCAGTGATTATTAGCATATCCTCATTTGTTTTTTTTTACAAGTATAATAAATTAAATTTAACAATTAGCTCATGTAATAGTTAAGAGGAGGAAGAAGATGTCTGCTGCAGCACAATCTTATGTAGTTTCTTTAATTGAGATAAGGCGCCTCTTCATGATTTTACTTAAAAAACAACAACAACATTGAAAGCATAGCATATGAGACGATTAATATCAAGCATCCTTTGGGTTTACATTTATCCCATTATCTTTCAAAAATATTTATACAAATAATTTCTATTTGGAAAAGGAAAAAAAAAGACCGAATTGCCATAACAACATTACTGATTCGTCAATTGTTTTTCATAACGATATAGTATTTCATTATGTTGGATAACAGCAGTAATAGTGCATCATATTAAATTAAATGAAACCCAGTCAAATATGTGTCATAAAATTGTGGCTTGGTATCATATTGAAGTTACTTTCTCAAGTATTTTATTTTGACCTTTCTATCCCGATTCTCTATCCTTTTTTTTTCCTTTTTATATATTATTTACTATTAGATAATGGCTACTCCTATTGTGGAAGCTACCGAAAAGCTTAGTCTTGCTGAAAGTATGTCTCTATTCTATTTTATTATTATTAAAACACGAGTGACGTTAATTCTGTTAATTTGAAAATAGCTGTCTTTGTAGACGAAATTGCTGGTTGTGACACCAATGGCAATGGTACTGAAACAGCTCCCTTCAAGTCAGTCCTTAAGGCTATTGAAGTAAAGGGCGACAACATTAAAGTTCAAATTAAGAAGGACGAGGAAGGTTTTAAGGATATTTCTGGTGCTGCTTTCAAGAAGGCTAAGAAGACCTTTGCCGAACAACAAAAGAAAGCCAAGAAGCTTGAAGAACAAAAAAAGAAGCAGGATGCTGAATTAAAGAAGAAGCAAGAAGAAGAAGCCAAGGCTATTGAATATGCTAAATCTGTTATTCTTAAGGAAGATGAATCTCTTCCTAAAGCAGAAAAGGTAGTACAGACATGTATATGTAAAAGGAAATATATTAAAAAAATTTGAATTAGATTAAAATCCGTCAATCTACTGAAAAGAGAGGTAAGCGTGTTAAGGTCTCTGGTTGGGTACATCGTCTTCGTGTTCAAGGTAAAGATATGATGTTTATTATCATTCGTGATGGTTCTGGCTATTTACAATGTGTCTTGACCGGAAAATTGGTAAGCTTTTTTTTTATATATATTATATATCAATCACAGGAATAAGAGTCTAATATAAATATGACTATAGTGTCACTCCTATGATGCTATTACTCTTACTGTTGAATCTACCATCACTGTATATGGTATTATTAATGAACTTCCTGAAGGTAAAACAGCTCCTGGTAATCATGAATTGGTTGCAGATTATTGGGAAGTTGTTGGTAAGGCACCTAGTGGTGATGAAGCTTTCAACAACAAGGTCAGTGCTGATGCTGATCCTTCCTATCTTTTGGATAATCGTCATCTCGTTATTCGTGGTGAAACTGCTTCTGCTGTCCTCAAAGCCAGAGCTGAAGTTATTAAAGCTTTCCGTGCTTTCTATGAACAAGAAAAATTCACTGAAATTACCCCTCCTTGTATGGTTCAAACTCAAGTTGAAGGTGGTTCTACTTTATTCTCATTCAACTACTATGGAGAGAACGTAAGTTATATTCTATTTTTTTTTTTTTTAGATAATTTCTTATTTTATTTTTATTTTTTACATTTAATAGGCCTATTTAACACAATCCTCTCAACTTTATCTTGAAACCTGTCTTCCTTCTCTTGGTGATGTTTTCTGTCTTGCCGAATCTTATCGTGCTGAAAAATCACATACTCGTAGACACTTGTCAGAATATTCTCACTTGGAAGCTGAAATGGCCTTCATTGAATTTGATGACTTATTAGACCATCTTGAAAACTTGATTTGTTTTGTTATTGATCGTGTCTTAGCTGATGAAGAAACTGGTAAATTGATCCAACAATTGAACCCTGACTTCAAGAAGCCTTCTCGTCCTTTCCTTCGTATGAAGTATGCTGATGCTATCAAGTATTTGAAGGAAAATGATATTAAAAAGGAAGATGGTTCATTCTATGAATTTGGTGAAGATATTCCTGAAGCTCCTGAACGTGCTATGACAGATAAGATTGGTCGTCCCATTTTCCTTACTCACTTCCCTCATGAAATTAAGGCCTTCTATATGCAAAAGGATCCATCTGATAGACGTGTTACTGAAAGTGTTGATGTTTTAATGCCTGGTGTTGGTGAAATTGTTGGTGGTAGTATGAGAATGGATAACAGGGTATGTAATAACTATTTAAAAAAAAAAAAAAGAAAGAGAGAGGATATATCTATGACTGACTTGTAAAAATAGGAAGAATTATTAGCAGCATATGGTACTGCTGGTATTGATCCTTCACCTTATTATTGGTACACTGATCAACGTAAATATGGTACTACACCTCATGGTGGTTATGGTCTTGGCGTTGAACGTTTCCTTGCATGGCTTCTCAACCGTTATACTGTTCGTGAATGTTGTCTTTATCCTCGTTTCACTGGTAGATGTACTCCTTAAAAGAATAATTATATTAAAATTAATAAGAAAGCAAAGCATGATGACTATTGTTTTTTTATTTTTTTGTTTGTTTTATATTCATGTTAAGAGTTATTCTATAATGTTCGATATTATGATGTCCCCTTAATTTACTAATAGTAAGCATTCATTTCTAGTTAGAAAGTATAATAGCGAGACATTTAAGGATAGCAGATATTATTAAAAGATGTAGACACTAATTTTAGTGCATAAAAAAAGGTTATAGTAAAATAAGGTATTATATGGTGAGATTTAATGGGGTAATATGCATATTTTTTGCATAGTTACAAAATAGAAAAAAAAATGTGTATTTATTATATTTCTCTTCTCTCTTTTTGTTGTTGGTATTATTTCTTAACAATGCCCTCATCGTTTATTTTTTATTATCAAGAAAAAAAAAAAAGTTTCAACAATCCAGGAGAGGATCTCGATCTTCTGCTGATAGTAAAAGACTATATAAATGTCCTATGTGTCCAAAGTCATTTTATTGTCTAAGAGCATCGCATCAGACATATTCGTATTCATACAGGTGAGAAGCCTTATCGATATAAGCATACTGAATGCAATAAAAAAGTTTTCTCGGTCAGACGAATTAATTTGACATACACGTACTCATGAAACAAATATCTATGATGAACTCGATACTGCTACCACTACTATTGATGTAGTATCTTCTATTAGACTCCCACCTTTAAAATCCAATCATTGTCAAAGGGGCTCTTGAGCTTCGGCCGCTTGAATGCTATTATTATACTAAATTAAATCCACTTTTTGTTGAATTACAACAGTCTACTGCGACCAGTAGGAGGAAAACATCAACACCACCACTACTACTTGAATGTCATTCTCTGATAACTGCTCATACATCCTTTTATACGACTTGTACTCTTGGAAGAACAGACCCTAATAATAATCCACTATCTACTATCTACTACGAATCATACTTTATGTAATAGACCCTCTATTCAATCATTGCTTTTGTAATTATATGCTACATTGCATATATGAGATTAAAAGAATTTCTGTATAAACTGTATTACTATAATATACTTTGCATAGTTACTTATTCCTTTTATATGTAGTTGTTTCTAACTAAATATAGTAGTTTTTATGAAGCATTATATGTATGCATATACGCTTATTTGTCTTGTGTTGTCTATTTTACAAAATAAAATAAAACAACTGCTTTACCAATAGGAAATGCATATAGTTATTTTCATTTTATTTAAATTTAGGATATCACTTCTTAAACCAGGATAATCGTTTTCTCCACTTTTTTTTTTTTTTCTTAAATGTCAACAATTGAAATCCCGTTAACCTATGCCTTATTCTGTCCTGTTTTTCTTCTTCCAACCCTTGCCTGATTATTTAAAAAAATCTTTTTATTTTTATTTTTTTTTTATAAATATAGATAGATTCCTTTACATTACATAAATCATCCTATGTCTACTAAGAGAGAACTTAATCCCACAACATGTTTTAATTTTTCTTTCTTTAAAGGTAAGTTGTGACAAACAGCTATATATGTATATAAGAGAGAGAGAGAGAGATAGAAAAAAAAAAAAGGGGTAAAGTCATCATAACCCATATTACATATACACATACATTGTTTTTTCTTTCTTTCTTTCTTTATGAATTAGAATACATGAAAGAATTACGTAAAGTGGACGATAACATTATTAATAGACTTAACTCTACCTCAACGCAGTCAGAAGGAGCTTGTGCTGATTTCTTTAAACAAATATCTAATGCTTATGCAAAGCGTGATGAAGCTATTGATTATTGCCTCAAGGTAAATGATTTGATCAGATATATATGTATAAAGGGAGGGACGGGCTAATTAAGTTTCATTACAATCATACAGTTAATGGACCAAGATCTCGAAAAGAAGAATAAAAAATTAGAAGAAGACCCTGATGATTTCGATGTCAAAAATAGTATTTTCACAAGAGAATCTATGGTAAATAAAAAACGACATTTTAGTTTGGCTATTAATGATGGCAATTTTATTTATATGTCTTTTTATTGTTTATAGCGTCAATCGGTTTCAAATGAGAGATTTGTCGAAGAAATTATTAGAGAACGTACTTTACAAGTTTTTAAAACTAAATGCAGATCATTTGATGTTACTTCATTAGAAAAATAAAATATACATGTATAAAAAAAAAAAACAATTTTTTTCTTTTTTTTTAATATTTATATAAATAATTGTAAACTGTATATGGTGGTAAAGATATATATATATATGCAGATATATATACATATTTTTTTTTACAGAAAAAATAGAGAACAATAAACTAAATTAATAAAAAAGTCTTGCTTAATAAAAGGCTTTAGCATGGTTGTCACAAACATCACGAAGCTTGGTTTCAAGTTCCTTGGAAAGAACACCCTTAGAACGGATTTCCTCAAGCATATCAGTGTGCTGAGTCTTGATGTGACTAATGAAATCCTTTTCCCATTCAACAACACGGTTCACAGGGATCTTATCAAGATAACCATTGACACCAGCAAAGATAATAGGAATTTGAACTTGAATGGAAAGAGGACTATATTGAGGTTGCTTCAATAATTCAGTAAGACGAGCACCACGATTCAACAAGAATTGAGTAGAGGCATCAAGATCGGAACCAAATTGAGCGAAAGCAGCGACTTCACGGTATTGAGCCAAGAAAAGCTTCATGGAACCAGCAACTTGCTTCATGGCTTTAGTTTGGGCAGCAGAACCGACACGAGAGACGGAAAGACCGACGTTAATAGCAGGACGAATACCCTTGAAGAAAAGTTCAGCTTCCAAGAAGATTTGACCATCAGTAATGGAAATAACGTTAGTAGGGATATAAGCAGAGACATCACCACCTTGAGTTTCAATGATGGGAAGAGCAGTCATGGAACCATAACCAAAGCTCTTATTCATCTTGGCAGCACGTTCTAAAAGACGAGAGTGAAGATAGAAGACATCACCAGGATAAGCTTCACGACCAGGAGGACGACGAAGCAAAAGTGACATTTGACGATAAGCAACAGCTTGCTTAGACAAATCATCATAAATGATCAAAGAGTGACGACCGTTATCACGGAACCATTCACCAAAGGCAGCACCGGAGAAAGGAGCAAGATATTGAAGAGGAGCAGCTTCAGAGGCAGTAGCAGCAACAACAGTAGTGTACTTCATAGCGTCATTTTCTTCAAGAGTTCTAACAAGTTGAGCAACGGTAGAACGCTTTTGACCAACAGCAACGTAAATACAGTACAACTTCTTGGATTCATCAGAACCATTGTTCCAATTCTTTTGGTTCAAAATAGTATCAAGAGCGACAGCAGTCTTACCAGTTTGACGATCACCAATAATCAATTCACGTTGACCACGACCGATAGGAACCATGGAGTCAACAGACTTGATACCAGTTTGCATAGGTTCGTTAACAGAATGACGAGGCAAGATACCAGGAGCCTTTACTTGAACACGAGAACGACCTACGGTTTCAAGAGGACCCTTACCATCAATAGGGTTACCAAGCGCATCTACAACACGACCAAGAATACCAGGACCAACAGGAACGTCGACAATGGCGCCAGTACGTTTAACAGTATCGCCTTCCTTAATCAAACGATCGTTACCGAAAACGACAATACCGACATTATCAGGTTCCAAGTTAAGAGCCATACCCTATCATATACATATATATATATATATACATTACTCAATATAATACTTAAATATATAAAATATAGATATGTACCTTAAGACCAGAAGAAAATTCAACCATTTCTTCAGCTTGACAGTTCTTTAAACCATAAACACGGGCAATACCATCACCAATAGATAAAACGCGGCCAGTTTCTTGAAGATCAGTTTCAGAATTAGCACCCAAAATACGTTGTTCGAGAATAGAAGAAACTTCAGAAGTAGAAGGTTTGGCAGAAGCATATGTTCTTAAAGCAATAGAAGCTGCACCGAGATTAAGACGCTATTATAAAAATAAAAAATAATAGTAATTGAGTTTCCATTAGAATTGTTAATTCCAAATTTAATGTTAAAATAATAATTCACTTATTTACAGCAGGTGTAGATCTGGCCAAAGCAGCCAAAGTAGGGCGTGCAAAACGAGTAGCGTTTCTCAACATTTAACCTTTATCTTTATTTTTTTATGAAGGAGAGAGGGGTTGAAAAAAAAAAAAAAAGAAATAAATCAAAACAAAACTGGGGGAAGGGTGTGTATGTGATCAGTTTAAAACTCCTATCATTTTTTTGTTTAATCAAAGTGATGGGGGGCATGACCAATGTCTATTGACTGAGCCTAATTGTGACTTGAAAATAATTAAACTATCTTTTTCTTATTATCATTTTAGTGTGCCTATTCGTACCTTTTTTTTTTTTTTTTTTTTTTTTTTTTAAAGCCAGTGTTATGACTGTAGTCGTCTTTACAACTAAGTTAATAGAAATAAACCATCATTTATTACGTAATGTAGAGGTTATTCAAATAAAACTAGCATATTGTACTTTACAGCATCACATTCATTCTGCATTCAGTTTTAATAATAGTCGTTGTTAGAGCATTCGAGCTTTCATAATAAGTATATACATTGTATTATGTATGTAATAATAGGATTATGACTGTTATATTCAATTACATAATTATTAATATAAGTCATACATATTATATATAGATAGCTATAAAGATGAATATTGTTATGTAATAATATCTTATAGGATAATAATAACAGTAGCTTATAAATAACTGGTATTATTGTTATAGCCGGAATATTCACTGTGAATCAATATTGACGCGTTGCTTACCCCAGAAATAATGATTGGGTATATTTTCAGTAACAGCGACAGCTCAGGGAGAAATATGCACACTGCATGTAGAATTATTCGGAGACGATATTTACACTGACAATATTTACACATAATACTTTATTATAGCAAATCATACTCCTATTAATATCACTTATTTTGTAAAAAAAAAAAAAAATATACATTTATATTAATAGCCCTTATCATTTTTTCATATTATTTTTCGTGGTACAATTTTTGTATTTTTTTTCTTTCTGTTTTCCCCTTCCTTATCTTTTGCACTCAAAACACCCAATACGGATTGATGGAAGAATTCGTCCCAAATCTTCAGCAATACTGTACGATAGACCGACTACAATACTGGGTTGGTCAATCAAATATCTGGGGAACACACAAAAGAAAGACAACAAGTGGTCAAACGAAATACGGTTGACATTTGTGGATTGTATGCAGGGAGATGAGGGAATTTATGGTCGAATTGACAGATTCAATTTCAGCACATTGGGACCATCTCAAGAACGAGGTTGATTTTATCACTATTGGTTATGCCAGGAAATCTCCAACCAAAGAAAATCATGCATCGAAAACGCGACTTCTGCAACTCATGGTTGACAAGCTGTATTTTTGAATGAAGTGTGAGGAAGTGTATATCAGTCCGTGCTGCTTTGCTAAAGAACCGATTCTGGAACATGATTCCCCTATATCAGATCACTTGTTTCCAGTCATCAAATGTTGCAATGGTGGCATTACAGATTTGACGAAGCGCATCCGTTACACTCAAAAACATATACGTCTGGCTATTATTGACTATGCTGGCCTTTCCACATCTCCGAATGACATTCGAAAATTTCTCGACACATACCCCAATATCAAAGAAATTGCCATTGACCATGGTAAATCAATTGAAATCCTGACTCAACACCAACTATTGGAGAGAAACGATGCTGAAAAATTCAATTGTCGCCTTAGTCTTGTTCAATGATCAAAATAAAAAATACGTTTGTTTGGCAGTCTTCATCTTTCAATACCATGCATATTTTTTTAGTCCGTGCTTTAACAAAAGGAGGAAGGGCGTATGTGATGTTCAGAGCGTAAGCAATGAGTATAACTTAAAATAAAAAAAAATATATATAAATACATATAAAAAACAAAAACAATAAAAACAATTCTATAATCAGACTTGCTGACGGTTAAAGAACCTTCAACTTTAAACCTATTGTTTTTATTGAGACAAGGACTATTTGTATTTATATTTTGACAGCCGAGCTTTATCGAATGAAACACTAGTTTCATTCACTGAGTAAATCTAGAGGAATCTATTGGGAATATAAACATCAACTGATAAATCAACCAAGTACCTCACAGATTATCCTATAATATCTGTCTATTGGGTCCTCGTAATAACGTTTGACCCATCTCTGTACTGCTCGGATATGAATATCTAATTGCCTTGCAGCAGCAGCAGAAGCTTTCAAGCATTTGTTGAAAAATAAATGCAAAAAAATCTAGTCTTGTCTTCATCAGAGTAAACCGTACAGCGTCGTTTATTGCATAGCTCCATATCAATATCTTCACTACTCCTCTTATCCATTACTGGATGAATTACAGGGTTAGGTCTTTTCCGAAGGTTTATACATTAGGAACTGAGTACGAGAACTTATTGTTTCAATAGCGAACAGCTTCTCATCAACAACGTGCCCTTGTTCATTTTCATAAAAAAAATTGCTATAAAATACATATTATAAATATATGCCAAAAGTTAAGGACATGATCATATTTTTAACTTTCATTGTTATAATCAGAATAACCATGATACATACACCACACAAGCAATTTTTTATTCATAAATTAAAAAATATCCTTACATGTTTATAAGTCACCCAAAGGAATATAACTCATTGCTTTATTAGATAAATAAATATTGTATGAATGTTGTATTTCTATTAAATTTATTGATTAAAAGAATTGAATAAACTTGGCATAAAAAGATAGAAGAATTCTTTTTGCCTTTTTTTTTCTTTTATACAAAGACAATAAAAAAAAAAGGTCAAACAATGAACAATAATCTCAATAATGAAGTACGCGCCTTATTCTACTTTAATTTATTAAAAAAAAAAAGGCTGCATTACGTCCCGTTTTCGAACTATTTTAATTTCTAAAATTAGTAAAAAGGCGTCACTGAATAACAAAAGTAATAAAAAAGATACACGACTTTTTTTTTTTCAAGAAAAAAAAATAAAGGTGAATTATTCTTTTAACTTTCTTTTCTTTTTTTTTTTTTTTTTTTTTTTTTTTTTTTTTTTTTTTTTTTTTTCCTTTATAATATATAATGAATGTATTTACTAGATTTAGATCTGCTTCTACAGCAAATAGTACAAAATCCGCAGAACCTTCAATTGATTATGGACCAATTACGCATAGCGCGATCCTTACGGCGCCTAAAGAATATGACCCAATTTTGAACCCTCCCCTTGACGATGAGAAAAAGAAGAAAATAAAGGATTTAATGACTTATATGGAATCTATTATGATTGATAAAGAGGACCCTTATTATCCAAGTGAAAAAGGTTTTTTGACAGAAGCTACCGTACATAGATATATGAGAGCTAGAAAATGGAATTATGAAGTAAAAAAAAAACACTAAAAAAAGGAGTAAAAAATAAAATAAAAGATAGATTGTTTAAAATTTAAATTATAGACAGCTAAAACTATGTTGGAAAATACAGTCAAATGGAGAAGAGAATACAAACCAGATAAAGTAGATGCAGATTCTGTTCGTATTGAGGTAAATAAATAGATGTAGCGTATGTGTATTTGTATGTAATGTATAAATACATGTATATATCTATTTATTTATATTTCATTTAATGAATAATTACAAAATTAGGCTGAAACAGGTAAAATGTATTATAGTGGCTTTGACAGAATGGGACGTCCTCTTTGGATCATGAAGCCTCGTTATGAAAACTCAAAGGATTCAGATAGACAAGTGAAACATATTGTATTTTGTTTAGAAAGAGGTATTCGTTTAATGCCTCCTCAAGTAGAAAAAATTTCAATTGTAGTAGATTTTAAAGATTCTACAGCTGCCAATAATGCAAGTGTTAGTACATGTAAAAAATTCTTGGATATTTTAGGAAATCATTATCCTGAAAGACTTGGTATTGCATTTTTAGTCAATGGTAATGACATAACTCCTATGATCATCTATATGATACGGTAACACATACAAAAAAGAATCATGGTCTTTTTTGACGTTTTTTTTTCTTTTGTAGCTCCATGGTTCTTCTTTACTACATTTAAATTAATTGCCCCCTTTATGGATCCTGTCACTAGAAATAAGATCAAGTTTATTAATCCAGATGACACTAAACAGAATACAAATACTGATCAAATTAATATGAAGGATTATATATCTTTGGATCAAATGGAAGTTAGTTTAGGCGGTCATTATAACTTTGAATTTGATATTGATGTTTACTGGAATGACCTCTTAGATAAGACTGGAAAACCTTTTAAAGTGATAGAATATCAATAAAATGTATATTATGCAATGATATGCATAGTAATAAAATATCCCCTAATCACACCCTATTTTAAGGAGTAAAAAAAAAGAAAAAAAAAAGACAAATCTCGTCATAACACAACAATTAAGCAATTATGTTTTTTTTTGGAGCTTTATCACTGGTTCAAAGAGCGGAATTTAAAATGTCGATAATCAACTGGAAAAAAAAATGTTTTTTTCTTTTTTTGTCATTGCCTAGTCCTTTTTTTTTTTTTTTTTTTTTTTTTTTTTTTTTTTTTTTTTTAAAAAAAAAGCTCCATTTTTCTTTTTCATTTTTATATATACTCCCATTTTATATAATTTAACGTAATCAAGTGTATACCCCTAAATCAATAATAATATAGTTAATGGACAATCAACCATCTTTTCCTTATGAATTATTTGTTCAACAAAACCAAGATGATAACAATAACGACAATAACAGTAATGCTGGTGAATTCAATAATATAGAATTTGAACGTTTAAATATTTTTAAACCAACAACACTTGAAGTAATGGATTTATTAAATGAATCCGATGCAGAAGAAGACGATATAAACTTTGAACATAAGGTATTGATTAGATAAAATTTGTGTGAACGAAAAAAAAAAAAAAAAAACGCTTACAGAGTTTATAGAGTACACCTAGTTATTTTAATCAAGAAGACGATGAAGATTTAAAATTGAGTTCTGAAAAAACAACTAGTAGTTTTAGTAGTAATCGTAGTTATAAAAGAGATAGTTCAGCTTTAAAATTGGATCAATTTTCACCTTTAAAAATGGATGAAGATTCATTAGAAAGAAGAAATAGTTATGTAAGAAATAATATATAAATATTTATATTTTTTTTTTTTTATTTACATGAAGGTTTTTTAATGTGACAAAAATTTTATAGAAATCACCTTTAAGAAGACTATCAACGTAAAATATATATGTGTATACATAAAAAAATGGTATAAATATTAACCTTATAAATAGTTCTAGTAGTGGTACAAGCAGAAATGTAAAAAGAAAGTTAATGGATTCTTCTCCAAGCCCTTCTTCAATTCATATTCGATCTTCGCCTTTAGTAAAATCATCACCACCATTTGGCTATAGTACGCCTACTATAAGTATGATATCTACACCTACTGATGCTAGATCTTCTGCTTCTACAGGTAGCAGTAATGAAGGTATATTTAAAGCAATCCTAGCTGTATTCTATTTGGATATTTATTATTATTTATTTTAGGCTTATTTCAATATAAAAGAGAAAGCACCTTTGATTCACTTGAACATAATGTTTCTGCCTTAAAAATTGGAATGGATAATGCAGCGACAAAGGTAAGACAAAAAAAAAAAAGAAATCAAGAAGTTGGACTACATTATTTATTTATTTCAATTGTTAGAAATATTCACCTATTATACGCGAAAATCGAAAACCAGATTATATCGATGCAATACAACAATCTTATCAATCTTCTAACGCTACTCCTGCATCCCCAAGGCAACTTCCATCTTCTTCTTCTTTTTCATTTTCATTTTCTACTACATCTACGCCTACTCCTACGCCTACACATTTAACATCAACAAGGAATAAAAGAAGAGATAATCATAACTTCGCTATACCAAATACTACTATAACCAAAAATAATCAACGCATCTCTAATGACTTTCCCCCTCCTCCCCCTCCTCCTCTATTTTCACAGCAAGAAGATAGACAATTTCAAGTGTCAGGAACACCTACACCACCACGTATAGGGGAACAGGTGATTGTAAAGTATCTTATATACATACATACATACATATATACATATTACTGATCTTTATTATCTAGATAAATAATCATTATTATACTATTTTAAAGGATATTGGAAAAGGAAGTTCAGGACATGTCTTTCAAGTAGTATCACATACGTATTCGCATATTTATGCACTAAAATGGATCGAAGTGAAAAAGGAAGAAGATAGAGAAAATGTGATAGATGAAATTAATATATTACACATATTAAAAAGAGAAGAAAGGATTGTTTCTCTATTAGATTTTTGTATAACTGAAAATGTCATTTATTTAATTATGGAATTCGGTGAAGTTGATTTGGCTCGTTTAATTCAAAAACAGGCGATAACAAAATGGGACCTTAATTTTATAAGATTTTATTGGCAGCAGGTAAAATAGGTTATTCTTTTCTTTTCTTTTTTTTTTTTTTTTTTTTTTTTTTTTTTTTTTTTTAACTGTACGTATACTTATATTTTAGATGTTAGAATGTGTTTATGCCATGCATAATAAGAACGTTGTTCATTCAGACTTAAAACCAGCAAATTTTGTTGTAGTCAAAGGATGGTTAAAGTTGATTGATTTTGGCATTGCAAAGGTTATGTCTGATGATACTACAAATATTCACCGTGATAATCAAGTAAGTATTTAATATAATTAAATACAAACTATTCATTCTTCAAGTAGGTAGGCACAATTAATTACATGTCACCGGAAGCACTTTCTGACTCAAATGAAGGTAGAGTAGGAAGGAAGAGTTTAGTAAAATTAGGTAGACCAAGTGATGTCTGGTCTTTAGGCTGTATTCTTTATCAGATGGTATATGGGAAAACACCATTTTATGATCTTCAGTTTGCACAAAAGATCCTTTCTATAAGGGACCCAACTTATGAAATTAAATTTCCGGAATTTGTAATAGAAAAACTTGACAAAACAAGCTCTGTTGAACGCCAGATAAAACTTCCTTCAACCCTTATTCAACTACTAAAAAATTGTCTAAATCGTAATCCTGATTTACGACCTCCACTTACAGAACTTTTAAACCATCCTTTTGTAAATAATTAAACAGTTATATCACGACTCTCATTTATATATATATATGTGTGTGTGTATGTGTGTGTGTATGTGTATGTATATGTATATGTGTATGTATATGTATATATAACATATCTGCATGTACAGCATCTCCATCTTCAATTAGCAGATTTGTATAAAAAAAAAAGCAAAAAAAAAAAAAAATTAAATAAATAGTGGAAAAGTTAAACTTTGCTGCACCAACAGTTACTTTTCAATAAGCTTTTTTTTTTTTTTTTTTTTTTTTTTTTTTTTTTTTTTTTTTCTGGATTTAATTTATAACATGTACTTCGAGCTTGAAACACTAACAATTATTTTAATCTAAATAAAATAAAGTAATTCATCCTATTTGATTATTACAACGAAATAAAGCTTTTTCGATAGACGAATAAGCCCTCTTTCACTATTTAAAAGTGAGTCTGTTATGCTCACAACATGTAAGTCTAATTTTTGTGAGGGAGTTAAGTTTTATGCAAGTCACCAAAACTCAAAGTAAATCTAAAAACTGAATTCGAGAAACAGCTGTTAACTATTAAAGACATACAATTCGAATAAGAAAGGTAAATGCACAATCAGGGAAAAAATAATAATAATAATAACCAGCAGAGCTGTTGAAATAGAAGACTGTACATAGATATATGTGTCTATATCCCTCCTTTTCTTTATCTACATGTATATATGATAGAACTCCTTTATTCTTTCTTTTAAATAAAAAAAAATGTACCTTAGTTATCTTTCTTAATGGGACGAGCAACCTTCATAGCCTTATAGTCACCATTAAAACGAAGACCCAACTTCATAATCTCAGCAAAGACATTCCAGTCCATTACCTTTGTCATCATAATCTTCATAATAACAGTAATAGGTCCTTGATCAGAAACAACAATCTTACCAGCATTACGACAAATGGTATCAGCAATAACAGAAGGTGGAGAAGAAAGTTTTTGGGCTGATGTAAGAGCGGACATTTTACCAGCATTGCTATAAAAGTTAGAATCAATAGGAGAAGGATGCTAGAAGAGAGAGAGAGAGAGATAGAAATGAATATACTAAATTCTAACTAACTTTTTAATGAAATACGTTTAACTTTACCACAACAAGAACATCAATTTTAGCTTCAGCCAATTCAGCAGAAAGGGAAGCAGCAAATGTAGTTAAGAAAACCTTTGAGGAAGCTAAATAAGAGTCAATTATTATTATTATTAGAATATTATTTGTTTTTTAAACTTACAGTATAAGGCAGACATGGGATTAGGGATAAAACCAGCACTAGAAGAAGTAAAAGTAACAAGACCTCGAAGACCCTTATTTAACATTTCGTCAACAAAATGATGAGTCAAGACAAGACCAGAGGTAACGTTGGTATGGAAATTAGAGAGTTCACGCTTCATAGGGACATCAGCATAACCGCCTGTTGTAATATAGCCAGCATTATTACACAAAATTTGTACATCAATATCAGATGTGGCTTCCTTGACAGCAGCTAAATAACTTTCGCCAGTCGCTTCAGAAAGGTCACAGCCAACAAAACGGAACTCAACATTAGGAAATTCCTTTTGGATAGTTTCTTTAAATTTACTGAAAACTGCGTCATCAAGAGCTACAACGACCACATTCAGACCTTGGCTAGCAAACTTACGAACAATAGCAGCACCAATACCAGAAGAGCCACCTGTGACCAAGGCCCTAAACAATAATAAGTATAAATAGAATGTTTATAATAATAATAATAATAATAATATGAATATTACCACTTGGCGTTATATTTAAGTTTTAAATTTTGTTCAGGACAGCCATAAGCACCATAGGCAACTAAAAGAAGATAAGGAACAATGGCCAATACGCCAATCCAAAAGAAGACTACCATTTTTTAATAAATATAAGTTCTTACTGTATTTAGATCTTTTTTTTTTTCTAATTGTAAATCTTACGCGAAGTAATGGAGAACATTTTTCGATTAATAAAGAAAGAAAAAAAAAAAAAAATAAAAAATAAAAAATAAAATTTTCCTTTTTTTTTTATAGCGCTTTTTAATAATAATTAACTGAGAATCTTTATACTAAACCTTTACATTTTTTTACACAAATACACACATTTAAACTATTACCTATAGAATTTAGATGGCGCCCCCTTTTTTTTTTTTTTACTTTTTTACTTTTTATTTACAATAAAATAGGAAAAGAATGACTAGTAACTGCCATAATTATACATAACGTTAAATAGTATATTATAAATGACTGAACAATAGAACATCTTTTTTCTATTGTTTATTTCTTCTATTATGTATGATAATAAACAACAATAATGGTTTCAAAAAAAAAAAAAAAAAAAAAAGCTGTCCAGGACACCGCGCAACAATAAAAAGCTAATTTTTATCGCGTGACCTGAACATTTTTTTTTTTTTTTTTGTTGTTGTTGATCTTATCAGATAAAAGCAATGGCCTACACATACTATTTTATTAATTTCCACAGAATTGAGCAAGTTTTGTAACATCAGCACAATCATTTTCAACCAACATGTCACCAGGTCCATTCTAATAATAATGTTAATAGAGAAATAAATAAGTCTACCTCTGGCGATATTATATATATAAATATATGTATATTTTTGTATATATTAAACCTACCATAGTCCATTTATATAAAGTAGGAATAGCAGGGACTTGATAACGAACTCGATAGGGATGGCTAGTGTTACCCTTCCAATCATTACGATAACCAACTGGGGCTTCAACAAGAATACTATCTTTTACGGCCATTACAGATTTACGAATGAGAGGATCAGCAATAACACAATCAGGACACCATGACTCTGAAGTTTCTGGAAGCTCATTACCATAAAAGAGAACAAAGACAGGATTGCCTGTCTCAACTGCTTTCTTTACTTCAGTTTCAAAGTTTTCACTTTCACTAACACGAATCACCTTCATTTTGTTGAAAAAGAAAAATAGAATAGAATAGAATAAAATAAACTAAAATGAAAAATAAAAAATAAAAAATTTTTTATTATTATTTCCTTATAATACAAAAAAGCAATTGCATTTTTCAAAAAAAAAAAAAAAAAAGAAAAGAAAAGAAAAGAAAAGAAAAGAAAAGTAGATTCAACTGATGAATCTGTGTAACGGTATTAGTAATGAACTTTTTATTGTCATGGTAGCTCTATTAAAACATCATCATACTATTTATGCACATATTTACAATTTAACTCTATCTATTAGTCTCCCTACTATAAATGATTAAGTGTAATTTTCCCTTCGTTTCTTTATCTCTGCCTCTGCTCTTGTTGTACGTTGTTGAAGCCAAGTTGCAAAATTACCACATTTCAAAAACTGTGAATATAATTCCTTAGTAGGATCTGTGGTAGATGTACGTGTTTTAAATGTTGATTTGAAAGGAAGTTGTGGGCCATGTTCTTTTAAGGATTTCATAAACTGATCTGTTTGAAAGGGCTTTAATCTTGGTATATCTCTATTCGTACTTTTTTTTTTTACATATAGAAATATATATACACATGTATATATAAATATAAAAGGAAAAATAAGACTCTACGTTACATGCATCTATTTGATCTACTTTACATGTTGACAGGTATCAATGTACTAAAGTATCTATTTAATGGCACAAGAAATTTCTCTGTTAAATCAACAAAATATCTTCGTAGAATATTATTTAAAACCCAATCTATGAAATAAGTGTTAATTGACTGACGTTTTTTTTTTTTTTTTTTTTTTTTTTTTTTTTTTTTTTTTTTTCATTTATTTATAATTACTTTACCTGGTGGATATCCTCTGACAGTTGCTTCAGTTAACATTTTAATTAATTCTCTATCCTTAGATATCACTGATTTACGTTTTGATGTTACTCCCTAATATAATTGAAACCGTATTTAATAAAAGGAACGATTTTTTTTCCTTTCTTTCCTTTTTTTTTCCCTTACTTGTATAAAATTAAGCATTACATTTGATTTACTATTATGTTTTACTTTTGATATTCCTGAATGTATAATTGTACCATCAGGTTTTCTATTATATGAATGTGATTAGTAATAAGCTCTCCTTACTTTTCAATAATATCCTGTCACTATATACCTCAGTTGTTGTTTGCCCACTCGAACAATATTTGGCCAATGTTGAACGGCAGTGTTAAAGTAAGGATTAGTTACACCTATTACTAAACTAGATAATGGCTTTATTTTTATAAAAGAGAAAAGTAAATTACTTTATTTTATATCTCTCCTTTTTCTTTTTTACCTTATTCTTTGTAACAAAGCTTTTGAAATCTGAATCTTGGATAGTAAAATAAGGTCTATAGTCACCACAGTAAGGTATCTATTATACTTGTTGTAAGTATTTATGCTGATATTTTTTTTTTATATAAACATATACAAAGTTACAGGATTAATAATATCTACTAAGGCAACCACTGCTTCACTACAAACTCCTGGATCAGGTGCCATAACAACGATAGGTTCAGCTAATAGCATAAGTTCCCATAACAACCATAAATCTTTTAATATATCTTTGAAATGATGGTATAAGCTTCCTATTGGAAGTGCTGCCATAATCTAGACAAAAAAAAAAAAAAAAAAAAAAAAAAAAAAAAAAAAAAAAAAAAAAAAAAAAAAAAAAAAAAAGAGAGAGTCACTTAAAAATACCTGATTAGATTGACATTTGTATAATTCACTTACCTGGATATCTGGTTTTAGTTTATTCATATCAAAAGGTGTTGTTTCTAATAATTGTGGTTTAAATGGTGTAGGTAATTCAACTTGTAATAGTCGTCCAAGAAAAGGCAAATCAAGCACTTTACCATCTTCTGGAGAAGGCCTATAATAAAAAAAAAATAATCAAGATTATGTATTTACATGTATATATTTATTTATTTATTTATTTTTTTTCGTTGTCTTACCAATGTACTATATTCATACAAGCTGCTTCCAACATAGGTTGACCAGTATCAAAATAAGCTGGACCTAATATAGACACTATCCTTGAAAATAATCCTACATAAGGATATTGTGATAACAAAACTAATGATTTCTATGTATAAATTCATTTTAATAAAGTTTCACACTATCGAATATGTATGTATATATATGTGTGTGTGTGTGTATATGTATGTATATATTTGTTTATTTAATCTGTAGGCTTACTTGGAAATAACCTCGTCGAATTGTTGAATCCTTCTTTTGTCTAAAAAATACATAACCATAAAGGAATCCTGCATCTGCAGTTGGACCTATATACGAATATATATAAATAAATGTATACATTTTATTCGGAATAATGTTTTCTTCATTACCCGAAACAGCAAATTTGCTTGAGCTAGCTTTAATACGAATATTAAACACTTGATCACCCACCTCGAATACGTTAGAATCTGGAAATGCAGAAAAGCAACTAAATAAGCAAGTTAGATAGATTGTAATTCAAGATTATAAATCCTATACATTACATATTCTTTTGTTCTGCTAGTGTCAAATCCATTGGTGGATATGCATAATCCAAAGCTTTTGTTTATATATATAAATATATATAAGGAGGAAGAGAGATCTAAATAAGTATATACATGTATATATACATATATATAATATATTAAGGAGTGCATTTCATATACATTACCTTGACCAATCTCTAAATCAAAATTAACTATACAAAAACCAATGACCCATTTTCTAAAACTAGCCAAGTCAACAGGATCTAAAGTCAAGTATTTTTCGTCATTATTATCTGTAATGTCTAAGCCTGTAGAAGAAGACCTATGTATAGGTGGTGGTGTAGGTATACGAGATAGTTGTGATATAATATGAAGATCATCTTTTGCCATCAAGTCGGGATGAGAGGCAGAAATACCTAATGGATGACCTGTAGGTGATTCTAACATGGAGGATGTTGATCTTTGTTTTCGAAGTGGTTGCTTATAGAAACCCAACTTGGAATTATTGTTATTAAAGAGAGAAGAATCACTCATGTCTGCTTCTAATAAGTAGTCGACATGACTACTATTATCATTGGCCACGAATACTGAATCATATGGATTAGAATTACGACCTTTTGATGACAAGTCAAGTTGTTTAAAAGTTGATTTTACTTTAGATATTGAAATTTCACTATCCATTTATTGAACATGTATAAATATATATAAAAGAAAAAAAAAAAGAGAGAGAGAAAAAAAAAAAAGAAGAATAATTTTGATTTTTCCTTTTTCAGTTGTATTTGAAAGGTATAATGACTTGCAATAACAACAACAGCAGCAACAATAATAAAACCTTACAATGATGTATTATCATCGGAGTTTAAATTATTATGTTTAACAAATTCTAGTAATCAAATACAACGATAATAATATGCTTGTGATAAAACAGTATATTATATTCGGGCTATATCCCCTACTCTTTTTTAAGAAAAAAAAAAGGGAATAAATTTTATATTCAATTATTAGAAAGCATTATTTCTATTGTGACTTTAGTATATTAGAAAAATAAAATGACCCAAATGCTCGCTTTGTTTCAAACATTGAAACCCTGCTGTGAACAGTTGTAGTATGACTAGTTTTTTTTTTTTTTTTTTTTTTTTTTTTTGATGCATAAATAATAATTTTCTTTTTTCTATTCTTAAATAGATAATTATTCATATTTTTTCTTTTTATAAATATTAATAAAAAATATATTTATATGTATATAATGTCATTTTTAGAGAATGATAATATATTTAAAAAACATAAAGCAAAAAACAATAAAAGAAAAATGAATAAGAATGAATCCTCGTTTTCAAATCCTACAGCTGTTTCGTGGCCAATTATGATAGCTCTTATTCCAACGATTGGCGCCTTTTTCGCTGGAAATAATGAGACGTGGAGTGATTTTATTATGCTTTTACTAATATTATATTATGTGTATAAATGGATGACAGGTAGAGTCTATCAAAGACCAATAAATTTGATATTGAAAATCCCAACTAACTATTCTTATACATAATTAGTGCCTTGGTCTTATTATGAAAATATACATCGAAAGAGAATGATCCATCAAAATTCATCCAAGAAAGCCGGTCTTTCTTCTTTTGATGATGATAATACACAATATCAGCAACAGGGATGCAAAGATAGGATGATGGACGAATTACGTCGACATGAATTAGCGGGGCTTTTGTGGGTGACACTTTCACCTTTCGTTGCGGGATTTACATTACAATACAGTCGTTATTTAGTTAGTAATGTAGAACATTATATTAGCACCTTTAATATCACTGTCTTTATCTTGGCCGCCTCTATTAAACCTTTATCACATCTCCTTCATCTCTTACAAGAACGCACTTTAGATTTACATACAGATCCTTCGCTTTTATTGAATGAAACTAGTTTGGACACAATGACTACCCTTGAAAATAGAATTCAGAAACTAGAAAAGGAAATTGAACGACTTCAACATCAATATTCATCGCACATGCTATCAAAAGCGACACTAGATTCAGAGGAACTTGATAAAACATTTCAAAGATTTGACAGAAGAGTTTCGGCCATAAAGAATTGGGCGGATAGAAATTTTACTGTGCTTGATAGAAGGATGCACGAGTTTGATGCCTATATTTGTTATCAAATCGAACAGGATCAAAAGATGCAGCAACATGGCATTATCGTCAGTATCTTTCTTCTACCCTTTAATATATCATTATGGATGGTTAAGCGAATCACGTGTTTATTACCTACTAGTACATATCATCTATTTCAAAGGAAAAGTAGTAATAGCCATCATCCATTATTGACAGCCGAGAGTAAAGATAATCATTTATCAGCTACTGCTTTATTAACACACGATACTATGACTAATAATAATGAACCTGGCTGTTCATCAACTGAGAGAAACTCTGATATTTTTTGATCTTCCTTCATAATTTATTATCCTCATTTCAAGCATAAATAGAAAACAATAAAATAATAATAATAATAAAGCGGATATTTAAAAATAAAATCAAGAAGACTGCTGGGTTATTTTATAATACCACCCACCCCCCACTTTCTTCTTTACTATCGGTTCAGCCCCTTGAAAGATTCTTTTTTTTTTTTTTCTCCCTCTCCAAGTATGTTTCGGTCCATTTTTACTACAACTAAAAATTGTTCTATAAAAACAAGTCGTACGTTCTCAACCCATGTAAATGTTCAATCACCCAAGACTCCTGTTCATCTTGGTAATTTGTCTGATAATCCTGGAGCTGTTAGTCAAGTAAGTTCTTTCCCCCCCCACATTTCATTCTCTTTAATCAAAATTCCTAACATTGTGTATTCACTTACTCTCACCTTCTCTCTTTTTTTTTCCTTTTTTATATATATATATATATAAGCGTATTCGTGTAGGTCGTGGTCCTGGATCTGGTAAAGGTAAAACAGCAGGTCGTGGTCATAAAGGACAAAAAGCACGAGCTGGTAATGGACGACCCGTGCCTTGGTTTGAAGGAGGTCAAACACCACTTGTTAGACGCTTACCTAAACGTGGTTTCAATAACATGTAGGAATGAGATTACCATATATTACACGACAGAAAATTAAATGTATTATTATTATTATTATTATTAGTCATGGTAAAGAATATCAAGAATTAAACTTGGATAAACTTCAACATTGGATTAAAACAGGTCGTCTTGATGCTTCGCAACCCATTACAATGAAACATTTATTAGACAGCCGATGTATACATAAAATTGAAGATGGTGTCAAATTATTAAGTGTTGTAAGCTAATTAGATTTTCAAGTTTAAAAGTAAAAACCAAAAATAATGTATATTCATATTTATCTATTTAGGGAGCAGATACTTTTAAAACACCTATTACAATCGAAGTTTCGAGGGCATCACAAAAGGCAATTGAAGCCATTGAAAAATCAGGTGGCAAGATTACAACACGTTACTATAATTCACTCGGATTAAGAGCACTTATTCATCCTGAAAAGTTTGTTCAAATGCCTAAATTAGCTGCTCCACTAAGAAAAGAAGATATCAGTATGTATATAATGATGTAAAATGTATGATAACTGTTTATTAATCTGTCTTTTTTTTTTTTTTTTCTTTAATAGAATATTATTCAGATTTAAAGAATCGAGGATATTTAGCAGCTGAACAAGCCTAATATGTTTATTTTTATTTTTTTTAATTTTCTGCCTTACTTTCAGTACATGGATTTTCAAAATAAAAGAAGGAAGATAGAATCCATGCGACATAAAAGCCTTTTTTGATTCATAAATAAATAAGCAGTAACGATGTAAATAATGATGATTCATAAAAGTCTTACAGAAGGGATTTACTAAATTTGTATGCTTAATTTTTTTTTTTTTTTTTTTTTTCCTGACGCGGTGGATTGACTCGGTGGAAGAATCATTCCTTCTTTTAGACATTTCTTACTCCACAAAGTTACTTTTATAATAAATATTTATACAAAAAAAAATATTTATATTAATATATACTATTTTATTTTCTTCCATTATACATTAACAAGAAAGAAAAAAAAAATACACGCCATGCTTCGATCATTTACTAAATTTAAACCTAATGCAGCCATGTCTATGCGTATGATGACTAGACCAGTTATTACGCAGACAAAGGTATTTCATATACGTTATAATAAAAGTATATGTATATGTATGTATTTGCTGATTATATAAAACATGTTTATAGCGTGGATATGTATTTCCTGCTGGACAACAAGAGGTAAAATATATAAATAAATAAATAAATAAATAAATAAATAAATAGTCATTAAAAATGGTTAATTTATTATTATTATTTCAAGTTTCTAAATGAAAGACTTGAAAAAATGGATCCTGAAATGTTTGATATCATTGAAAGGGAAAAGAAAAGACAACAAGAAAGTATTGATCTTATTCCATCCGAGGTAAATAAATAATGATTGACTAAGAAGAAGAAGAAGAAGGAAAAAGATACTAATGTCTATTTCTTTTTTCTTTTTTAAAAAAAGAACTTTACTTCTCGAGCTGTCATGGATGCTCTCGGTAGCGTTATGCAAAATAAATATTCTGAAGGATATCCAGGTGCAAGGTGAATAGCAAATGTATTTGTTTATTTATTGATATTTACCGATATTTACTTGTATTGTGTGTGTGTGTGTTTATTGGGGGAACAGATATTATGGTGGTAATGAATTTATTGACATGTCAGAAAATTTGTGTCGTAAGAGAGCTTTAGAGGCATTTGATCTTGATAATAAAAAATGGGGTGTTAATGTTCAGCCTTTATCGGGTGCACCTGCTAATTTGTATGTCTATGGCGCACTCTTGAAGCCTCATGAACGCATTATGGGTCTTGATTTACCTCATGGTGGACAGTAAAGTTATAATTGAACTATTTTATATCAATAGGCTTTAACTATTTTTTTTATATAACTTATCTAGTCTATCTCATGGTTATCAAATTCCAAATAAAAAAATCTCTCAAGTCTCTGCTTATTTCGAGACATTACCTTATCGTTTAGATGAAACAACAGGTCGTATTGATTATGATGCATTAGAAAAGAATGCTATGCTTTATAGACCTAAAATGATTGTTGCTGGTGCAAGTGCTTATTCTCGTAATATTGACTACGCAAGAATGAAACAGGTAATAAGTGTGTTCCATTTTTTTTTTTTTTTATAATTTGAATGATACGTATTTACTTTGTGTGGTATCATCATAGATTGCTGATCAATGTGGTGCTTATTTAATGGCTGATATTGCTCATATATCGGGTTTAATTGCTGCTAACGTATTACCTGGTCCATTTGAGTATGCTGATATCGTTACTACAACTACTCATAAATCTCTACGTGGTCCTCGTGGGGCTATGATTTTCTTTAGAAAGGGTCTTCGTAGTGTAGACAAGAAAGGAAAGGGTAAATAGTCAAACAAAGGGAAAAATGCATGCATGCATACATACATACATGAAACGTACTTAATTCCTTTTTATTATTATTATTATTATTAGAAACTTTTTATGATTTAGAAAATCCTATCAATCAATCTGTATTTCCAGGTCATCAAGGAGGTCCACATAACCATACAATCTCTGCTCTTTCTGTTGCACTCAAACAAGTCAAATCTCCACTCTTTAAAGAATATCAAACTCAGGTACTTAAAAATAATACTGCCTTTGCTGACCGTCTTCAAGAACTTCATTACGAACTTGTATCTGGAGGTACAGACAATCACTTATTATTAATTAATCTCATAAAGTCTACAAAATCACTCGTCGATGGTGCTCGTCTTGAGCGTGTTCTTGAACTTGTTAACATCGCTGCTAACAAAAATACTGTCCCAGGTGATAAGAGCGCTCTTATTCCTGGAGGTTTAAGAGTGGGTACACCTGCTATGACAAGCCGTGGTCTTCTTGAAGACGATTTTGTAAAGATTGCTGACTTTATTGATAGAGCTGTTCAAATTACACAAGAAGAAAGGGCAAAGGTGGAAGGAAAACGATTGATTGACTTTAAACATCATATCGGTGATGGAAGTCAAATTGAAACTATTCAGTCATTGAAAAAGGATGTTATAGAATTTGCTTCTGGCTTTCCTACTGTTGGTTTTTGGGAGTCTGAAATGAAATACAAATAAATAAATAAAAAAAAAAAATAAAGAAATAAATAGAAATATTGTTTAGTAGAGAAGAGATTGTTATAACAATCATAATAATCCGTTATTAAACTCAGCATAGGTTAGTGGTGTGATGACGTTCTTTTTTTTTTTTTTTTTTTTTTTAATAATTTGAAAGTTTTTTTTTTTTTTTTTTTTTTTTTTTTTTTTTTTTTTTGTTGCTTTTATAAAGATCTTAAAAAGATGGTTACAAGTCAAGGAGACTATTTAATTGTAATATAGAACAATGTTAGCATGATGAAGGACTTATTTTTTTATTTATTTATTCTTGAATTATTAGACGGAGCTTGATATACCATACGAAGAAGAGCTTCTCCGTAATCCCTATTCACTTCGCCCTTGGTTACAATATATTGAGCATAAACGCTTGGGTGGATTCAATGAATTATGTTTTGTTTTTGAACGTGCTCTTAAGGAATTACCGGGATCTTATAAATTATGGAAACAATATTTAGATATACGACGCGATAGATTAAAGGGGCTTAATGCAGTTAGACATCAACAACTTTATCAAAATGTCATTGTTTTATATGAACGTGCTCTTGTTCTATTAAATAAGGTAAAATCAGAATATTCATTTATAACTCATTCCATTCAAATATACATGTATATACATATTTATTTACTTATTTAGATGCCTCGTATTTGGCTTGATTATCTTTCATTGCTAACTACTTTACCCATGATTACAAGAACAAGACGCGCATTCGATAATGCCCTACGTGCTTTACCTGTTAGTCAGCATAAGCGTGTTTGGGAACTTTATTTACAATTTGCAAAAGCTGCAGGAGGTGAAACATCTATTCATATTCAAAGACGTTACTTGAAGGTAAATAAATTGCACTTTATATACGATATATACATATACATGTATATATATTCATAGTCATATTTCTGGTTTTTTTTTTTTTTTTTTTTTTTTTTTTTGTTAGTTAGAGCCTGGCTATATAGAGAATTATATTGATAGTTTGATAAAACTTGAACATTATGATGAAGCAGCTGTCAAATTGGTATCGATCATGAACGATAAAAATTTCAAATCTCAACGTGGTAAATCACATTATCAGTTATGGCAAGAATTATGTGAATTAGTCGTGGATCATTGCGAAAAGATTGAAAGCATTCAAGTGGAGTCCATCATTCGAAGTGGCATTAAACGATTTACAGATCAAGTGGGTATTCTTTATTCCCGTTTAGCCATGTATTGGATTAAAATGGGACAATTAGAGAAGGTAAAGAGGGAGGACAAAATCAAATCAAATAAAATAAACCCCTTTGTTGTTAACATAATAACATAGGCACGAGATATATTTGAGGAAGGTATTACGACAGTGATGACAGTAAGAGATTTTACAGTTATCTTTGATGCTTATGCTGAATTTGAAGAAGAAATGATTACAACTAAAATGGAAATGGCCAAAGAAAGAGAAGAAGCAGGAGAAAAAGATGAAGAAGAAGATCTCGATCTTGATCTTCGTTTATTAAGATTTGAACGTCTTATGGATCGTCGTCCATTTTTAGTAAATGATGTTCTTCTAAGACAGAATCCTAATAACGTGATGGAATGGTTGCAAAGAGTCACTCTTTGGACTGGTAATAAAGAAAAGGTAGGTGAAGATAATGAAAGATAAAATCTTACAAAAAAAATATATATATACATATATATTGACAATTGTATTGAATAGATTGTTGAGACATATACACAAGCAGTTCAAACAATTAATCCTAAAAAGGCTCATGGTAAATTTCATGAATTATGGACACGATTTGCGAAATTTTATGAAGACGGAGGTGATATAGAATCAGCACGAGCTATTTTCGAGAAAGCAGTAAAAGTAAATTATAAAACTGTCAATGATTTAGCTGAAGTGTGGTGTGAATATGCAGAAATGGAGACTAGACATGATGATTTCGATGTAGCTATTGAAGTGATGGCACGTGCAACACAGATCCCTAAATCCCTTACAATGAATCCACGACTTGTTAATTTCCATGATGAATCTATCCCTGTACAGCTTCGTGTCTTTAAAAGTCTTCGACTTTGGAGTTTCTATATTGATCTTGAAGAAAGTGTAGGTACAATTGAAAGTGCAAAGAAGGTCTATGATCAAGTGATGGATCTTCGTATTGCAAATCCTCAAACAATTGTGAATTATGCAACATTTTTAGAAGAAAATCAATATTTCGAAGAAGCTTTCAAGGTATATGAGCGTGGTATTGAATTGTTTGGCTGGCCAATTGCATTTGAGTTATGGAATATCTATCTTGAAAAGTTCTTGAAACGATATGTAAGTTAGCGTGTATATATATATATATAAAAGATGTGTATATGTATGTGTATGTTTATTTTTATTTTTTTTTTCGGTCATTTAGGGTGGCACTAAACTAGAGAGAGCAAGAGATTTATTTGAACAAGCATTAGAAGGTTGCCCACCTAAATATTCTAAATCTATATTTTTAATGTATGGTAAACTTGAAGAAGAACATGGTTTAGCACGTCATGCAATGCGTATCTATGATCGAGCTACAAAGGCTGTTGCAGATGAAGATCGTATGGAAATGTTTGAATATTATATTGCAAAGGCAACAGAATCATTTGGTATTATGGCATCTCGAGAGATTTACGAGAGAGCGATTGAAGCTCTACCAGATAAAGATGTACGTGTAATGTGTCTAAGATATGCTGAACTTGAAAGAAAATTAGGAGAAATTGACCGTGCACGTGGCATTTATGGTTATGCATCACAGTTATTCGATCCGAGAGTAAGTACAGATATTGATATTTATATTTTATATTTTATTCATATAATCCATTATTTCTAGAAACAACCTGGATTCTGGAGAACATGGCATGACTTTGAAGTTCAACATGGAAATGAGGATACATTTAAAGAGATGTTACGTATTAAACGTAGTGTACAAGCAACTTATCCAAGTGTTTAAATTTAACACTCTATTTTTTTATTATTATGTTAATAAAAATGATAATTTATATTTGTTATTATTATTATTATTGTGGCTTGTCGATGTTGATGTTGAGGCTGAAGTTGTTGTTACTGCCGATGTTAATTTCTTATTTTCCTCTATTGAAGATTGTTTACAAAGCTTTGTCCATACTAGAAAACAATGAAAATGATATAGTAAGCATAAATAAATATAAACACATATCTATTGCCGTCTTACTTAAACCACATGCATTACACAGTGTGCGAGGTCCTGTATACAAATTGATGTTAAATATTATAATTTCATTATTTACGGTTTTTTTTTTTTTTTTACCTAAAGGTCCCTTACGCCATTCTGGTGTTTCAGTGCTACAATTATTATTTATGAATAAGTTTACATGAATAAAGACATGTATTTACCTTTGACATGAATGACATTTATTTTGTTTTACAAGTCTCTTTTTCCTTTTTTGCTGTTCAGCCTTTTTTTTTTTTAATACATGGTTAGATAGAATTAAACTTACGGTCTGTTTAATAATTCAAAAAAAAAAAAAAATCTTACTTGCTTTCTTTTTGTACGATCATTATTTATTAGTATTTCACTCTTTTCTTTGATAAAAGAAGAGCTATCTAAACATGATATTCTCCTTTTGTTATTGCTCTCATGTTGTAACTTTGAAAAAGGGGAAAAAAAATAAAATAAAATACAATCAATATTTTTTGTTAATTTATTATCTTTCTTTTGTAAAATTACATCTTTATAAGCAGACTCATAAAGTAGACAATCGTATTTTGATTGTTCGTTATTACAGGAAAGAATATCGATAATGGAGGGTAAAGTAGGTTTTTGTTCTTGATTAAAATAAGAAGGTTTTGTCATTGAAAGAAAAAGAAAAGAAAAGAATAAAGAAAAGAAAAAAGAAAAAGGGGACAAGAGACACCCATTCCATTTTAAAACAAGTGCAAATGTATCTCATGTATTACTTTAAAATCGGAAACGTCCGATTCTATATGTCTCATGAATACTAGAACTATTATAAAATTTAAAAGCCTTTATATATATATATATATATATATCACCATCTTCTATATTTAGATAGCACATTAAACCTTTCTATCTATCTAATACATAAACCGTTTATATACAAATATATATATTATAGTGTATGTCTTGCTTTTAACCTAAACTCCATACTGTACTAAGCCAATCAAAGGTAGTAAATGCTTCATCTGTGTTGCATACAGGGAAAGGATACTTTGGGCTTGGCTATATTTATACACATATAAATATAGGATAAGATTATTTATATAAATATACATATCACATTCATCTATTTTACCTTTGGCATAGAAATTGAAGTTTTATCATCACCTGAATAAAAGGCAGCCATCTTACCATAACCTTGAATACTAATGACACGATATTGTGTCTCAGCTAATAACCAGTTTTCCATATAGGCACTGTTAACACCAGGTCGCATCCTTTCCATATTGACTTCCTTTGGATCCTTCACCTCAATATATTTTGCAATCTGTTCTGGTTCTATATGCTCAATAGGTAAACCCGTAATCACAATGCTCGAGATATCAACGATATCTTCACCAAGATATTCTTTAGCACGTTCTCGATTCGTATTTAATGAAACAAATTCATCCCGTAAATGTGCTGAATCAGTTACAAGAAAGAAAACAATATGTTTGTGATTCATTTCTTTTTTAAAGCTAGCTAATTCTCCTGCACATTTTAAAAAGTGGCCCCATTTCTCTAACCCATTTTCATCAAACTGTGGATTTGCTATTGCATTATCATCTGTACGTATCTGAATACCAATACTGAGTATACTCTTCATTTCAAATAAACTTTTGTAAGCATTCAGGAATCTTCTAGAGCCAATAGTGGGTCGAAAAAGAAAGTTGGTAAGACATCTAAATGCATTGGATTTTGTTAAACCTAGATCATTTAATATCTTTGTATACGCTTTATGAAGTTGAAAGGTACGAATTATATAGCCACGATTTGATCTGACCTCAACATACTATTTTTTTTTTAAAAAAAAAAAGGATAAGAATGCTAATCTTCATGATTTTCTTTCATGTCTCTCTATACATTACAGTTTCGTTCCATAATTCTTTAAAATCTGTATTGCCACCATCAGGGAACATGATACTATTAAGGACTCTCAGTTTCTTATTTAAAAGATCCACTTTTTGATAACCTAGGAATGGATTGATATCATTTGTAAATAAGGCCTCCATTTCCTCAGGATCATGTGACCAGTCAATATAAGGTCTTTCCCAAATTGCTTCCAACGGTAAAGGATTCATAGCAGCCCAGTTTAATAAATAAGCCCGATCAGTTAATAGTGCGTAAAAGAAAGTTGAAATCATACCTAAAATAGTGAGAATAAATAATTAAAGTAAAATATATACATGTATGTAGTTACCACCCATTCTGTCAGCTAGACCACCACAACCACGATTACTATCCTTGGGTACTTCTTTACAAATATAAGATATGAATTTTGGACTATCTTCAACGTTAATATCTTCGGGAAAGATTCCGTCTTTATATTTCTCTAAAATAGCCATATTTTTCTTGTGTAATTTGATATAACCGTCCTGCCAATTACCACATTCACCCTGTTGATTATATAGCCACTCATCTGTAAATGCACCAAGTTTATCATCGTACTTGTGACAATAGTTTTGATATTCTTCATTAGTCGCAAATCCAACTGCTCTAACTAATGTATAATGAGGTGAAGGAGGTGTATAGGTGCCATCAGGGCTTTTAGGCATTTTGATTATATTTGGTAAAAAACATTTTTCTGGTAAAGAAGTTTGATGCTGTAGATCTAATGATATAGATTCATTTTTATATTGACTACCACTCACTGAACTTGTATCTATTTCAAATTAGAGGTTATAATATAAATATGTATATATATTTATAGTTAGAAAGCATTATAGAGAAGACTTTTTTTTGTTGTTGTTGCTGTTATTGTTTACTTGAATAAAAATACGACATTCCAGTTATAGAAGCAATAGCCAATAAACTAATTAGCGTTAACCCTTTTGCTAGTCTATACTTGAACAATAGACTGCCTCTAAGGTCATTTTGTGACCGAGATCTTTGATTTAATATCTTATATTGTGTCATTTTTTTTTCTCTTTTATATGTAAAAAAAAAAGAAAAAAAAAGACAAAAGAAAAAGTATGGCAATATTCCCTATTTATTATTATTGTAGCAGTAAAAAGAAAAAAAAAGCAAGTCAACAATAATTACATTACCAGTGTAACTAAAGCTACTATATATTAGCTCATCAAATCAAATCAAATCAAATGACAAAACTCCGTAAATTTAATTTCAGAGAACAATTCTTGATAATCTTACCGTGCCTTTTTTTTTTCTGTTTACAAGAAAAGTGCATAATACAACAATTAAAGCTTTCATATGAGTACATCCTTCTGCCAAAATAATGATGCAGATAAAAAAAAATAAAGTTGAATTTGACCTAAAATCTTTGCCGGTAATGATATCGTATTCAAACACAACAAAATCTGTCGTACAAGGAGGGCTTAGGCAGATCCATTATTATATAAACTAGCACTAAAATTTTTTCAACCCCTTTTTAGCTTTTTTTTTTTTTTTTTTTCATCTCTATACATTTTACATTTTGTAATAAGTATTCTATTTTTATTTTTATGACAATGGACAGAGTCATATTGTTGATGGGTGTGCGTGTGACCATCCTAAGCTTATGAGCTATGTTGCGTGCTCTTCTTCAAATATATGTGTTCTCACTATAGAATAGACACATAGTATATCTTGCGAGAGTAATGCTGAGTCTGTTGTTACGTATATCACCTCTAATAAGTCAAAGAAGAAGAAGAAGAAGGCTTATAGAACTTTGTATGATAGGAAAAGTGAAATTCAAGCGTAGCTACACAATGTATTCTGATTAAGATAAGGTTAGATTATTTCAAAAAAAAAGGGGGATATACTTGAGAAGGTTATTTGTTGAGAATATATGCTTATTCAGCTTAATGATTACAGTACAAAAAAGGGGACTTTGATGGTATTTCTAATTAAAATAAAAATAAAAACTTCCCGCAGAATAGGATCTCTAAACACCCCCCCCATCTTGAAGGAGATCCTAGAATTAACTAGAGAAGAGTTTATCTGTCTATTTTTGATGGCCTAACAATTTCACTTGCTGATTTTTTTTTGTCGGGAATATTCGTCTGAAGTAGCATTTTAAGCATAATTTAAAAATGCGATATTTAATTTTTACTAACGACATCATTTTGGTAGGGTGTAACATTGACCTTTTCTTTAGGTTTTAACACACATATTGAAGACTATTTTTAATTATATGAAAAATACAAGTTTTAAAATAAATCTACGTCATCTGTTTAATGTTACAAGTCCTTAAGTCCATATATTCACTATGTAATATGTGGCATCAAAGGTTTTTTTATTTTTAAGCATTTTCTTCAAGGGTTTCAACAAGTTCCCAATCACCCTTTGATGATTCCTTCCATAAAGTAACTTTATTATCACCACAAGAAACAGCTAAAACATTACCAGACAATGACCAACTTACACGCCAAACAACATCAGGGAATTTTTCACCCAAGGTCTTATGTGTCCATTCTGCTTTGGGATGTTCCTGTGTCCAAATAATGACAGATTTATCTTGAGAACAACTTGCTAAATAACTCTTAGGAAGACCAACGTTAGGTGCCCAAGCGACGTCACGGACCCAATCTGAGTGTCCATCTAATGCTTCTTCTTCTTGCCATGTTTTTGTTTCTTCTTTATATCCCCAAATTTTAATCAAATTATCACAACCAGCTGAAACGATCTTTTTCACAATGTGAATATTGCTATTACTATTATTGGCTTGAACTAAACTACCAGGAATAGCAGCAGGTGCCCAAGTAACTGCATTGCAACCAATGCCATGTGCATCAATCAACTGTGTTTCCCAACTTCCATCATCTAAGAAAATAAAATCAATACATTTAATTAAAACTGTTTCTTTTCTTCTTCTTCTTTTTAATATATATGCTTACCTTTATATTCAAGGATGGAAATTTTACCATCAGAAGAAGCACAGGCCAAGATGGCACCAAGTTCATGAGGAGCCCATGCAACAGAATTAACTATAATATGCTTGAGTATTTAATGTCCATTTGAGTTATATATATATATATATATATATATTATCCGTTTACCTGAAGCAGTATGTTTGTTGTTTTCATGAATCTTTGTCCAAGTTCCATTTTGTTCCTTGAAAATAAGCACACGGCCATCATAAGCACAAGAAGCCAAGATGGTACCAAATTTAGGATGTGCCCAAGCAACTTGCCAAACAGGTGCAGTATTACTAGTAATAATATAAAATATAAATGCATAGTTCTTTTTTTTTTCATCTTTTTATTTTGTTATAATTTTTACTCTGTAATGGTATGACTTAAAGTCTGATTATCTCCTTCAACATTAAAAATCTTAATGGTATGATCAGATGAAGCTGTAGCCAAGCGACGAGAATAATAGTCAAGTTGAGCATCATGCTAGTAATAGCAAATAGAGTTCGAGATTAGAATTATTAATAAAAAAAAAATAACGCGTTTCTAGATATACATACAATCATGTCTTCATGATTAGTCTCGATGGTTTGAGTTGCTGCCTGTGACTATACAAAGTAAAAATAAATATTATTATTCAGTTTTTTTTTTCTTTCTTTTCTCCTTGAATAGCTAATTAACAATGACTTTTTTTTTTTCAATAGTTTAGTTACTTTACCATTATTTAATATTATGTATGTAGATGGTAAAACTAAAAATGAATAAAAAAATTGATTTTGTCTGTGATGAAGTATTTAAAACACAGCAGATTACCATTCTGACGTGGAAGCTGACTACAGCATGAATATGAATACAGTCAAAAAAATATATTCATGTATCTATTTATATATTTACATGTGTATATGTTTGTATATAATGTTTACAATAATATATTACAAATTACTATTAACAAGAATAACATGCATAAATACATGCGCTAAAAGAGTAACATTTTCGTTTTAATCGCTATATAATCCATCATGTTTGCTTACATTCCCTCTCAAAACCTTATAATAGGCGACACATTATTAAAAATATTTTTTTATTATTTTTTATTTTTATTCATTTATTTTATTTTATTTTTTTCATTACTTACATTTATAATGGGGACAGACAATATTAGTTTATTATGTCCACCTGAACAATTTGGTATAGTTGAACCTGGAATATATCGCTCAGATATGTTACAACAATCTCATTTTACATTTTTAAAGCAGTTTGGCTTCAAAACGCTTGTTATGCTTAGTCCCGAATTACCTAATAGAGTTACAACAAATTTCATTGAAGAGGGAAACATCAAACTTGTTCATGTAGGCATGGCCACTTGGAAACCAACTCAACCATCAACATGGAGACCTGTGTCAGAGGAATTGATCAAAGAAGGATTAGAACTTATTCTTGATGTTGATACACATCCTATTTTGATCATGTGCACGTAAATGTCTTTTTTTTTTTTTCCTTTTATTTATTAATAAACTTTGTCTTTTATTTCTAGTTCGGGTATACATGAAACTGGCACATTAGTGGGTTGTTTAAGGAAACTAGAAGGATGGAATTTTAGCTCTATTGTGACAGAGGTAAATAGTGCAGTTAAATGATGTATTTCAAGTACTTATATGTTATTAAAAGTATCGAGCTTATGCGGGCACAAAGGCAAGATATGTTAATGAGCAATTCATAGAATTATTTGATTTAGATCTTGTTACTTTACCACTACACTTACCGTCTTGGTTTATTGATCAACAAAAAATGCTTGTAAGCTGACATATCAAACGTCATGAAGTTTTTTTTTTTTTTTTTTACTAATTTATTTTTTCCTTTCAAAATATATATGCATATATATACATATATAAAAGGCTGAAGAAGAAGAGGAAGAAGCTCTACGGTTAGGGATTAAAAAAATAAAACAATAAAACAAAATATATAATATATGCATAACAAATGAAGAGAATTTTTTTTTTCTGTAAATAAAAGAAAATAAATATTAAATCATGTACATAAAATAAGAGAAGGGGGGTATAATATATAATTTATTGTAAAGGAAGTACACCTATATGATTACCAACTTGAACCTACAATTGTTTAAAATGTCAAGAGGAAGAGAAAAGAGATTGCTATTTTTTATACGAATGACAAAAGACTTACCAAAGTCTCCAAAGCCTTATCTGAATTATCTAATAAATCAGAATCAAAACTTATTTTCCCTTTTTGAAAGACAGTAATCAAAGTAGAACCACCAAAAGCAAAATAACCTAATTCATCAGTGCGTTTCAGTTTTGAGCCTACTTTAGCTGTAATGATAATAGATCCAACTAACATAGCTCCTACACAAACAATGGCTACTTGACCAAATTCTTCAGAATCCATCCAGATAATTGTACGTGTATTTTCTCCAAATACATCAATTCTATTTATTACACAATGGTCAATATTAGTTTTAAATAAAAATAACACATACACACACACACACACACACACATTAACTTACGTTGTTCTAATAGCCATCGGGTTTACAGTATAGTATTGCCCAGAAATATGTTTGATTCGAGTAATCACGCCATCTACCGGAGAGTGAAATCGATGATAATCTTGAGGGGCCAATCGAAAGATAGCAAGTGAGCCTCTTTCAAAGATTTCAGCATTTGAACTGCTGTTACCTAACAATTTCTTTAAACTAAAGTCAAGTCCTTTAATCCATAAACGTGTTGCTTCCGTTACAGATTCAAATGCAGTCATACGACTATCAGCAGGACTAACAGCAACTGTGGGGTCATCAGGAGAATCTACAGGTCTTGATCCAGGACGCAACTTTCGATAAAAGAATTCATTAAATGTTTTAAAGCTAGAGACAGGTTTCCATACTTCATGTAATTGGATATTATGAAATTTAATAAACGCTGGTATTTCCTTTGCTGAGTTGGGAGAATCATAATTACGGCCTTGTCGAATGGTCAAGTTGGTTAGGATCCGTTGCGCTCCCCTTGATTGAATACCTGTCTTCATTCCCTTATAAACAAGTCGCATACCCAGTCGTACATGGACAAGCATTTTTTCTTCAATCAATTGTCCTGTACGTCTATCTTGCACAATAATATTTGCATTAGCCTATATATATATATATATATATATATTGTATACAGGTATTATTAATATAAACTGATCCACTTGAATTTATGTCTGTAATATTACCTTTCCGAGGGAGTACCTACCATAACCTACTATACGAACAAGTTTGACAAACCACCTTTATTTATGCATTGAAAAAAAAAAAGAAAAAAAAAAGAGAAAAAGAGAGAAGAAAGAAAGATAAGCAATTTCAACTAAATCTAATACATTATCTGTATTATTACCTTCGTTGTGCATATGCTTCTGTCAGAAAATTGCCCATTAAGAATCGATCTACAGTTGTCCAATCATTGGCAGCACATGTTGCTACATGAGTAATGATATCCATTTGTGTTTTTCTCGACAAGTTGGGTCGATGACAGATAGGGCATTCTTTAAGTCGAATTACTTTTTCAGTACCCCTACGTCGACGAGCGGATGATAGAGTATTAGTGGAACTGGCTAAGAATGGTTGTTGTAAACTAGGAATATCCGATGATTTATTATTATTGGATTTGGGTATAGTAGAATCAAGTGAATTTAACATTCTGTTCTTATCTCCCTCTTTTATTAAAACTTCACCCAAGTCGAGATTTGGTTCCATAATAGAGGGCATCAGAGAAGAAGAATAATCAAATAGAACTGAATTTGGAATAGTATATACCAATTGATTATCCTCTTCATCTAATGTCATTACTCTTTCCATGTCTTCAATGATATCGTCATTGTCACAATCATTGTTTTGTGCCCATTCATCATCATAATCGTCATCTTCCTCGTATTCTTCCTCGTCCTCGTCCTCATCTTCTTTTTCTATCTTCTCCTCCTCTATACCTATAGATGTATTTACAATACCAGCTTGAATGTCTTCTAGTAATTCATCATCATCATCATCATCGTCTGTTTTTATTCCCTGTTTATAACTATCAGGTGTTACTACTACCGATGTTTCAAATATCTCATCATCGTCAGATCGCATATGATCCTCTAAACTTTCCACAAGCTGATCAAGTGTCAATTTATTATTATCTTCTTTATTCGGATCCATGCCTCTCTTGATCCAAAAGCTGTCAATAGTAGATTCAGAGATAGTAGAGCCAATTGTCTCGAGCATGGATTGAACCTCAAGTTTTGTCAAGGAACCTGTATTATTTACATCATATGTCCTTGCTAGAGCAATCCAAAACATCTTTCGTATCTGATCATAGGGCATAAACTTTGCGCGGATTGTTAAGGTAGGACGACGTTTATGTTTCCATTTGTCAAAATTAGCCATCTGCAAAGGAAATGTATGAAGATCCATATCATTTGATTCTTTATCCTTATTATTATTGAAGATAATGTCTTGAAGTGGCACCTGACACCAAGCTACAAGATCATTTCCTGAAAACTTTTCTCGATCGTAGACTGTAAATTTTAAATGAAATTTAGTTTCATGATGTCGAACATGGAAAAATAACTTCTCGTTCCAAACAGGATTTAAATTATGTCGAACTGCACTCGTTCGAAAGCTAGATGTACCATACGAAACAACTACAAATGGATCCATATCAAAACTTGTACGTGTCACTATACATGAATAATAAGAATGAGACATCATCATCATCATCATCATCATTATGAATAGTATCTATATATGTATATGTATATAAAATTTACAATTTCTTTCTGGTGGCAAGTCTTTTGCATGACAAATTTCAAGAAAAGTAACACCAATCACATCTTTATGAAATTTCCCTTCAATGCCCGCTTTTTTCCGCCTATTATAACGCTTGGTTACTAATCGACTTTTAAATGAGGATGAGGATGTTGATGATGATAAAGTAGGCAGTGTGGTTGTCGTGTCTGATAAAGACTTTGTGCGAAGATTTGGCTTTGTAATAATATCGCCATGCTCATTACTGAAAGACTTATTCCTCGACCCCTCTTTTTCATTATTATCATTTGTTGAAGGCATAACAATAGCATCATGCCGACGAAGATGGTCGATATAACTCTTGTTGTCATAGTTACTGTCGTGGTTGTCGTTGTCTGGTATCATGTTAAATTCAATTTCAGAAGGTAGTGAAGAAGAAATCCTAAACTGGTTTGAATTCACTATTTTGGTAATGGATAATGACTTTGTTGATGATGCCTGAGATTGATCATGATGAGGATGGTGCTGATGCAATGGTGATAATAATTTCCATATTTGTTTAAAACGTTGATAGTTATTATTGTCATTAAAATCAGTTGACTCTGAAAATGCCCTCCTTTTTGTCGTTTTCATATTATTATTTGTTGTTTTCTTTTGATTATTAGTACAGTGAAATGTTTGCCAATTGGGCCTTATCATGAATATTAAAAAAAAAAAAAAAAAAAAAAAAAAAAAAAAAGAAAGAAAAAAAAAGAGCCGAGTTGAGTTAAAAGGGGAATATAGAGTAACTAAAATGTTTCATTTTCTATTTGATATGTCTCTTGTTACTTTGTTTTGTTTTTTTTTATCTTTGAACACTTTATGTTTTATTAAAAAACAATTAACTTTTATTGTAATGGATACCATTAAAAAGGACTTAATTCTCTTAAAGTCTTTTATCATTTGATTACTCATGTATTGATTTAAAGGGATTTTTTTTTCTTTTCTTTTTTTTTTAGACGTTGAAAACAATGTGTTTCAGTTATTGTTTAATTGTGTTATTTTCGACTTGAGATTCAGACAGTTATTTATAGATAATAATTCAATAAACATTAACATAATACATTAACATCATTATTATAATTATTGCAATTAGAATTAAACTTGTCCATCTGCAGAGAATTCACCTTCCAATCCTGGTTCTAAAATAGCTGCATGGGCCAAGATAATGATAGCGGCTGCGCCTGTTTTACTTGTATTTAGTTTTTTTTTTTTTTTATATCATATCAGCATATACATATAAAAAAAAAACTTTACCTATAATCCAGAAAATAGTCCCTGTTGCTCCTGAAAAAAGTAATAAAATTAAGGATATAACTGCATAAGATGTATATAAAGTAGATGATGACAAAGCAGTTCCTCCAATCACAAGTGGTCCATCTAAACGAGAGATCAAATAAAATCCACCAAATACAAAAGCAATCGTAAATAATAACCACCAGCTTGTAAGGCTATGTGTATATATTCATTAGATTCATATTCATATAATAAATATTAAAATACTTTACATTGCATAAATGCTAAGAGCTAAAACGATTAATAAATAATTAGCTGAAAAGTATTGCAAATTATAACTATAATAAAAAAAGCCCCCCCGAATTGATTAGATCAGTAATTTCCTTATTTATTTATCTCTTAGTTCTATCGTAGTATAACTTACTTCCAACGCTGGCTAATCGTATGAAAATTTGTAGTAAAGCTAATCCTATTTTTATCAAAGAAATCACCAAGAGGTCGAATGTTGGCTAAACGCTGTTCGCGGAATCTTTGAAGGAAAGAAAAACGCGCATCATTAGTAATATTTGCAGCAGCTGATCCTAATGCTTGAGCAGTATCACTTGCAAGTAGAGGTACTGACATTGGAAGAATATGATTTAGACAAGAAAGAATGAAGAAAAAAAAAAAAAAAGAAAGCGCAAATATTCCTAGTTCTTGGCTTTACTTGGTTTTCTTAATTTAGAAAAATGATTAAACTTAATCATAAAATTCCATTGGTTACTATGAAGTTCAAATTTTCAAATTTATTATGTATATTTCTGTTTTGCTTTTTTTTTTAAGAATATATAATATTTAGTCAAGTTTTGCTTTTACTTGAATAGAGAAGGTTTTATTTAAATAAACATGGTGATGATATATACGCTTTAATTGTACAAAATGAATAAACATAAAAATGAAAATAATGATACACTCATAAAGCCTTTGTATGACATACATCTTAATTAATCAAAAGCTGGAAAATCGAACCCATAATTTTCTTCAAAAAAGTCATTAAAGCGGGCATGCGCTTCTAGTTCAGCAATGTCCTTGAAGTCTTGTTCATCCAGTTTAATTTGAGGGGCTTTCAGATTAATCTCCATACGATCTTCATTCACAGTTTTAGGGATCACAATAATTTCACGTTGTGTAGCCCAAGCCAGCAAGATTTGTCCAGGATTTAATTTATATTTATTAGCAATCTTTTGAATAACAGGATGATCCATCAAGTTTGGTAAATGTTTAAGGTGTCTAGGGGTTTCTTCAAATGCAGCACTACCAAAGGAAGCATATGCAATAACCTGTATTCCCTCTTGCTTTACCCAATCAATCAAACGTTTTTGCTGTAAATAAGGATGGTGTTCAATTTCAAGAACAGCAGGCCGGATACGGGCATAAGTTAACAAGTCAACAATGGCTTGAACGTTGAAATTAGAGATACCAATATTACGTACAAGGCCATCATCTACCAGTCTTTCCATCTCTTTCCAGCATTCTTGCATGGGTGATTTTTCTAATTTGAATTCACCTTCAGGTGTCTTGAATCCAACATGTTTCTTAGGATCCACATAGACAGTTGGAATAGGGACTATTGATTCTTAATTTATTAATAATGTAAAGATAGATAGATAAATAGACAGACAGACAGATATATGAATAAACTTACAATGAATAAGATAAAGGTCAAGATAATCCAAGCCGTAATTCTTGTGAGTCATTTCAAAGATAGGTCTAACATTTTCTTTACTGTGGTAGCTGTTCCAAAGCTTTCCAATAACTTTAAATAATATAAATGTTAATATAAACAAATATTTATTCTCTCATAATATATAAATATATATCCATATATACCAAAAAGATCTTCTCTTTTAACTATGCCTTCATCAATTGCCCTTCTTACAGCTTTACCTACTTGAGGCTCATTACCATAAAGAAGAGCACAATCAATCAAACGATAGCCTGTCTTGATTGCATTATAGACGACTTGCTCTGTATCTTCTACAGGAATACGAGCTGTACCAAAACCAATTAATGGAATTTTATTACCTGTACGATTCAATAAAAGATACTTTTGATGATCTGCCATTATTATAAAGAAGAGCTATTAGATATTAAAAGAAAAGAAAAGGAAAGGAAAAAGTTGCGTTTAATCATTTTTATTAATATATATATATATATATATTACCTTTCTTCCTCCACTTCAAGAATTACTGTTGTTTAATCTGTTAAAATACCGCAAATTTCGAGCAGTAATAGTATATATCATGATGCTGTAAGTCGTATGTAATAACAACAACAGGAATTCAAAATAATTATTAACCCAGACATATATAAAGTCTTTAAGAGAATTTCCTGCTTATATGCCAGTGTTGAATACCAACCAAACAGTAATACATACTATTATTATTTATACGAAAAATCAATATCATAGTTATAGTATTCTTTGACGTGTTTTATTCTATATTATTTCATCTTAATAATAATACAAAAAACGGGGGAATATACTAGTAAAACTATAAATAATATAATTATACTGCACATGAATATGTTCAATTAATCTCTGTAGGTCGGAGGGAGAATTTATTATTATGCAGTCCCTTGAAAAAATTATATACAGCTCTCTATATCTTTCAGGGGAGCTAATGAAGAGACTAATAAGAATAGCCAATAATATAGAAGAAGAAAGCATACTATTCAAGCTTCTAATAATTCAATGTTTCTCTCTCTCTCTTAAAATAGTATTTTTATGTTTTATTTATTTATATAAATACACAGTCTATTGGTGAAGGACTGTTGTTATTAGAAGTTTTCCAAGTTAGTGTGCTGGAATTTTGACCCAATTCATTTTTGATTAAAGAATAGTAAAAGATTTCATTGCTCGACAATCTTCAGTATTATGTGTATCAACATGATGAAGAGAGCAATAATAGACACCACTCGGTTCGTTGGCGTTTCTCTTTGAATTTTTTATTTTTTTATTCGGCGGCTGTTGCTGTTCATCATCAATAAATAGAGTTTCTTCAATTAACTTATGTTTCTTCTTGACAGTAGGAATTGATAAGTCAAAAAAAAAAGTGTTTGTAAGAAAGTTACGTTCAGGATCATAGGTTGGGAAAATTTTACGTTCATATCTATCAAGAAGATTGGCTGTCTCACATAGGAAAGCGATACTGTGCTGTTGATTTAAATTACCAACGGTCACCGCTTTATTTAGTTTTTTTTGTTTGTCAGCTGGTAGAGCACTTTTAAAACACGTTATAAGAATGTCCTGGTCTCGAATCTTTGAATTTATAGCAATAAGTCTAAAACGATCAATAAATTTATCCATTGGTTCTGTATCTCTTTTTATGATGTCGAACAATTCCCTTTTAGCTGGAGATCTTTTTCTATCAACATGATTACCTTTCTTTTTAGAAGCAGTGGGTTGATAATGCTCTTTAAACGCTTCTTTAAATATTTCCCAAGTTATAGATAATCCTTTTAATTTAACAAGTTTGTTTAGCCATATGTTTTGCTTATAGGATAAACAGAGAGGTAGAAGATGAAGCCATTCCATATCAAAATCTAAGTCATATGCATGCAAAGCTTCTTCAAACTTATTTAAACAAGTATCAATATTATTGTATATAGGTTGTGATTTATTGTGTACATTTTCTTTCCATTGTAAGTAAGGTAATCCAAATAATTTAATAGATGAAAGCTTTGTAGATGAAATAGACATAATAATGATAATAGAAAAAAAAAAGGATTATATACGCATAAAAAGAACAAATAAAAATCAACTATTGTATGTAAATAATAATAAGAAAAAGAAAAAAAAATTGTCCTCCAATGAAAATCTTTTTTTTTAACAGTGTACAACAACTGACAAGCTTTAATTTAACTATATAATGTCTTTGTGTAAGTATGTGGCAAATAAGCAACAATGACTAATAAATATAATAGAAAGACATTTATCAACATACAAAATAAAAAGTTTTTTTTTTATATACACATAAACTTGCGTATGATATTCATATAAAATAGATTAAAGTCTTTTTTCTTTTTCAATATCTAGAATATACTTTCAGATAATACATGAATGTATATCAGTTAGAGTAGAAGGATTATTTACATTTTGTGTATATACTTAGTTAAGGAAATGAATTCGATATAATACTCAAATTGTAATAAGAGTAAAGAAACTGAATATCAGAAAACTATATGCTTATAGTATATTACTTGGCACTAACAAACATGATGAATAAATTAAATGCTTTGTTCTTATTAGGTAGAACAATTCGAAACTATGTTTCTTATGTTTTCTTTTAGTAAAAATAACAATAATGTATACATATTATATTACATTTTTTAAATCTTTTCGAGGATTAGCTTCAGAATAGACTTTATAAACAAATAAACTTATATATTTCTCAATTAATGGAGTAGTATCTCAATTATATTTTCTTGAAAGACTTTGTTGAATTATTAGTTTAATATAGTATCGATAACTTAAAGCTGTATAATTCAGTACAAGACTTAATGGGACCTTTCTTTGTGCCTATATCAAACTTATAACAGATCATATATATGTGTATATTACCAATCTGAAGATAATTAGTATTTAATTACAATAAATATAAATGCCTTTTTTTTTTTCTTCTTTTAGCAGTCTCCATTTTATAACGCATTCTCAATAGTTCTAAAAACAAGATATATAATGATATTGTTCAATTATTAAGAACCTTATTATAAATTTTTCTAAAACCATATTACAGTCAGTAAGAAAGATATTTCTTAATTACTTTAATAGTATAGTATAGAATAGGCGCAATGTTATTACCAATACTATTTTGTACATACAAAGTTATACATTTATTAATCAGATTCAGAATCACTACTGTGATAAGCAGCTACTAATGTTGCAATAGTATCTTTTTTATCATTATCCTCATCTTTGTTCTCTAATATAACTCTTGCTTTCTTTTTAATAACTGCAATGTTACTATTATCATCATTATTACTATTCGTTTTGTTGTTTCCAAGCTCTTCTTTTGATAGTTTGTTAGAAAAAGGTTTTGAGTTGTAAAATGGATCTGTTTTTAATCTTGTATGTATCTTCACTATTTTGCCTAAGCTATTTTTACTATTTGTATTATCCCCTATCTTTTTCTTAGTGAACATAGGTGACACTGCTATACCCAATCTCTTTGTATCTAATGGATTACTACTCGATATTAACTCATTTTGTCGGTGATAATCAATCGATTTTGCTTCAATAACATCACTTATTTGTTCAGGTAATAATTCTATCTGTAGTGAATGCTTGTCTCGAATTCTTTCTGCCTCTTCTGCCTTTTGCTTTTCCTTTTTTTTCTCTTCTCTAAATTGTCTTCTTAATTGTTGTGACCGGGTATATGGATCTGCCCACTGGGCATCATTTAAACTCTGTAGTTGTGTCAGTCGAGGTTTTGTTTCTTCTATTTTACTTTTGTCTTTCACACCATGCTCAAGACGATACATTGGATCTGTTTCTAATCTTTCTTTCACATCTTCATCTAGAATATATATTATAGCAAATAATCAAATGAATGTTAGACTTAAATGTATGTATGCATGCATGCATCCATGTATTAGCTGTACCTTGTAATTGTATTACTTCTGTATCTTCTGGTGCCCATTCTTCTACTTTTTTGCGAGCGCCGCTTACAATAACATATTCATGATTCTTTTATCATATTTGGTAAGTTTATTCCTCTTATCAAGTTTTTGTTTTGTTTACCTTTGGATCAGTGTGAATCTCAATCCAATTGTCGCATAAGTGACATTTCATTCGAAATTGAAGAATTGGTGTACTATAATACTTGCCAATTTGCTTCTTTTGTGCATTATACCTTACACCTGTATATTTGATATATGAGTATCTTTCTTTCTATATGTCTATGTAGCTACACAATAGTGTTGGCCCGTTTGGTTTTTTTTTTTTTTTTTTTTTTTTTTTTTTTTTTTTTTTTTTTTTTTTTTACCTTTTCCAATGTGGTTTTCACAACCACTACACCAAATATTAAATGGTAATTCAAATCTAAAAATATTTGTTAATTTAGTTTTTCAAAATATACATTCTATATGAACAAGCAAACAAACAAAAAAAAAGAGAGAGAGAGAAAGAGAAGTCTGTTTACTACCTTACGATGAGAATACCTTCATCAAGCTTTCTTGCTCGATCACCTAAAGCATGTTTACCATAGAATTTATTAATAGATCCCTATAGAGATTGCATGTTAATAAAGAAATAAATAAATATGTATATTATTTCTTTTTTCTTCTTCTTTTCTAACACATTATACCTTTTCAGGTGTCCAATCAGGTGGATAGTATTTGTTGAATGGTTGCATTGATTAAAAATATAAAGAAAGGCTTGAATGAATGCATCAAAATGACTGTGACTTTTTAATTATTAAATACATTCTTATTTTATTTATTGTATTATTACCTCTTTCTTTGACAACAGCAGTTTTGTACATTCTATTATATCATAGTAGAATAAAAAAAAAAAAAGATGCTTCATTCATCATTATGTTCTTTCAAATAATAATAATAATATAAATAAATATTTATATATTTACCTAAACCGTGTAGAAAAAGAATGCTTTAGTAATGTAAGAACTGCTAGTATTCAATTGCTATCTTCTTTTTTTTTGTGTATAAGCTTTGTACCATTTTAATCTCGCTTACAGTAGTAGATATTGTTACCCAAGTTAAAAATGGTGCCTTCAATAGTATCAAATAATATTATGATCCTTCTTTATTAAGACTTCTTAAACTAGTAAGCATTTAGATTTATCATAAATTAAAATACTTGCTGTTATTGTATTTTTTTTTCTTTTAGTCAAAGATATTTATTCATTATTGTACCTCTTGTTTGCTATGCATCATTCTTTGTATATTCAAAATTTATTATTATAATGCCCTTTATAAAGTTCATGTCAATAACATTGAATCAATCGAACGTTGTTATTATATCATCGTAAATTATATAGGAAGTTTTTTTATTTTATTTTATTTTTTGTTTTTTAACCCACAACTTGATATTTAATTCGGTTTTAAAAAATTTTTTCTTGATGAAGTATTCATTTTTATATTTTTTTTCCTTTTTGAAAAAACACATTTTCGCTCAGAATTTTAATAATGGAAGGGGACATGAATATATTGTAACAGAGAAAAAATATTTTTTTTTTCGCTTTACATGGCTTTTCATGTAAACTTGAAGAAAGAGTTTTTCTTTCTTTTTGTTTTTGCCCTTTTATACCAAAGTTTTGTGCTAGACTATTG